AAAACAGAATTCTGACAAAATTCTGCTGGAAAATGTTGAATTCTGCTTAGAATTCTGCTTTCGATCCAAGGAAGTGTGTGTATACAGTAAGACAGAATTCTGCAGGGAAAACAGAATTCTGACAAAATTCTGCTTAGAATTCTGCTTTCGACCCAAGGTAGTGTGTCTATACAGTAAGATAGAATTCTGCAGGGGAAACAGAATTCTCTGTTGGTAGTGTGCAATGTGCCTTTAAGCCATATAGGTATTATTCTTACAGAATTCTGCTGGTTGTTCTTGGGAGAATTCTGCCACCCCTCACCCATTTGGGTGGGGTGTGGGTGGGGTGTGACTAGCTACCATAATCTATAGATTTCATTGGAACAACCCAAATCATGAGATGGCAAATAATTCAAATGATTTTAAAGAAAAATCAAAAGATTAATTTATAAACTATCATATATAAGAATAAATCTTGAATATATGATGATAAATTCAATTCATAGTTTAAAGAGATTCTCAATTGAACACATCACACGACCGGTTTCGTCCTTGCTTACACTCTAAATAAAATCCGTTTTCTGGGAAACGAATAGGAGGTTTCCGGGTTTGTCACTTTATGAAACCCTTTATAGGTTTCCGGGAATGGGTTTCCGAGCATTCGGAAACTTATCTGAAACCCCCGCAAGCAATCGAGAAAGCAGACGATCCCGAAAACCAATTGAAGGTTTCCGATACTTCGGGAACCTTTTGAGGTTCTAGATTTGGGTACCATTTTCAGAACCATTTACGGTTCAAGCAAAAGCTGGTTCTAGCGGGAACCTTTTCCCTTTTCTGCCAAAAATGGTTCTAGAGTGGTAGAATGTAGTCCGCCACACTCAATTAGTCTAGTACTCGCCACTAATGCTATATCCAGCGTTTAATTTCGTATTTAACCTCTTATTTCTTATACTTAACCCTAATTTCTATCCTTAACCACTATTTATATCCTGAACCTAAATTCTAACCTTAGCCCTTAATTCTAACCTTAACCTAAATTCTATCCTTAACCCTTAATTGTATCCTTAACCCTTAATCCTATCCTTAATCTTCATTTCTATGCTAACCTACTAAACCGTATGTGTTATATTTACCTGAATTTGTTGTGAGCAGAATACGAGCCAGCCCTTTCTCCTTTATTCGCACGAAAGGGCAATCGCCGTTACTTGTTGTTGAGAAGATCCTAAACAAAAAACAAGAGGAGTGACTGATAGTGTAAGATTGAAATTACCATGAGATCAATTATTCACATATACCTAAATAGAAAAAAAAACATTAATTCATTTTATCATATTGAACTTGCATTCAATTGATTATTGCTACTTACCTAAATAAAGAAAATATTGACTTCATTTTACCATATTCACATTACTTTCTATTGATAATTGTGATGTATGGAAATATATAAAAGAATAAGCGCATTTTACAAGTTATAACTTACTATAGAATTGATTATGGAGACGCACCTACCCATATTCATCAATCCGACTCGGATCATCAGGCTCGGTATCGATGATGTCGGATTTGGATTCCTGGATCTCGATAACTTATCTCAAACTTCGATCAGAATTGAAATCAGAGTTGATATGAAACATCTAATTTAACAGCCCTCAATTTTTTGATGGGCCCAATTTCTGACCTATGGGAGCTCGGATTGAAAAAGTAATGACGGATTCGGATTCCTCGACGACGATAACCTATTTCAAACTTCAATCAGAATTCTGATCGGAGTTGAAATAAAAAGTCTAACTCTGCAGCCACTGAATTTTGAATGCACCGAATTTCTGACCAACGGGAGCTCAGATCGGAAAAGTGTTGCAGGAGTTTGATTCCTACACCTCGGTAACCTATGCGTGATGTATATTACTTAAATGACGTTCGGAAAATATAGTATCTTGCTTCAAGCCAGAACCATCTTTGGAGAAATGGTTTAACAAAACAAAAATGGTGTACGACAGAACCTTTCCAAACATTGGTAACTATCAAGGATCTGAGATGGTTCTTTAAACTAGCTAGAACCCTCGGTGGTTTATTAATAAACGAGTTAAACCTTAAAAGGTTCAATATCTTGGCTAGAACAATAAATAGTTTCATATGACACCTTTTGTTTTTGAGTGAAGACAATTTCTGTTATAGCTGCCGATTAACTCCTAAAAATGTAAATTATACAATGGCAACGTGAAAATGAGAAAGATGAAATTTTAATACTAGTTCGGTTTTCCACTATGTTTAATGGGTTTCCGAGACATTTTCTCGGAAACTCATAGGTTTCTTATACTTTGGAAATCTCGAAGGGTTTTCGATCCCCAGAAACCCAAAAGGTTCCCGATAAAAACTTGTCGAAAACCGAAAGGTTGCTGACGATGCGCTTTAAGTTTCCGAGAAGGTTTTCAAAACAAAAACAGTTTCCGAGGATAACTTTTGGGTTTCGAAAATTGTTTGATGGTTTCTGAGAAAACTGTTAAAGGTTTCCTATCCGAATTCTCGAAAACCGAACCGTTTCGGGGAACTCGGAAACCTGTAAGGTGATTTCAAAAACTCAGCTTCGAGCCGAAAACCTTTCCGGATACGTTTGTGAGTTTCCGAAAAGGTTTGCGAAGGGATTTCGGTTTCCGGAGAAACGCTTTTTATTTAGAGTGTATACGAGCAAAAATGGAGTGCAAGTCTAAATTGTCAACAGTTTGCTCGACGTTTCATCGAGGAAACAATAGGTTTAAACTGGCCAGATGGTGTTTTAGTTGCTGGTGACGTATTGCCGGTGATGATTAATTTTAATGTTTTGTATGTTTCATCAAAAAACAGAAAAAAACGTAAAAGAAGTAAAAACACAGAATAGCTGTTTCTTTTTTATGGACTAGTGTATTAGTACATTTAGATTTGATTTAGTATTCTTTCAGATAGTAAAATAACATACCTGAAGCTAGTATGAATATTCATCAACCAATGACAATTATTGTTATGTGTATAACAATCGGTAACTTAAATTGATGAATATAATGAATCACAATTACATTCGTGTGCTACAAGAATTTGATTTAACCTTCTAGTAGGATATTGCACATGTTGTTCATCAACAACAGTTAAAGATGAGGTGTATTCTTATGTATATTGCTCATGTAGAAAGAGCAACACACCGAAATGCGATTTTATAAATTGTCAGTGAACAATAATCAACAGTTTGACATATATTTATACATAATTTTGCTTGTCCACCAAATGTGATTTATTAAATCAGATCTCGATGTCTTTCTCTACATAAACAAGAACAGTGATAAGAGTACTCATCTGTGTTCTTTTTCTGATAAGAATGAGCAAATCAGAATTTTTCATTTTTGATTCCTGTTCATCAACTAGTTTCAAAATGATATTTTTATTTGTTGCCATTGTATACTCAGACTATATAAAAGGATATAGCAAACTGTTGATTGTTTTTCATAAACAATTCAGAACATCACATTTCGCTTTCTTCCTCGTTCTCAATTGACAATATGTATAAGTAATACAAATGATAAAGTACACTACAATAAAAAAACTTTCAAGTGAAACTGGGTGTCTTAGTTATTACAAAGCTTATTATTTTGGAGTTAAAAAACATAGCGATAGAATTTCTATTCTTATTAGCCATAAAATTGTTAACAGTTCTTGTTGGTAGTATCCGGAATGAAAATAAGAGATAGAAAGGTCATTCACCACAGATTGTCACTTTACTTATTTTTTCGGCAAAATTAACTGTTATGATGGAATCATCTAACACTAATTTCCTTTTAATAATAATATACAATTCAATGCTACTTTTTGTGTGCTCAAATGGTGAGTACACTCTAGAATCAGTCAGTCTGTCCGTCTTGCCAACCGTTTACACGATAACTTTCGAAAGGAGAGTCAGATCATGGTAAAATATTCTGCACAGTTCAGTCTCATCTTTGCCTCAGTCTAGTTCGAAGATGAGCTTGATTGAAGGAGTCCTTCCTGAGTTATTTGAAGACAATTGATTTTTCCCTCTGGTCTCTTATGCGAAAGTCGACCTATACACGTTTTCATAGAAAAATTTTCGTATCATAATCGAATAAAACCCCAACTAGTATATATATCATTTAATAGAGAATTTCACAAGCTACAAAACGGTAAATAAAACATAAAGAAACACGAAGATTGACTCACCTGTTCCAACGATAACTAAACGGAAATCTCTTCCGTTTTTGTCCAAGCTCTAATTGTGAATCAATGAGAGTTCTATATTATGACCACAGAGATGATACTTCGAGATTTTCTGAGGTGGAAAACTCGAACCTGTGCTCCACTTGCCTCAAAGTCCTATGGCTGGAGCAGTAATCGATAGAGATCAAGATAAAGGAAAAGCAACTCTCTTAGATTAAGGCCTCAAACAGACCGAACAACACGAATTAAGCAACGTGATTGGTCTAGCATAACTTAAATCATCTTTTTGAGACGTTGTATTCGTCAATTCAGCTTTAATTCCTCTTTTCTATGTGCTTCTAAAAACCGATTAGACAATTTCACAATCGTTCATTTATGTATTAACTTATTGTTTTTGCGAATCATACAGATGCTCATAGTAAATTTCTGATCTTACATGTTTCATAATAAATACTTTTATAATTAAAACGTCAATTCATATTTTATAATCGGCTATCCTCCATCGAAAGAAGTTCATTATCTGAACGTGATAATTTATACTATAGAGTAATATTTACCCCTATGATAGTTAATGAATTTTATGAATATTCCTTGAACTGATTTTTCACATTTCATGAAATATGAATCGCACTGGAAATCATCATTTTAGTTTGGCATCATATTTTAGAATGCTTGTTATGCCTGGCTTCACCTAGTTATATATAATATTAAACTTCAAATAATTTCTTTTATCATCATTTAAAACTTAAAGAAATTTCTAAGTCACATAAGATTCTCAATTATTAGAAATATACTAAAGTAATTTGAATGGAAACCATCAACTTGACCAACGACTTGTTCAAGTACCAGTTTCATTATAAATTAAAACCAAGATTTTATGCAATTACTTATTCCGCAAAAAAAAATCAAGATTTGAAATAATCCTTTATTTCAATATAATCAATGTATGTTATGAATTAAGATACAAAAGAAAATTGAAGATCGACACCATTGGAGCAGTGATATACAATAATTAAAACAAGGTAAGATTTTTTAACAGCAAAAACGAAAAAAGAGCATTTGTCGTTATCATCATCAGATATTATTTTTCATAATGATGAATATGATGGATCACCACGACAAATTGTAAATATAATTTTTTATTATTAATTTGTTTTCATATGCTTGACGACCAGAATAAACGAATTTTTTCACGATCTCAACGGATAGTATCATCATCAGATGCCATTATTCATGATGATGAATATAACCAACGATTGGATCTTGTCAGCATGAAGATTAATTTATTTTCTTTTTCTTTTATTATTTTTTATTTGAAGATCTGAAAAAAGCATTTTTCTTGCATTTTTATGATTATTTTATATTTATGACATACCATTGAATATCTTTTTCATATTATTTGGATGTATACGTGCTAATAGTTCAATATGACTAAGATCATCTAAAAGATTGATATTATACTTTTAGAAAAAACAAATTCCACTGAATTACCTTGAATCACTAAAGATTGTTTTATTTCTTGCCGGACTTTTGCACACTGAATTTGTATCAGCGATTCCCTGTAAAGAGAAAATCACTAGAATCGCATGAAAAGCAGCAATAACAAAGTGGCATACCATTTGATCAGTTGGATTGATGACGCGATCTCGTTTATCTTTTCCATTGCATAAATGTCACTTAGAGCATCTAAAATACATATACATACTGCAATGACTCTAGTGTTTGATCTAAACTTACCTTCATATTTATTTAAATAAAATAAAATTTCAGCACGTTGCTTGTAGTAGTTGAATAGGTTATTTGGTGGTTGAGTTGAAGTTGAAATTAGGAGATTCAATGCCTAAAAAGTTTCTTTCGTTTAGAATTCATACAAATAAAAATTCTTACTCCAATATTTTCTTGATCATTACGTGCTAGCTGGATGCTTTCAGGAAAATTTTCTTCCTTTTGCGTCATGTCTATCTTAAATGATACTCTACAATGTAAACAAACAATTCGATTTTAATTTGCTTCGTAACGACTTCTACATATATAGAAGTAGATCAGTCTATGTCTTTTGTAAGGAAAGACAATGGACAGTTCGATGAATGAAATTAAAATTGAATTATTCGTCGCTACATTAGCATACAAATAGATCTAATTTCGATTGATCAAACTAAAAGTTCTTTAGTAAGAAACAAACGATTGATGCGCAAATTCAAAGAAATCAATAATCAAAAAGAGCATCAATTAATGATATTGATAGATAAAAAAAACAGTTGTTAACAATTTACATGAATGAAATATTTTTCTAATCAGCTTTTCCTACTAGAGAAAAATTAACAGCATCATTGTTCAATCAATAGTCGTTTGTTAACGTTTCTCTATTTTAGCCGTACAAATATAGACTACATGTTGTCTTATGCCCGTCCAAGTATCAGTGGATCATAATCGGAGTGCTTTGGAATTCAAATGAATCATGTTCTTGAGATACGTTACTAGACATCAACAATAATTCGAATTGACCTAAATTCAAATACGATACATTGTTCATAAACGGGGATAATTTCATAAACAATGAGATAAGGAACATTTAATCAAAGCTAACTGATCTCTTTTTCATTTCGCATATGTTTAACGATTGAAATTATGAAATAAGGAATAATTGTCTTATTGAACGGTAAATAAATCGATGTACACATAGAAAATTCCAACAATAAAACATTCTTCTAGAATCAGATTGCGTGTCGGTGTCTTGTATTGCATTTATCCACACCCACACCCACACCCACACCCTCAAGATCGCATACTATTTCGTGGCTGTGGGACTCTCAATTATCACTGGAGTCTATAGAGCCCGAAAGCAAGAAGCACAGATTATTGAAGAGGCTCGCAAAAAAAACTTTTCCGGAAAGGCAATAAGAAAATCATTTTTAACAAAACTAAGTGCACCTCAGAAAAAATTCTAATTTAGTTTTAACTGCAGAATACTATAGTAAAATCCTGTTGTTCAATAAACATGGGATAAGCTAAAACGGAACGCGAAGCTCCATTTTCTTCATAAAGAGAGATCAAATTATCTTCATATATCACTGAAACGTATATTTGAGTAACGACTAAAATAGGCTAAATTGTTGTATTTTTTTTAAAATACATTCTGCACAATCTCTCTGTCTTATTTGGAAACAAAGTATACCATATACACGAAATGATGCGTCCCATTCTAGTAAAGAGCCTTTTTCAAATATTGTCAGAACGTGATACTGTTCGCCAGCTGATTTTTTTTCATATACGACTAATGCTGCTTTTTCAACGTGTTGTTGAGCACATTGACCAAATCTTTCTAACACTGGAATATCTTGTACACTAATCAAAAGTGTCTCAGCAGCATCAATATGAGATACCGGAAGCGAGCTATTTCATGGTGTCCCTTTGGTTTCGATAATGCCAGTATTTGCATATGGACACAAGGATGATTTTCACAGGGTGAATCAATATGGAGTGTGGTCTACTCTAAGTGGAATTATAGTTTTCGCCCCTCGATATTTACGTGCCAACAGGTATTTTTTGGCAAGATCTATTTTGGGATTCGATACTTCGGCTGGGAAAGAGTGAAAATACCGCCACTTTGGAGCAGTGCCTTTTTCGTATTTTGAATAATAGCTTACTAAGGCGATTCTCCACAGCGTGTGAGCATTGATCAAATACGATCATTTTGTAGCCTAACGAGGTTCTATCTTTGGATGAACCATTCAAATCGAACGATCAAGTTGTTCAGGAGATCATGCCAGAATACTGAGCCTACTCAAACTTGCTCATTTTGTGGAACTCACATGTATTTTCCCAGTAAATTTGAAATTTAAATTTAAAAGCGAGAGTTTTTTGACTCTCTCGTTCCCATTACAGACGTTAACTAGTAAAGACAACAAACGTCAGACTTACTTGATTTTTGTTGTAAATTTGTTCAAGTTTTAACTTTGAAAAATTAGCAATATTAATCTTTGTGCGTTGATCGAGCATTATAATTGTTCTTTTATGCTTAGTCAAATCATGATAGACATTTACAAGTCTACTTTGTCAGTTAAATCAATAATGAGACAAGTAATAGTGACGAATTAAGGTAAACTATGAAAATAAAAAGTAACGTAATCATAGCAACAAGACCAAACTATAAAATGGAACGCCGATCAGAACACAATCAAAAGAAATGATGTTCAAAGTGCAAAAATAAACAAAAACGATTCTTGCTTTAGTGACCGATTATCTTGGAAAATGAGTATAGTCTACGAGAGATCTTTCATTGTACGTATTGCATATCTGTTTAATGAGGCCACCCGATACATGTGAGTTTCGCATTTTAACTCTCAAGGGGCTATGCTAACAAGTTCTTTCAGATCTACACTTGAGCTCAATTCAATGTTGCAAGCCAAAGTTATCTTATATTTTGGATTTGGCAATAGTTTGAGCCAACGTTCATTTTCAGTTTCAGATGTAAAAATCAAAAATCAAAACATTTTCAACGGTTATTGGGTACTTTCCTGGAGCATAACCCGTCTTATAAAAGCAAACTTGCACGTACTTGAAGTTGACACCCAATTCGAGTAACTAAGCGCGTGATTTGTCTAGCGACAATTTCCAAGTATTCTAAGGAATTTTCACGTAGAACGCGATGTATAATATCTATCAGCTCAATGGGATTTTTTTGTTATATACTACGATGCTGGAGTCAATTCCCGAAAACAAAAACATTTTCAAGGTTTTTCACGGTATTTCCAGGCTCTAGTCAGCCAGAACCATGTTTCAAGTGTTTCGAATAGGTTTGAAGTAGCACATGACGAACTGTATTTCATGGTAATTTTGAAACATGCTCCTAAGTAAGTCTAGTTTAGAAATAACTTCAAAAATCTTTGAAAATCTCAGTAACTTAGGATTTTCTTCAGAAATTTGCAATTAATACCGAGTTCAATTGCACAATTCGATAGCGAGCATTGAGTTCTCCCTGGATGTGGGTGTGGGTGTAATATGAAAGTGGATACCAACACCAACACATCTACACCCTTTTGTTCGCTCAGGAGAGCTCTAGTTTCAGTGGGGGGATATGCAACGGTATTTACCGTTACGACTCACTTTATCCTCTTCGCTGTATTCTATGTTTGTGCATTGACCTGATGAACTCTCATTGTTCTATTGCGTGGCCGTTCCCTCTTTGTCTATATCCGCCCAGGCGTGATCACTCTCGCTTATATAAGGGAATGCAACTAAAGGAAATGCACGACTAGAGATGTGCAGATGATACAATACGCCATCATGCCGACGGGCATAGGCGACACTCTCTATGTTCGTCACAATTAGGCTTAAAGAATGCTTAGGTAATAAATTAACCATTATTTTAATACTAATTCAGCTACTGTGTTCAATTTTTGAACTGCTATCTTTACATAATAGTTGTAAATTTTTAAGGGCTATATTAGGGCGTCACTAGTGACCTTTTGGGGGCTACTCGTGCTTGAGGGTGTGGGTGTGGATGCGCATCCGGGTCTATTTCTTTATCAAAAGTCACACACCCACACCCACACCCGGTATGAGATTCTACTGAAAAACAATGTCATAACTCCGATATCTTACCCAAAACTATTACTAGTTATTTCATAATTGCTAATCATAAGACTCAATTAAAGCATCTTACAGATACGTATGTATGTGTCAATGAAGTCCACAAATATATTGACTATATAAACATTTTGCTATCATCAAAGTGCAACCTGATTCTGTTGATCGAAATACTTGATGCTAAAGTGATGCTTTAGAAGTAAAAAAAGATTTCACGGTTTTCAATGAGAAGAAACACATCGACAATTTATTCTTACATCCTGCACAGTAGTTGTCCGCATTTCTTTTCATTCATTAATCAAAAAAAAAGAAATAAACGTCCACTTGGATATCTTGCAATCAAAATTGATGTAAAAACGGTTTACACGATTTACTACCCGAGGATTTACTATCCATTGATTGCTTTCCAATTTTAATTGGTTTATTTCTAGAGAAAGCATAAGTTTTGCTCCTCAGGATTTACTGTCCGTTGATTGTATCGACCGAAGAGAAAAAAAAGAATGAATACCGACTGCGACAACTAATACATTATCGGGAAAAAAACGAATTTCAATAAATATATAAAAAAAACAAGAAGAATAAATGCTTAATGTGTTGATGACCTTTAAAACTATCTAAGCCCAGCAGCTTTCAAGAACGGTACAATATCATGACCGCCTTCGTCATAACGTTACCATAATTTTATTAAATATTCATTTGTTACGACTTAATGTTTACGAAGTTTTGGAGCTGAAACACCCATATCTTCTAGCAATCGATCAATGTGTTAATACTTGTTCATTTCTCGTCTTCGAAACAATTAAAGGACAGTAAATCCTCGGATAGTAGATTCTCGGATGGTAAATCGAGCACGCGCGTTCATATATGCATTTTGTTCTTAACGTTGTTTAATGAGATGTAATTGCATAAACTAAGTGCTAGATAAACTAATTCGCCAATCATTTATATATTTCTTTATTTTAGCAAAAATAAAAAAAAGTACAGTGAAGCTTTCGGCCTCTTTCATAAGGTCATTTTCAATACTAAATTATGTTAAAGAAAATACAGACTATATATACAATCTATCCTTTTTATAGTTTTATTTATAACTTATTAAATAAATGTGGTAATGTCATAAAAGTAAATCAATGTTTCATTCGTGTTTGACAAATATTTCTTTGTTAACAATGCTTAATAATGAAAACGGAAAAGCAGCCTTTGTAGATAATAGTGAATTGTAATATTTTAGTACACATGTTAACTTAGCTTGTTTTTGTTTTCATGGCTAAATAGCATCGACCATAGTAGCCAGATGAAAATTACTTTCGATGATTGTTTATTCAAATTTTTTCATTAGCTTACAGCTGTTAGCCTTATCGATGTAAGTCAAAAACAAAATGTTCTATCTACACAGAGTAGAATGTCCTCTTCTCACTCGCCGATGACTCATCTAATTTCTATTTTCCAGTATTTTTGACTTTGTATTGTTGTTAAGAATCAATCGATGTTGTCAAAGAGGCCGAACTTCTTTTTTTATGATCCTTCTCTATTCTATGAGACAGTTACCGACGTAATTTCGTCTATGTTCGCTCAGTGTCAAGTTGACAACCAATATAATCTTATCAAAACATAGTTGTTTTTGTTGTCGACATTTATGTAAACATATATAGGCATGATGCTCTTATCTTTAAAGTAATTACATCTATTTCTATAAATATCGTTGACGCATCCATATTAGTCTTTGACATTATGGAGTGTCAAAAAAAAGGTTCTTATGATAGTTCTCTACTTTTTCTTAACTTTATTGTTGGTATGTCTTAAAATCCAGAATTTATAATATCTTAATCCTCTTGAAAAAAAGGTTCTTCTAGAGCTTGATTTTCATCCAAACTAAAATTGAGCATGTTGAAATTTCAATATAATTAATTAAATCGTAATTCGTCTAGTCTTAATAAAATTCTCTTTTCTTTAAATATGATAATCATTTCAAAAAACCAGGTGAAGATATTAGTATAGTTAATAACATTTTTAATCATTTATCACAAACACAAAACACACACACACACATGCGCAATTGTTTAGCATCATCGTCCATCTCGTCTGGTCGCTATTAGTTTAGATCATTCAAACAGAGATAATATAAAGAACAAAAAAATGTATAGAAAAATAGTGTGAGCGAGAAAAGGAAAAAATTTACAAGAAAACAAAAAAAGGTGAAGATAAAATTAAAAACAAAATGAATGCATCACCGATTAAGACTCGCGATAGTATTGTTCGAATTTTGTATACCACTATCATGACTATCGGGTTGATCCTGTTCATTAGATGATGGTTGTAAAACAGCACCATTAGTATTGGCAAATTTAAATATTGGACAAGTATTAGCAACGACTTCGAAAGCATCACGTCGATCAATATCAAGTAATTTCTGAAGAAAAAAACGAATCGTTAATGATGAATTTTTCCGTCCTAGTTCTTCAAATAATTGGTCAGTTTTCGATTGAAATATATCTTCTTGGTCAAGTTTGGGTATAAGATGTTGCTGTTGCAATGCTATAGCTAATAGACACCAATCTCTACCTATTTTATCTTGTTTATCAAATAGACGACTAAGTAATTGTCGAGTTCTTAATGTGAATATCGATATTGGTAAATCAGTACCGACAATTAAATGTGAAAATATTTCACTTGAACCACAACATAATAGATCAATAAGATCTTCATCAAAATCCATTGGTGTCACATGAAGAGTATCTTTGGACGATACTGTCGAATGACAACTATTCAATGAGTCCGACGAATGATGTTGTTTTATTATTGTTAGATGATTGTTATTATTGTTTCCATCGAGTATTGACGTCTAAAACAAAAAGAAAACGGGATACGTTTCGTTTCTTCTTCAACTATACAGTTAAGAAAACAAACTTGATTTATTCCTGATTGTTGCATTAACGTTTGAAAAATTAAATTTGGTGAGTAGGTTCGATAGTATGGTGAAATGTTAGGCTTTGATTCGGGGAAAATAAATGGTATCGAATGAGTTGAACAAGGTGAACCAGGAATTAAACCAGAAGAATCATGCTCAGTAATGGGTAATGATGTAACACTAGTTAAATAACGTCGTTTAGCTGTTGATAGTGGCACATGTAATGTATTTATTGTTGAGATTTGATTTAAATGAAGATGCTTAGTTGATATATAATGATGTTCTATTTGTAACATCGGACACATTTGATTAAAAACATGATCGATAAGCGAAAGAATATCATGGAATAAATAGAAGATTTGTTCACGATTCTGTATTTGCCCACGAGCTTTTAATTCTATATGTGTTGATACACTTTTTGTTAATAATAATTCGATCATTCCAACAACTAATTTTGAACCGTCAGTCCATTGAAATAATTCGACATCGTCACCACCACCATGTTGAACGAATTCATTGGACATAATTAGTCGACGAAGTTGAACTTGTATTCGTGGAAAAACTGACCAAAGTAATGAAGATAATGAACGCGACCGAATTTCACAGCCAATATAAATATATTGAACACCGGAACGTTTTTCCCATAGATCCGACATGATTTCGATTGTATTTAATTGAGGAAATTCAAATTCAAATTCACCATTGATGTCGATTTGTGTACAAAGATCATAGGCATTGAATACTTGTAAAAGATCTATTGGATCAGGAATTTCAGGAAATAACTTTCGTATATCATCAAGTGCAAAGGTTTCGTTCGATGATGAATAACGTTTACAGATTCTTTGATGGCTAAGAAGACGACCAAGAATTGTTTGACAAAGCCAATGGGGATCGAAACAAATTAAATCTTCTTGAGGATCGCCTTCCAAATATAGAACCTAAATAATCAAGAATTTTCTTGCATCAATCAAAATCGATTATGATAAAAGTATACGACAAGATCATTGTTTGAAGGCTCATTAAAATTAGATATGTAGTAGCTTCATTTCAGCGAGGATACATCCGTCGATTCGATTCTCAGAAAATAGTTTTATAAGTTAAGATGAGAGCTTATGATACCAAATGTCAACTATTTCTTTCAGGATCTTTCAGGAGATTATGCGAGTTTTCATTTCTATATTTAGACTTTCAAAACACTTTTTTTTCAGATAAGTTCATTCATTTTTAGTTCGAGATTCTGTAGTTTTAGTAGAGCAGCCAAAATATATCGTACATGATAGGACAGTACTTAACGATCTTGAAGGTAATTCATGCAGTATAATGTCAATAATGGTAATTAGTATGCTTTTTATTTGCTCAGATGATAGAGTAGCACTCAACCTAGACCTCATTACAATGTATAGTTCACCACATGGATAGAATTTTTTTATGGACATCGATAATAGTTGCCCTTTTCACGAAGCTAAACAAATAAATATTACGAAATCGAACTTACTTCTCCCATGATTTGTAATTGTTGAACTAATTCTCTCATATGTTCGTCACTAGCTAATGGATTTACTTCTTGTCGAATAGATTCAACGAAACGTGACCATGACATAATAGGAAAACTTGCAAATGTTTTTCTCCATTGCTGTTGAATATGATGTGTAGATCGATCGAGAAATATCGTTGTAGATTTTAATTTTTGACATATTCGTTCTTTATACTGATTGAAACATGCAATAAGATTTTTCATTGATGGTGTCCATGCAGCACGAGTGTCCAAGAGAAAAATTTTATCATGAAACTCAAAATCATCGATATAACGATTTTTAATATGATTCATAAATAGCTGAATTCGTTCACATGTATAATCTCCATCGTCGGATTTTATACAATCAGGTACAAGATCAGCATGTGTACCAACAAGTACTATTTTAGCTAATTGAGCACTACGTCCATTGAAACCTATAAAATCATAATATGAGAAGAAAATTTTACATCAAACGAATGATTATATTTTGACTAGTAGCGTAAGGCAGATTTTTATTTTCATACAATAGTATCTAGCATTCAGAAAAAAAAAGAACACTCCGTCTCTTCACTATCGTGTGTTCCAGGGCACTACACAATAATCCGGCAACTTTTACATAAAGTATTAGCTATTGTTGTACAAGGTATTCTACGATTAGCATAAATTGAAATAATTGCACTAATTTGTATAGGTCATCAAAGGATTCTTTAGTGAATCAACCTTAAAAATAGGATCACATAGCCCTTTTACAACAAATAAATTATCCATTCGTATTAATCTATTAAAGCCACTAGGTCAAATAAACTCATACGATGACTATTAGAACAAAAAACTGACATGAGAAATCTATGTTTATCGTATTAATTAATGGGAACTATTCGTTCAAGTAGACATATATATATATATATACATGTATATCATATCATGCCGACATCACTAAGGGCAAATGTATTATTTCTTCTTTAGCCTTCAGAATAAGAAGAACTTAATTAAAGAAGACATTTTTTTCGATAGGATAGGAATACGTCTCCAAAAATGTTTGAAAAAATTCTAGATTAAACAAACCTAAAGGTTCTTGTATTGAAATTCGAACTCGAAGAAATTCCAGCCAATAAATTAGATTTTGTTCTAATTCTTGTGCATCGTCAAGAATATTAAACAATAAAACATGAATACAATTGAAATCTCCAATGAAATGATCATATATTGAATGATAGGTATCCATGCCAGCCTAACAATCAAATATTCTTAAACTACTAATTTACATCTTAATATTAAAAAACGACTTACAAAATCCCAAGCACTGTATTGTCCACCACCTGAATATCGAAAAGCAAACAGAAGTTTTTCTAATCAATAATTCTACTCATTTTTCTTTTACCTGTACATGTTATTTGTTGAACACCAACACCCTTCGAATTACTTAAATTAAAAATCTCTGCATCGTCAAGAACAACTGATTTTCGATGTGCTAAAAATTAAATAATTATTTATTTATTTCTATGAAAAAAAACTTTTTTTTTCTTACCAATATATTTTTTGGTACTACTAAGACGATTTCGTCGAAAAAAACTGTTCAAATATGAACATTTTAAACTATCGATAAGAGTTGTTTTGCCTATAGAAGAGAAAAAAACGATAAATCAAATCAATTATCCATGAAATTTATTTATTCGATTAAATTACCCGTATCACAGTTTCCAAATATTTTTAATTTTATTCTCTTCAGAGGTTGTTTCGTTGATGTAAGTTGTTCCATAAATACTGCACGATTATCCTATTGAAAAAGAAACCATCAAAAATATTGATTACGAACTACAATTCTATTTTTCATTTACCATGCTTAATGCTTTAAGTAATTGAACAATCTCTAAATTGCCATTGATTTCAGCGATTTGACAAGCAGTTCGCGCATCCTATATGAGAGAAAGAAAGTTTTCGACCAAAATACTAGAGAAACAATAAATCTAACCTTATCTTGAATATTTAAATTTAAACCAGCTAAACAAAGAAATCGAGCAATTTCTACATGACCATGACGAGCAGCTAGATGTAGTGCAGTTGCATCGGCTTTATTTTTCAAATCCATTCGACAACCAAACGAAGTTAAAGATTCAACAACAGCTAAAAGACCTTCTCGACTAGCATAATGTAATGGAGTTTCGTTGTTCTAAAACATTGATTTAAGTTTCGAGCTCCGGCTTTTTTTAAAGGAAATAAATTTCATACATTATCAATGATATTAATATTACAGCCAGCATGTATCAATGTCAAAGCAATTGGTATTTGTTGTCGTTTACAAGCAGAATGCAATGCTGATAGACCTCTCTAAGAAAAGAAAAGAAAAATTATTAATAATGAAAAATTGAATAACTCTACTTTATCTTGAAGATCTAAATGTGCTTTATTATTGATTAATACTTGAACGATTTCAGCATTGCCACGTTGTGCCGCACAAATCAAGCCTGTTTCTCCTTCCTGCAAGATAACAAAGACATAATTGTTAGTTATTGTTGTTGTTGTTGTTGTTTTTTTCATTATGTTCTACTTTATTTCGAATATTAAGATCGGCACCAGCACCACATAGAATACGACATATTCGAGAATAATCATGCCAAGCAGCAACAATCAACGGTGTTTCTTCTTCCTAAGAAGATTCATATAAATAGGATTAAACATTTGCTGTATGACGAAGATGAAAAGCAGATTATTTACGTCATCTTGACAATCAACATTGCCACCTAATTTACATAAATGTTCGACAACGTGAGCATGCCCATATCGAGCTGCAACATGTAAACTAGTTTCGCCACTCTTATTAAACAAAAAGGAAAAATTTAGGATATAAAGTTGAAAACAACAAAATTAATCAAATAATTTTACTCGATTTGACACATTAATCGGAACACCTTTTTCATGTAGAAATGTAATTATTGGTACGTGTCCTTGTCTTGCTGCCCAATAGATAGCATTATTTCCAGTCTAAACAATCAATTTTCTTCTTTGAATATGCCATCAATCAATTTGATAAAACAAACCCCGTCAACAACCGTCAGAATTGCTTTCCGATCGGCTAATAACTTGACAATATCTAATTGGCCAGCACCAGAAGCAAAATGTAACGCAGTTTCACCATGCTATTGAAAGCATCAAATAATAAATTCTACTAATGAATAACTCAATTTCTATAATTACCTTATTATCTTTATTAACATCAATAGTCGCAAGATTACATAATTTTTTAATATTAGCTAAGTCGCCATCTTCGGCAGCACATAAAAGAGCGGTTAAAACAAAATCATCATTATCCTAATAACAAACACAAATCCTTCTTGTTTGCATCTCTATTCTATTGTGTTGATCCCTTACTTCAGCATAAGATCGACCAGACATATTTGAATCTAAATTATCTAAACTAATAGCGGATGAGATGGACGATAGACGTAATTGTGACTAAAATTAAAAAAAAGAAAAAAAAACAATTTCGTCGAAATTTTCTTCTCAAATAAAATCATACTTGTTTAAAAATTTTGTTACACAGGCTGATCGCTTTCACACACCTCTATAAAACAAGAACAAAAACGAAACTTGAGTATATCATGAATGAATTATTTTCAAGAAACAAATGATTAAAATATATGAAATTACTAAAAATGATCATGCTCTCTAAAAAATAAAAATTGAAAACAAAACAACATGCGAGGTGGGTCTCCGTTATATAACATTCACACGCATATATACGAGCTAAATACCCTTCTGTTTAGAAGAGGTTGTTGTTTTGACGACTTTTTTCATTTTTCGTGTTTTTGTTGTAACTTTTTTTAGAGTGCCTTCTTCAGTTTCTTCATATTGTATATTATCCGATTTTGATATTTTTAAATTTTCATCTGTATTAACTTTGTTTTGTACTGTTGTACGAACATTTTGTCCAGTTATTTCATCGACTGATTCAATAATTTTCATATCGCTTGTTTGCGAACGTGAATGTTGATCGGATACGATTTGTTCATTGGGTAAGGGATTTTTCATCAATGATGCGCCTGTATCGGCTCGCTGAGAATTGTGACGACGATGATGATGTTGTTTATCACCATTGTCATCATCATCCTCACCTTCTTCATTTTCTTGAAATGATTCAGCAAATTCACTCGATTTTATCTGTCTCATTTCAATATTTGTCGGACAACAATGTACACGTTTACTCGGATTGATCATTTCTTGTTTTTCTATTTGTTCAAGATCATTTTCTGATTCATCCGTTTCAGAATATTGCCCTTCATAGATAGCTGTTTTACCCTTACGTTCACTATGTTTAGCTGACTTAACGTTTCCATCTTTATCAAATTTTTTTGTTGTCACTGTACGAAGTGTACGTGATTCACAATGCATCTGTACCTTCCAACGACGACGAGCAATAAATGATTTGAATGATGGCATATTGATTTGAGCATTGCGACGTTCTTCTTCATCTTTTCGACGACGAGGCTAAAAAAACAAATATAGAATTTATCATAGCTAGATTATCGTTAACCAATGGCATACTTTGATCCATGGATGATTGAGACAATCGACAACTGTTGCTCGTTGACTATAAAATGAAGAAGATATACTTGTTATTCATAACAACAACAACAACAAAAGATCGACATGTACTGATGAGTTAATAAGAACATTTTCCTAAATGTTTACTTTACGTAACTTACCGAGGATTTTTAACGAAAAGTTGTTGAATAAAACCTTTAGCTAAATCACTTGTATTCGCAAAAAATTCCTCGTCAAAACGATAATCAACTTGAGAAATATTATGAAATGTTTCTTGATTTGTATTGCCAAGAAATGGCGAAGCACCACTTAACCTAAATAAAAAAACGTATATATACATATATAATCTTAACTTGATCAGATACGTTTTGCTTTCACTTACAAAATATATGTTATCACACCAATACTCCACATATCTGTTGCTAATGTAACCGGTTCGAATTCAATTACTTCCGGAGCTAACCATATTTAAATAGAACAAACGGTTCTCTAAAAACAAATAGCACTAACTCACCAACAAACTCTGGTGTTCCAAATGTTTCTTTTGTTGGCTCATTTGGTCGAAGTTTTCTCGATATACCAAAATCAATAATTTTTATTTGAGTTCTATTCCTTTCAAGTAACATTATATTTTCTGGCTGAAAAATTTTAAAACAAATTCATAACATCATCATTTTCTCTTTCCAAGAATTCTACCTTAAGATCAAGATGAACAATATTTTTTTCATGCATATGATGTACACCTTCGAGAATTTGTAAAATAAATTTTGCAGCTTCTTCTTCACTCAATGCATCTTTTTCAGCAATATAATGAAAGAGTTCACCGCCACCCACTCTATTAAAAATATATAACATACATATTCGTATGTAGACTATAAAATATTTTGTCTATCACATACAATTCAAGTACCAAAATAATTTCATGTTTGTTTTCGAATACATCATGCAATGTAATAATATTTGGATGTGGCGCTAATTCACTGAGTATATCGGCTTCACGTAAGATTTCTTCTCGTTTAAGACCTCGTTTTCCAGAGGTACATTTTTTCTTTCGCACAAATTTAGCTGCATATTCATGTCCTGTACTAATTTCACATACGCGTTTTACCACAGCAAATTGACCGCTAAAGAAAAATAAATAAATAAATAAAACATGAATCATCAAGAGTTTCTTTTCTTTCTTTTATGATGGATGTATTAAGTGCTTTGCCTATTTCTTTTGCACAGTAGGAGTTCGATCATCTTTATTTTTCTTCATCTCAAATGGAGAGTAATGAGTAAGAATTATTGTGGCACCTCAGGGCAATCATATTGACGCTAGTATTGCATCGATGCATGTCTCACCTAATTATTATTAGTTTTGTTTTATATCTATATATACATATATGTATGTATGCAGAAGCATATAAGATTTATGATTGTACATTCATTAGAAACTCAATAGGATACTGTCGCTATAGTTGCTTGAGAAAAAAAAATAGAGAATAATAATAAACACTATCATAGCGCTACGGTACCTAGTATTATCTTTTCCTTGCCCATTTTCTATTCTCTTTTTGTATGATAAGGCAGTTGTACATATATACTCATGTGGACCAACAAAACGAATCAGAATAACGAAGCCTCGTGCAAATAGTGACATGAACATGAAGGTATTTGCAAATCATAAATGAAAGAAATTCAGTTTATGTGCAAATCGACAATTATTGTGTATAGTCAATTTTGTCTCAAGATTCTATCTCTCTTTCATGTTTATCGAACAACAGATGCGCTTTGTTTGATAATGAAGAAAACACAAGCCCATTATCTTGCGGTAGATATGTAGATGCAAATGTATATATGAATCTATCTCTGTTAATTGTTTGCAATATGATTGCTTGTTCTGCTTTTTGTTTCTCTATTACGCAATCGAACAATGCACAAAGAAAATAAATGGTATTTATGTCAAGTACTCTTTACTAAATTCATTTCGTTATCGGTGTAAAATAAATAGCAGAGTAACGAAGAAAAAAAAAGAAGAAGAAGAAGAAGAAAAGATCAACTCACCTTCCAAGATCATCTTGAATTTCATAAAAACTATCGAAATCGTCTGTAATTATATTAAGTACCATAGTAATAAATTATTTTTATATATTAGTATTATGCTTCGTGTGCCTCATGATCTGAAAAGTATGGAGAATAGATAGAATACAAGATGATTAAAAGAAGAATAAAGCAAGCATATAATAAAGAGAAAGACAGTATCACATATACATGGATTACTTATAGAAATCACTATAATGATAATCTTCGCTACGACTAGAAGAAACATAACCAACTGATTGAAAAGAATCGACATGAGATGTGTGTGTGTGTGTGGAGAAAGAGGAAACGACGAACAGAGACTTCTTTCTTTTTTCTCTTTTCTTTCTATCATTAGTAAGACTCGCCTGTTGCTTTTTTCGTTTCTCTTTCTCTCGAACAGTACAGTACAACTCTTCTCTCTACTGACATACGCATGTAGCTATATAGCAAAAGATAGCACCTCATTCTTCTACTATTCATTTGTGTATCCTCTTTGTATATTCGTAACGTGATAGATCAACAACAAATATGGTCATGAATAGCATTGCAAAATAGAGATTTTTAAAGTATCAAATAGAAAGATATTAATATTGAACAAATTTTAATAAGCACAATTTGTTCACGATCGTTGAATACGATCTATCAAATAAAAAGGCAACATGATGACAACAAAAATTGATGAGTAATTATATCGGCTTACGACAATTTTATCTACCAATCATCACCTATGCCTTGATTACCTTGTTGACCTTCTCTTACAATACTTTTCTAAAAGACAAAAAAAAGAGAATATATAACAAATAAAAAAAAAGGAAGAAGAAAGAGACAACCTTAAGTAAATATATGTTAATTTGATCTTAAATGTAAACGAACGTTGTCCTTATGAAAATGAACTTAGTTTTCATTTTACTTCTATCAGTCGCTGATCTTGTTAGCAAGTTAAAAAAGAAAGTATTTATATTTCTAATGAATCTCGATAAGACATTATGACAGTTCAATTGTGTTCTTCAAACGAAACCCAACAAGAACAAGAAATTTATTGAACACATTATTATTCAAAAATAAAATTCATATACAGAGTTAATATTACCTATGGAGTAGCATCGTAAACAGCAATTTAAGTGGATAAGTACGTAATAATTTTATCGTTGATTTTATTCATTCGTGTTTCGTGCTTTTATGCTTACAGTATTATATTCCACCCCTAAACATGCGTTAAGACATACAGTAAATATTTAAATAAAAGCTGTTAGAAGAATTAGAATGGAAGAAATGTGAAGGTTTTAATAACAATCTATTCACTTATTTCGCAGTTATTCTCGATCGAAGTACATCAATTTTGATTATAATACAACTTGACAGGTAGAAAAAAAAGACAAAGATTACTATGTCAGTCACGATGTGTATCCTTGTATAAGTAGATTTCTTGAAGCTTTGGCATTGATATTAATGAATACTCAGAAGTTTTATTCATTGATGAATAAAAACCAACCAAAGTAGAACATTTCTCTTATTGAAGATAGTATTCCATGGAGATGTCAGAATATAAGCAAAGAAATTGTATATCTCTAGAACAATAATATGTAGGTCGATACGCAATATTCTTATAATTTATATTCTCGAAATATCAATTTAACTATGCAAGACATTTCCCAATCGGGATACACTTATTGGAGCATCGCTCATAAGAAACCAGGATAGATATAAATCTTTTATAATGATATTTTCACTAGAGATTTGATATCGTTGAATTAAAAAATAAATCAACTTTATAGGGCGTTCATGGAGAATTTAATTTCTCTTTCACATATATTTAGAGCCCATTAGAGATTACACATGTGAGTAAAATTGATCTAAACCAGAAGTATGATTATTGACATGTTATAGAATTTTTGTAAACTCTTCAACTATAGGAGAAATTAGTTTTGATAAATCAAGATAAATATCATGGGTTAGATTCTTTCTGCGTAAGATCAAGAGATTATATCAAATATCAAGAGAAATTTTGACAAAACTGATGGTCAAAAACATAGAGAAAGGAAAACTGTTGGATTGTTTTTTTCTACGTAGATGGAAATAATTGATTTGATCAATGGCAGTAATGCCTACAGTAGAAATAATCTCCGTACTAAGTTTGCCTACGTTTGAAATACACGTGACCTTGTGTTCTAAACGATTGATTCTACCTGTTTTCTTTCCATTAGATTTATCCTCTGGTATGTATACATTTCTACAGTATGTTACGACAAAAAGAATGAATGCATTTCAATCATAACCGAATAAATTTTATTCGGTTATAATTGACTTAAGATAAAATCTCGTTTAGAATTTCTCCTAAGAAAATCTTTAATATCTATATACAGATTCGTGGTTAACGTGCTGAAGTAAATAATCATTTAGCATTCTTTTAGGTACATTAAGTACTTCCAAGCAAATGGAACTCAGCGATGGAAAATCTCGAGTAGCGCTGCAAGAAATAATCGGGATAACGCTACAGAAAGCAAAGAATCGTTGCAGTAAACGAAAATACCAACGAATTAGTTAACACGAGACTTTGCTATGTGCAAAATTTGCTTAAATGTCAATCAAACGAGATAATCTATCGTACACATCATCGGCTTATAGCTTTCCCTGTTTTACCATTTTTTGTCTTAAAGAAGATTCGCTCGATTACCCTCACTTGATTTTATCATACGTCAAAAATTTAACTAGATTTCTGGCAGCTTTTTCTGTTATTGCCATTTGTTTTATTTTTGTTGCAATTATCTGTTTTTTATCTATTTTTTTCTCCAAGATGAGTATCGTCATGCTTCGTCAATAATAGCAATCATTTTTCAAAGCACTCTTGATTGTTACTAATGAAGAGAAAACGTTTTGTTTTCACAGAAAAACAAATCATAATATTTTTACCAAGTCTATATTGTTCAGTTGTTTTATACATGATAAAATCAACGAGAAAAGTTTTAAACTCAAATGCTGTCAATGTTTAACCTTGTTTTATTGATAAGCGTTGTTGTAAAAATAGATTCGATTATGAGAATCATAGACGAAAAACAAGCGACTGTTACGAATATATACTGTGCGTTTCATATATTTGAGAAGTTCTTCAAAAATCGTGTTTACTCATATTTTTATATACATTTTAATTATATATCTTTGGCTTAAACAATACATCTAACTTGTTTTCTCATTTTCTACATTAACTGTACAGGCAATGTTTCCACCACTACCAAGAAATTATATTGAAATAAATTCTCTTTCCATTTTCAACCTCTTCATTATATAATTTCGAATAAATTGACAACTAGTGTAGTCTTGGTTTCATGAAAATTTAAGACTTAAACTAATTTATATTATTATAAAAATAATTGAAATACAGAAGAAAAAGCTATATTTTACAAGGTCTTTTACATACAATTCAAGACTTACCGAAGTCGTCATATGGCACGATTGACGAAACATATTGCTTAGAAAAAGAGTCCAAATAAACAAGCTTGCTATCGATTTCTCATACTTTTCAGATCACCGATTGATGGTAAACAGGTGTAAAGTCATCCAATATATGTGAAAGCTGTTGTTCTTCAGCTTCAAAACAACAATGAAATGAGTTTCGATAGGTAACGCTAGATGTCGGTGTAAACTCGCCCTGAAAAGGGTTTGTATAAGACATATCTGTCAACGCATTATTTTTTGTCTTATTTCTGGCATAGCTTAGATGATGTGTACGCCTGATTAGAAGTAAAAGAATTGTCATTAGATATATAGATAGACTAAACAATGCCGACAGTCTTTAATTCTCGCATAGTACATTTTTCTAGTTGCAATCAATGTGTGTGTACAGCTCCATTGGCTGTCTTGCAAGAGTTTGCTCAATCTCAATTTAGAGTAGAAAAAACTCTGAAAACTTATATTGCAGAAATTTAAAAGCTTCTGTTACTTTAGCTTTTAGCAGTCGAAAATGTCCCACTTGATGTACCTTAATTCAACGTAAATAACCACATAATCGACATCAATAGAAGCCGTAAATACTTCTAGAATTTGAATTTTTTTATATTACTAATACATCGAATGCATAGCGCTCAACCATATTTTTACAGTTCATTGGTTTAACAATAAACGAACCATTGGTTTATGGGTCAAATTATTCGATTTCCTAATACCGTATCTCATAGATCGTTGAGTGAAAACAGTATGAAAGCATTGAATTTTAACATTTCTTCAAATTTTCTAATCTACATTTATGTAAATGTAGAGTTATACACGATAAAATGACATCTCTTCTTCTTCTGTTTTAATATTTTTGTGCATCCTCTTTTTTATTTTTTTTCTATTGTGGATAGATCAACAACAAATACAGTCTCGAATAACACTGCAAGATAACGATTTAAATAGATGAAATATAAAACTTTTTGATGTTATACGATTTTTAATACGCCCGATTTGTTCCTGATCGTTGTGTACGATCTATATTGTAAAAAAGAAGAACATTAAATTTAAAAACACAATGAAGGATTAGTGAACTTACTCCAATTTTGTCCACCACCACCGCCGCCACCGCCACCACCAGCACCACCACCACCACCACCACCACTTGTACCTTGATTACGTTGTTGACCTTGTTGTGGTTCTATAAGTACGAGAAAATAATGATAAGAAAAATTCTTCAGTATAAACATACGTTGATTGGGTCTTGAATAAAAGTTTGGTTCACCATTACGAAAATGAACTAATTTTTCATTTTGCTCATATAATTGAAAGACCTTTTCAACAAGTTGAAGTGAAAGTGCTTGCGTTCTTGATGGATCTGTATGATGCATTACAACAGTTTGATTGGGTTCTTCGAGTGAAGCCTATAAGAAGAAAAAACGTTTACATCTATTTAAACTAATAATAAGAAAAAGATATAAAATACCATAAGTTCTTCATTGATAATCATTTTACTGATAATACCATAAACTTGTTTAACCGGTAATTCAAACATATCAGCTAGGGTTGACATGGAAATTGCATCATAAACAGTAGCGTAAGTAAATAAGTAAGTACGTAAAGATTCTTCTTTAATTTTATCGATTAACATTTTTCGTACTTCGTTAGCTTGTGGCATCAAATTCCACACCTAAAATCCAATCAATAGATTTGTTTCAATCTCGAATTTTTCATTTCAGTAAATGAACGTTTTAATGATCAAACAGAAATAAAATTTTAGTTCAGCATATTTCTTTACCTTGCCATTCATTTTTTCATTAATCAAAAAATTGACACATGCACTCCAATCGCCTGTCTTCATTGCTCGACTTGCAGCGACAACATGTTCACGCATAGATTCCGGCGGTCCAAAGACAGGCTGTTTTTCTGCTTGGCGCATTTGTGTATGAAAATGTTTACTAATTGGACGTTTTCGTGCATCATATTCATGAGCTAAAATATCAGTATAATACATCCCTTGGATCTCTCATATAAATAAATAAACTTACAAGCCATAAATGGAATTTCAATTAACATAGCTGATACAAGATAAACGCATTCAATTAATTCTAAATTAATGTGCATATGAAATGGTAATAGACGTTGTCGTTCTTTCATTTCTTGATCTCGTGTTCGTTCTTGATTACGTATCATTTGAACTCCTTGTGCTAATAATTCTTTAGCGCGATTACCCGATTGCATATCAACTAATGCTTGATGTGCTTCACGTATTGCACCAAAACGAAAAGCACATAAACCTAATTGAACAATAGTTCTATTATATAAAATTTGTGTCGCAACATCCGATGTTGCTATTGTATCTTGCATATGACACATTAACATTAAATCTCGAGCTTCATAGTAGTGATCGTGTAATGCAAAATGATAAACATGACAAAGACTTGCACGAGCACGTGCACGATTCAATGTGTCTTTGGCATAAATAAATTTGCAAAGACGATCGATAATAGCAACCGACGGTTTTCCTGCTGTTTTATCATATTTATAATAGAGATGTTCAATAACACACATATATGCTGTACATAAATGTTGCGCTTGAACAAGTGGAACTGTACCAGCTTCAGAATCACTGCTTATCATTACTTGATTGTTTGCTTTTGATTCTAAGTATAATTTTAAACGGTCAATAATGGAACATACACGTAATTCATCTTTCAAGCGTTCAACATAATCTTGACTATGAGCATCAGCATTTTGTAAGATTTTTGTAAATTCTTCATCCATTTTAAGAATTATTGTTATTGCATCGCCATGAATACGATAGTCTGGTTCTTTCTATAGGAAACAAAAAAAAAGAAAGTTTATGTACTACACGCATTGCCATCGAAACGAAATATGATAAAATTGAATCTCTTGAAGAGAGAATTAACATTTATAATTTAGTTCTGAATTAACACGTCTCTAGTAGTTATGCTAGGTTGGAAAAAATATTTTGATGGGGTGAGAGACGGTACTGCCATATTTCCAAATAGAGTTAATCATGAATTTTTTACCAAATGAAAACCCGTAAAAAATGGGGTTTATTGGTACTAAACAATAAGGACTATCGAAACTTAGGAAATTCCACTGATCATAAGTGTGCGAAAAGTTATTGATGAGAAAAAGTTCGAACTAAATGTGATACAAAATTCTTTATTTTTCATTGTCTAATGAAAACCTCTAGTCACCAGAACAGTGCTCGTTTCAATTTTTCCAAAAACTATCTGCTTTTTTCTTCGGCTTACAATCCTCTAAAAATGAATTATAATGATTGCATTAGGCAAAATTCTTCAAACTTCGACAGTTTCAGTATACGAAAGTTTCGATAACCTTAACTATTTAGTACTAAAATAAACCCCATTTTTACGGGCTTTCATGTGGTATAAAATGCATTATTAATTCTATTTGTAACTATGGCAGTACACCTCCCCCCTATCAAAATATTTTTCTAGCCTAGTATCGCGATACTCCCACACAATCGATCACATATTTTTTCATCGAAAAGTTTTTCCAGAGTTATCATTTCGGTAACTCCTGATTTTGAACTTACTTTCAGATTTTCTGCTTCCTCACTAATATTTTCACTGATTTGAACTTGTTCATGTTTAGTCAATAAAGTTAATAATTCTTCGATATATTCGAGTGCGCTAAAAAATAGAAATGAACAGGTAAAAAAATTTAGTTATGGAATATTTTATACCGTGTCCATGTTTCTGGTTTTAAACATTCATTACCCTTGTGATGATAATCAAAACTAACAGCAATTTGTATTAATAGAATTTTGATATCAATACCGACACCTAAATTTTGTTTTTCAGCATATGATCGAAGAAGTTTTAAACATTCCAATTGATCACGACGATTTGTACCACGTTTACCACGCATAGCAATTACTTCATTAAGTTTTTTCAAAATAGCTTCGTGTGTTATTTCTTCATCTTTGGCAAACGAAACAAGTTTTTGAACCTAGAAATGTTTCAAACGAAAACATATGGTAACTTTTTCTCTTGCAATAAAAATAATAGACGAATATTTACATCTTGTCGAGGTCCACCATCTCTGTCGTCATCGTCATCATCGAGTTGTTCAGTCAGAGCTTCAGCTCGACGTTGTTTTGCTACACGCTTAGTACTAGCTGCATCTTTGCTCTTAGTACTTTTTTCTTTTTCAGGTTTATCCGATCTAAAATCAAAGACAAAACTTTTTTTCTCCTCATTCAATAAGATAATTTATTACTTCAAAAATTTTTTGTAAAGTTCTTCATTTGGTGCATCGATATCAATTGAACTATCCGAAGATTCACCGTCAGTTTGGTCCCATGATTCATCACTTGATGCACTGTCATCATCCTGGAATAATATATATATATATATTTTACGGCATAGATATTTTTGAATAAAAATTTTAGTTTTTCACCTCTTGCGGTTTTGCTTTTGCTGGTGCAACTACTGCCGCGTCTTCTTCATCTTCGTCACGCTCAGAACCTTCATGGGCTGGTGAAGCTTCACGTTCAGGTACTTCTTCATCAGCAACATCAGGTCTCTAGAATGAAAATTATTATTATTTTGATAAAAAGTGAAATTCTATTCATGATAACGAACTTCACGATAGGCATTGATTTCTTTCTCCAATGTTCCTTGTTTTAAATATCGACGAATTTTTTGCCGTAATGCGCTTAAATTATTTGAATTATTTTTAGTAAGCGTTTCACGCCATTCTCGATCACTCCAACACTACGAACAAAACTAATATTACGAAAAGAAATTCAATTTATTCATTTTACTGTATTAACGAAATCATCCATTTGTGCCAATATTTTTATAAATGGTCTTGGAATACCTACAGAAGAAAAACAATTTTTGTATTTAGTTAAATACAAAAATAATGTTTGCATTACCTTGATCTTTTTCCAAAACTCGTCTGGCTTTGTCGAATGCTTTTATTAAATTTTCATAACCTATACACAATATATAAAAGAAAAATATTATACATTGAATAAAATCAATCGCTGACATTCATAGACCAAGCCAATATCGCGAATACGCATTGCGTGTTTTATTTTCTTGATAATTTCTTCAATTTCTTCGTATCTAGAAGAGAATTAGATGTTATTCTTTATCGATATGTACATTCAGAGATATACCGTTTTTCTTTTTCACTTCGTACAACACGTTTAACGTCTTCTTCATCTTCACTTACTTCAAGGTATGGCTTAGGAGTACTAAAATGACAAGTCGATGAATTATTTAACGGAAAAAAAAACTTCAGTCGAAGAGATACGTACTGTTTTGCTACACCTTTGCCGGCACCCTTTTTTGCTGCTTGAACTTGTACTTGTTGTTCATCATCACTGGTTTCTTCGCTTGATGAGGAGCCCTCACGGAGGAAAAAGCGATTACTAGCCATGGTTAATTTTTTCTGAAATATGATTTATGTTAGAAGAAAATAGTATTGTTAGGAAATTTTGAAATATTGAAGACAAGTTGGAGTTTTATAGTTTCTCGCCTTACGAAAGAAAAAAATAAACAATTAGCTCGCTTTCTCGTTTCTGAATGGACAAAATCGAGTTTGTAGAAAGTGAATCAAAACATGGTAGCCAAAGAAATGTGGCTGACTTCATATGAGATGAGTAAACCAATAGAAAATGAGTCCATACATTATCCATGCTCGACTATTTTTTCCTATTCTGTTGTCCATGAAATAACAAGTGGAACTACATGAGTCATTCGATTCACTTGTGTTATCTCAGTATATACATCATCAACGTATTCAAAACAGAGCTGCAGCTGTTTTAGATGCACATGAGGAGTTTGACGAATCATTGATGATTGATATAGTTGCACATTGACATCGTATAAGTGTTGAACAAATTCAAAAAGATTTATATGGTGATCATAAAGAATTTAAAAAAAGATTTGAAACAAAATCTGTCTTAAAATTCGAAAACGAAGTAAAAAGATGTATGAAAGAAATCGAAGATGGTATTCATCCTACATTGGCCAGTGTTGCACACAATGTTCTATTTATATTGATACATAAATTAGAAAACAATAAATATGATAAACAACTGATAACTGACTTTTTTCATAATATTAGTAAACTAAATGAAAATGGAAAAATAAAAGATAATAACGATAATAATTTGGTAATCATGTCGCTCGTTTCAGTAAAATCTGAATTTAAGTTAATGTTTCTTGTTACTTTTTGCTTTTAAGCTAGTCTATCAAGCGGTATTTTGACTCAATCAACACTATCATCAACCGAAAATGAAGCATTTGATAATCGTTGTGTTAATAGTGTATTAGGGAAAATGCGTTTTTTTCTGTTTCATTAATTTCATCCTCATAAACATGTCACAGACTGTTTCGATGCTGATTTAAATATACTTCCAATGCTACCATCAAAGCGCCAAAAAACACGTTCTTATGAAACGACTGCATTAGCAGTATCTCAATTAGAACTAGATTGGCTTGTAACACATAAGAATGGAGTTGGTTTAATCAATACTAATTCACAAAACAAATGTCTGAATATCTGTTATATGAACTCAATAATACAATGCTTCGCGTACATTGCTCCATTTGTTCAGTGGCTATTGAGTAATAACATGCATAGTATATGTAAGCTTATGATTGAATAGTAAACTAATAACCATGAAAATGGCATCAATTTTAGTTCATATATATGCATATATGAGAATATTGAAGACAAAAATGAGAAAGTTTTTTTCTAATATTTGAAAAAACATTGACAATTGTTATATATGTAAAAAATCATTCTAGTTCTTTTAACTATCGAACGAAACTTTGTTTTTCGATTGTGAAAGAAAAACATCTTTATATATATATTACGAATCAATAACTTCGAATAAAATTATATAGTTGGTATTGTTTAACATACTATCAATCAAATATGTATGTTTGATGTAGTTCAATTGCTTTGCAATTATCACCATGTTTCTCAATACGATTCTTTTCAATTGTAAAAATATCTCATTTAATAACCGAAAGTATTCTTCGATGTATGTCTCATTATTTGTGTTGTTTTCATAAACATACATAGTTTGATACTCTTTTTCTCTTATTCTTTCACGAATGTTCAGAGTGACATATACAGTGTATTATTAGCTATCGAAGTTAATAAAAGGAATTCTGCGTTATCTACTGTTCTTCATATCCTTCAGGGTTCTCATCAATTTAAAGATAGACACGAGTATTTTTACCTTTTTCCTAATAGCATGAAATTCAATATTAATCAAAGATAATATGTATTCAGTGATAATCAATATGTAAGAAATTTTGATCAAATTGGAAAGGATACATAAATATGTGTGCATTTTCGTAGAAACAACTCAAACAACAAGAGACATTATGCCAGCTTAGATTTAATGGGAAAGATTGTTCGATGAAAAGTTTATATAAAAATTTTTCATCAAACGATTGAAAAGAAATAAAAAAAAATTTCGACAACTGCAAAGCAATTGAACCAGATCAAACATGCATCTTATCGATACTATACTAAAGTATACCAATTAGATTACTTATTAGAGTGTGCTGATTGTTTAAGAAATCTCTTAGATAAGTATTGAGCAACAAGATCAAAATATTGAAAATGCTCAGAGAATAACAAAAAGCAAATCATTTAGAGACATCAGTGATCATGTTGACAAAAGAAATTCAATAGGAGAAAAAATTCAATGAACTTAATTCATATGAATTCTTGAATTTTCTCTCAATAGAAATATTTTTATTAAATATGTATGAATATGAGATTAAAATTATTTTTATTTTATAGTTACATTGACAGCTGATGGTGAATTCTGTTCTTTTTATGTTCTTCGTTCTATTAGAAAAGACATTCACAACAAGAACATTGAAAATAATTGTGATCTATTTTCTTCATCATCACAAGCATCAGCTGTCTCTATGGCGAGAAATATTCAAAAAATATCCTCAAGTTTCACCCCAGGACGTCAAGAAAATCCGTCTGAATTTCTAATTTGTCTTTTTACTCATGTTAATAAACGTCTTTCATCTAATAATTCATCATCATATGTTACACATGCATTAAGTTCAATTCATATAATATTTGGAGTTAATTTAGAATCATCTATTAAATGTACAATGTGTATGAATGAAGCTAGCAAACAAAATTATGAAAGTGTTTGGTTTATTTCAATGGTCTCGCACAGAGCTCCGCGGGACGACCAAAATTATGTCCCATCCCGCTCAATTTTCAGTTTTACCTTCCCGTCCCAGGACGGGACGGGATTCATCCCAGGACGGGACGGGATTCATCCCGCGTCCCGCGGAGCTCTGCTTGATACCATCTAAGTGTTTGCTAACGTTGTAAAAATATAAACTCTTTAAAAACTACAGTTATAATCATAAACTATGTTGAAGAGAAATTTTCAAGGAAAAATCGATTTGCTATCAATTTTATAATAAAAAATCTCAAAACGATTCTAAAAATAATCAACAAGTAGGGGCGGCGCCAGTGAGGGGCCAGGGGCGGCTAAGCCCCCCCCCCCCTAGAAAGTTCAAGNTGAATAAATCCATCAATTGATCATCATTCATTGTTATCTGTACAAGACCAAAACATGAATGTCGAGCATGCTTCATTAGATGGTAAACACGATTAGTGTCTTTGTTGATCATTGATAATATCCGATTGTATAATTCTTCGACGTTGTTCGACCCTATTCAAAACAAACAAACCATTATTATTTAAAAAACGAAAATCAAACAATACATTACCAATATGAGAACAATAATGTTTCTTTAGGAATTCTTTGCAAAGAAAAGCTTGTTCGGACACTGCTTTTGTTAGTTGATCTTCTAATTTTCTTTCAATAACTTTGTTCTTCTTAGCCATTTGTGAATCTGTACATATTGCATCCGAATGAAGACGAGAATGTTCTTCGACTGAAGCAGATGACTTTATACTTTCTGAATCACTCGAATGAGATGAGAGAGATGGTGGATTTTTATTCTGTTGATATACGATTTCATATGATAAAAGTGATCTATCTAAAACATGAGAAAATAGGAAATAGTACAATATAAACATCGTATAATACATGAAATTTTAAGACATACTTGTTTCCTCCATAACAGATTGATCATAATCATAATTTATATTGCCTTTAATTTTCATATTAGCATCTTTATGATTCATGCTTGATTTACTAATTTCTTTTAGAATTTCTGAAATAAATATAATTTTTATTAATATTCATCGAAAAAATAAATTACCATTTTTATAACGATGTATTCCAAGAGGCTGTTGACAACTTGAACATTTTGCACCATCACGAAGAAAATCATATTCAAGTAAACTTTCAATGGCAAGATTACATTTCATATCCTGAAAACAAACAAACAGGTATTGTCAATATATTAAGATTCGAAATGAACATTTTTATTTACTATTGTTGACATTATTAGTTTTAATGTTAATTGGGCCGAATTGAACACGAGTTGTATTAGATTTGAATATAATAGCAGAAATATATATATATATGGATGACACAAACAATTGTAGACTTAGGATCAATCTAAGAATTCGATTTCATTTATATTAGATTTTTTAAAACAATAAGAAGAAAGAAACAATGAGAATGAAATAACATCATTATTCAAGCGAACCAATCATTGCTCGTTTAACTATATATATATATATATATTATACATTCCATTGTAAGAATTACGAGAAAATATAGCGATTTAAAAAAATGCAAATATGTTGCGGCATCTAACGTTTTAATCACACGAAGAAGTGCGACTTGTATGAAGTACTTCTCAATTCTCTTGGTTTCATCTAACATTGTTAAAAGAAGAAAAAAAACATAATTCGTTCATACAACAACAACAACACCAAAAAAAAATATAATAAAACTTTTGTTTTACAGAATACTTTATTAATAGCAAAAAATAATGAAAATAATTCTATTTGTTTTTGCTAAATAGAAAATAAGAGAAACAGATATTATGCTTTTCGACATATAAGCATAAGTAAATTTTAGAATTAAATTCCTTTACATTTCTAGTTCAAATACCAGTAATAGAGACTCAAATAAATATTCATGTTTGGGTACATTGTTTCTAGTCTATGTATTGATTATAATATGATCATTTCAAATAATGATGTATTCATTCAATATAGGTTTTCGAATGATCTATAAAATTCTTGAAGTTTTATAGTTAATGAGAAAAAGAAATGATAAATCATGAAGAAAAACAAAGTAAAATACATATTGTTGAAACATTCATATTTATATAAACATTTTCTTATATATATACCTATGTATTTCTTTTTAATGAAATATAAAACAACATGACATTATTAATATGTTTCTTTATCATTTTGAATTTTCTTAAGTATTATCCATATAAACTATGATATTATATATTCATTTTCTATTTAATATTTTTCATCGAGACCGAGGTCTTTTTCTTTTATTTTGTACTCGGAAAAAAAATCGTCATGATTTTTATCCTTTTATTTAGATCAATTCAACAACAACCGCAATAAAATTGTTACATTTTTCTTTTTTTTGTTCTTTTGTTCTTTCTTTCCATACTTAGACTTTATAGTCATCTTATGCTTTTTATATTCTCACCAACAATAAAGATTGAAAGATTGTTCTCTTTTACATGTTGTAGATGTTGCCGAGAAATGGCAAGCATATATCTATTCATATATAGCTATCAGAGGTGTCCACAGAGCAAGTTTTATTGCGCTTCCGTGTCCTGCTTCTTCATCGTACCTCGCCCTGTTCTGGCAGGGCAAAAATGATTCGAAATTTTTTTATGCTGCCCTGTCCTGCCATTTCGACAAGGCCCCCCTGTCTTGCAAATTAAGAGGAAAAATTTTCATGTTCATATTTAAGTTGTATTATTAACTCTTATTGACAAAGTAACTCACAGAAAGGACTCACGATTGGCAAATCGTAACGTACCAGGTACATGAGAAAAAAATGCGTTTGATCTTTTCTTTTAATTGGTTTTCCATTAATCTAACGAACAGAACCTCGCTCACCTACTTAGGTTTTACACGCTTTATTTGAGTCAATCGAGAATCATCTATGCAAACAGCAGAAGAATATGATAACATCAGAGAAAATCATCGATCTGTGTATGAAAGAAAACGCTTAGTTTCACTAATGGACCTATAAGCTGATTTATGACAACATGTTAAGCAGCTCATACGATCATGAATTCGTTCAAATTAATGTTGTTTTTATTTATAACAACTGAATAACCAAATGATCCCTTTTAAAATGCTTAAGTTTATGCTGATTCAAGTTTTAAAATACAAAAATGTTGTATTTCTCTTTTAAAAAAGGGTTTTAAATGAATAGGTGTAGTTATATGACGAAGTTACACCACTAACAGAGATATTTGACTCATATACAACAGATACCTCATTTTCATCAACGGAAGAGATTATGGGAATATTATCGTGCTAGTCAGTTGAAGGTGATGGCATTAGTACAGTTTTATTTTGAATAGAGCTACTAAAGTAGTATTCGTTTCTTTCCTGCTACTTTGCTCAGATTTATATACTATCGTACGACTTAAACATTATCGTATGGCAACCAATTTTATCTATAATTCGATAATGCTATCGCAATTTCTCATAGGTTGTTCCACATTTTCGAGAAAAATAAAAAAGCTGTTATTTTCAAACTAAAGTAAGCACATGTAAAATTTTCAGGGCACGAAGGTATTGCCCTGTCCTACCCTGCTTTTTCCTCTTTGCATCCTGCCCTGTACAGGGCAGCGTCATTTTTTAAATATTCGCCCTGTCCTGTACAGGGCAGGGCACAGGGCAGTCCTGCCCTGTGGACACCTCTGATAGCTATATATGAATAGATATATGCTTGCCATTTCTCGGCAACATCTACAACATGTAAAAGAGAACAATCTTTCAATCTTTATTGTTGGTGAGAATATNGGATATTATCAATGATCAACAAAGACACTAATCGTGTTTACCATCTAATGAAGCATGCTCGACATTCATGTTTTGGTCTTGTACAGATAACAATGAATGATGATCAATTGATGGATTTATTTAAATTTTTAAATAATTATCTACCACCAATATTTGAAGAAAATATATAGAGGTTGTGCTCGTAAAAAAAAGTATGATATTGATGCAAAGTTCAGATCTTGGTTATCGACCTTCCATTTTTATAATCATGGACGAACGATCTTTCATCAGAAAATTGGTTATTCGTTTTATTTTTCCTTTTTTTTGTGTGGTCATGTTGTTCTTGTCTTCTTTTTCATGCAGTACATTCTATAGGATTTGTTATTAAATAAAAGTCATAACAAGCACATAATTTGTGTAGTTGATTATTATTTTCTTCCATTAAAAAGCTTGCTAGAGAAATATATAAAATTAACGGTAAATATTGCCTATGTGTACACTTTTTCTTACATAAATTTAATTTTTAAATGCAAGAGAATATTTCAAGAAAAATGAAATTTCGAATGATCGTTTTTCGTAATAATTTTCTTCATATGTTATTCACAAATAAAAGATGCGAAGCGTTATGGCAATATTGCCGTCTGTTACGGAAGAATACAGATATTGATTGATTCAATCAGTCAATGTTACTACAAAGTATCAAGTATTAACAAATACTGAACGATATCACTCATAAGATTCAAACATATTAAAGAACGGAACAGTTGAATCCAACGGGGAAACAGCTGATTAAAATCATCTCTAAATCAGTTAAGATTCATCGTAAATCAATCGACTTTGAGCGTGTTTTCCAATGATTGTAAGTCACTATTTGTTATTTTCTGTGATTGTAAATGATTTGCACCCATGTCGGGAAAGTTAATTTTTTTAAAACTCATTCCAAATCAGATAAAATCGCCCAAAATCAGAAATCGCTGTTTCCCTCTTGGTTGAATCAATTTCTCAAATAAATGAACGAAATTACATCAATTAGAGAAAACAAATAGGATTTTGATCTAGTTAATTTTAAATACCACGAACACAATTTTTACATTAAACTCAATTTGACATCACTGATTGTTTCAAGTGTCTATGAGCATTCTTTGCTCCGATTTATAGAACATTCTGACACTGAAATTTATTATTATTATTTGTTCGAAACTAATTGAATTATTTTTCATTCAAGTTTATTAGATGAACTCAACAAGAGAATAGTGAAAAGATTTATACAAGACGCCCTTCTTCAATTCTGATTAAAACGTTAGATGTCGCAATATATTTTCATTTTTTCTCTAGCTACATTCGAACATATTTATTTATGACATATTTATGAGAAATAAACAAATGTCAATAGAAAGCGCTAGTTATCGATATGAAATTTAATGAAAAAATACTCATCGACAAAAGTGCTTCAAAGATGCTTTTAGATCAAGTTCTATTTGTTTTTTAAGCTTCATCTATCAGATTGAATTCAAATGAAGAGATATATGAAAATGTCGTGGCATAATTAAGTATACTCTTAGATGTGGCATACGGCTCAACTATTGGATCCTACCGAATATGAAACTTGCACATGCAGATTGACATTTATTTATCCGGCACACACTATTGATCACTAATCAATTTTTAGCCATACTAGAAGAACTAATAATCATCAGCATTGATCATTGATAAAACAGATTATTTTCTGAATTGCAGCTGATCCTTCCATTGTCTACAATCTCTTGCTTAGACCGGAAGTATTATAATTTAATAATTAAGAATGTGATATAACGATTCTGTCAATTGCGACCGAAGATATTATATCTTGTAAGAAATAGATTTCATCGTCACCAATACTGCTATACTGTGTTTGAATCATTAAAACTCCGATAAAGAGTTCTATCTGTAGATTTCTGAAGAATTTCTCGAATTTAGCAATAAACTTGATTTATCAATTAATAAACACGCATTTAGTATTTGCATTGAGAACGCATTATAACAATTCAATTACCAACAGATAACGATGATTCCAATATAGTGATAGATTCTTTTTATGTACTCAAAGAGTGAGTACACTCTAGATTCAGTCAATTTGTCAGTCCGTCCGTTAACACGATAATTATTGAAAGCCTCACCCAATTGTCATGAAATTTTGTTCACAGAATGATCTTATACATATCTCAGTCGAGTTCGAAGATGAAAACGAATTTGTTGAGTTACGCAAAAATATTTCCTTATTTTCTATGTGAATAGTGACCTATTCTATTTTATTATAAGTTTTTTTGAAGTACACATAAAATTCGGATGTAAATCCGATGTTTTTTGCATTTATTTTAATATTGATTCAAGCGGATTATTCATATCAAACAGCCAAAGAAACAAATCTTATCGCATAAAAGAACGAATTTGGAAATTGAAAAACAAAAACCATCCAATCAGCGCACTTTTTTACTTGTTTACACTGAGTCATTTTATTTTGGCCGTAATTTCTTTCCTAGGAAGTAACCAACTGAGTATAAAAAGGAGTTGTTTTTAACGTGGGTAATATTATCGTTTTCGAAATATCGTCAAAGGTATGTTCGTTTACTTCATCCAGTGTTAGGTTATAAAATCAAAGTACCGTATGATTCATTCTAGGAAGAGAAAAACGAAAGAAAAAGGAATGAGGCACAACGTCTAACTAAAACTTACCCTCTTCTATTTCCCGAGATGATGAAGTTGCTGATATAGGCTTAAAAACACCATCTTCAAAAATATTCAGCCAAAAAGCCAACTTAAATTTTTTTAGTTGGCCAGTCGCGATCAAGTCTTTATTAATTGAACCAGTTTGATACAAGTTGAATACATAGATTTTTACGCTATCAAAAAAATAGAATATAAGTAAGTATGCGTGGAACTCCTCATTAGTTAGTTACTCTTTTCTCCCAGCTCGATGTTCGTCTGCAGTGATGCCTGAATAAACGTATATATTGTTAGGATCGAAATAATCTGCTTGATTACATTGAACAAATTGTAAACGATTTAATTCGTTGTCTTTGCCGAAATTCCTCACGTCGACAGTGGTGCCTTTAGGAACAAGCACTTTTGAAAGATGTTTAAGATGATTATAAGTTACAATCTTAATACCAAGGTACATTTTATCATGCACTTGATGAGGAACCTGAAAAATAATGCGAACATTTTATTTCTTTCTAGTGAACGCTTCTTTGAACATAAGAAATTGTCTTACTTGAACTCTTATCGGCGTACGTTGAGGACCATCTCCAGCTATAATAGGAAATCCTGGGCTTCCTAGATCTTTCATGCTCCGATAGTGCCAATCTGGTTTTGGCTGTATCTCGATCGGTGGTGCATTATATTGAAATGATGCTGGCGTTGGTAATGAAGCAGTTTGAGCAATATGAGTAGTGTTTGTCAAATGAGGTTCAGAGTACGGTGTAACGTTGGAAACATTTCGATTGGCTTGTTCAAAATTATTTGTATCACCCAAATGAACTAAAAAATTGCAGTGAATTATCAAAAAACTATTCAATTTATGAAACTTACGTGTGCTAGTTTGCTCATTATTGTCTCCAGTAGCTATAGTGGGAACAATAGTATTATCGTTGGTCGCTGCGAAATATACATATCAATAATAAGTAAGACACATCTTTCAAATTGATACTTACATAAAGCAGTGTTGGATATTTCTTGAAAAACGTTTGAGATAACAAGTAGCCTATCTTGTATCATTTGGTTGACTTCTTGAAAAGATGATTGATTAAGATGTACAGTATTCAATTCTGGTGAGAGAGAGAGAAAAAAAACTAACACTTTCATACAGCAGAATTGGACATAATACCTGGCATGTTGACTTCTAAAACTGTGCGACTCAGCAAGGACGTAGCGGCTTGTGTTATGTGCCATAGTTGCTGCAGCATCCGTTCCATACAAACATTAGCTTCTATTCTGACTGAAGGTTGCTGATCGACTAAATAATATCGAGTAAAATATATCGATAATTATACTTATTTTTGTTGCATACGTATCATTGAATGGTTTTCTGGTGGCAAATTATTTTCTGATACCGAATCTAAATGAATTTGTACTTAAAAAATGATTCTCGAAGTGAAGCTCTTACTGCCAAGATCATTTGATGGTAAGCTGAAGTCTTCCTGCATTTGTGTTGTATCATCTATGGAAATAGAAAATAAGCACATGTATTATTGAAGCTTCCAGTTTAAGGATAGAACATACTTTCTTCGTTTTTTCTATTAATTCTAGTTGCAATAGAGCGCCAGATAAGTGCATCATCTTTCGTGAAGACAGTACGGTTTTCTCCATTGGTACTGTTTCGATAAAACCATGGGCTATAAATATCATTTTCAAGATCACAATAAATGAAGGCATGCTTTTCCTGATCGATTGGTACTTCGTTTGAATCGAAAACTTCGTCCTTGCCAATAATTATATATTTATTATTAGTGTTAAGCGCAATTACGTGAAGATCAATTTTATAAAGCTCTGCATAAACGTTAATTAATCCGCGATAAAATTGTTGAGGTGTACTTTTTAGTGTAGCAAGATAAGCGAAGAGTTCGTTAAGCGATTGAACTGAATGTTGCGAATCGCGGGGAATATTAGCATTTTGACAAGTTCCATTTGACCGAATAAAAATAGCTGCGTCCCGTAAATGTGATGTCTGATACACACCGATAGGCTCGTCAGCAAAACTAAAAATCAATCAGTTGCATAATACGCAAATCAAAAACAAAATGATACTTTTCAGTATTGCCAAAAGAGACATTATGGTTTTCTAGTAAGCTTAAGTCTAAATCTGATTGATTGTATGAATTCATTTGTTCGACAGAATTCGATGAAGATTGTCTGGCCATGTTTATGTAGTTTAATGGCAAATTTTTGATTGTGAAATAACGCGATGTTTAATGCAGCTTGATTTTTATTGAAGGGTTGTTTTTTCTAGGTTAAAACCTACGCATAGGAAAGAAAAAGAACGCATATGAACTGAAAAATAATGACTAATTCTGACAAGGAAGGCGAAGAAAATTTCGAGTATACATAGAGCAAGAAGAATTTTAAATAACTTTGAGAGAAAAAGTTTTGATTCAAATATATTAATATACTATCTTAACATAGTCGTAGAAAAAAAACTCCTAAGATGTCTATAGTAACTACAAAACAAAATGCAAAAAAGCGATGTAATAAATCACGAATCTCGGTAATATTGCTAATCGATACGATTAGAAAGAAAAAATGAATGGATAATATAGGAATCATTTTCTAACATGATCCAACTTGAGAACAAAGTGCAATGGGGGACACTGATCGATGTTGAATAGTAAATAATTTGAAGAAAATCTAAAACAAAAAGAAATAATAAAAATTTTCCGAGTTACATTAGTTTCAGAATAGCATTCGAGTCAATATTGATAATTATTTTAAAATAAAAATAGATAAACTTGAAAAATAAACAGAAAACTCGAGAGTTAGACATTTTTACTGTAATGAAAAAATTTGAATGGGATTTCAAAATAAAAGCCATTTATCCTATTTGAGTATCTGCTACAGGATTATCAATCATGAACGACTGTGCATGCATTTATCTATAATAAAAAGAACATCGAGAATATTATTGAGAATTATCACTCTAAATATATTCGTACCATGTGTAACATATTGTATATAGCCGTCATACAGTTCATGTTCTTCTTTTATTGCAGTTTCTTCAATATGTTCTGTTTTCATAATAACTAAATGAAGTTGCTCAATGCCTTTTTCTTTAGGCGGTGAAGTTAATAATAAGCTTTTCCGTGTGATGATAAAATCCGTACGTTTTAATTCAATTCCATTCAATTTAATACGAAAATCTAGAAGAATTTTCAATCAAACTCATTGACATTATGTAAAACTCATACCTTTTTTATTACATGCAACGCTTAAGGGTACACTAATTTTCTCAGCACCTAGTTCACATAGTTGTTTTGGTTCAACCTCTTCTGGATCAATTGCTACATCGCCATCCTCTAAAACAAAAATATTCATTAGAGTGAATAATAAAACAAAATTGCGTAGGCGTGACTGACGTAATTCGATGATAGTTGTGTAGGAAGGCTGGGATACCAGTTGATATTGACCGGAAGTGTCTTGTGTACATAGTTGAAATTCAATCCTACATTTTCTCAGATCTGCACTTTGAAAATCGTCTTCAATTGATAGTCCAATCCGTTTACATTTTAAAAGGCGAATTTTAATTCTAAAAAAATATTGACGAATGATAGATAGACTCATACTATATGTACTCACGTTTTTCTGCGCAGTCGACGTTCATCATTATTGATTTTTAAGTAAACAGATCCTGTTCTTGCATCAAAACTGCCCGGATCACATTGTAAACAAGTTCGTTCATTGCGATCTGTCATCAGTTCCCAATTGACACGTGCATTTTCAGGTGCAACAGTTTGATCTGAATGTGGTTGTTGGTCTTCCGTAGTAGCTCGAATACGAACAAAAAGTTCTACATCATCATTAATTGGTACCTAAAATTGAGAATTACATCTTTAGTACGAGCACAAATACGTATAAAATTAATTACTTCAATCTCAGGATATTTTCTCTGTTCCCTGCCTTCACCAGCTTGTATTAATGGACACTTATTTCTTTGTAAATCTTTTAACATACGAACGCGCCTATAACGCTTCGGATTCTTCGTTACTTTTAGTAAACCGTATGGTTGCATTAAACTGTCCATTGCTAAAGTTTGAGGTTCATTTATTGTTGTCGGCTGCGCAGTACTCGGAAATGCGCAGATGGAAGTAGCAGTAATTATATTTTTGGAAGAGCTAGTATCTACGTTTGGATATCCAATTTTACTTTGTGTTGTATTTATTCTAATATTTTTTGAAACCCATTCTCCTCCTCTAACATTATCGTTAGCAATATGTTGTTGATCATTGGTTTCCATCGATTTAGCATCACCAAATTCTTCTATAAAATACAATAAGAAAGACAATACAAGTTATAAGCATCGAGTTATCATACAACTTACCAATAAGAGGTCTGCCATCAGAGCGCAAAATCATCAGGTAATCAATATTGCCCGACACTTTTTCAACTGAACCTGTACCAGTTGATGAATTGAGGTCGTTACCTAATGAATCTACGTAATTACGATAATCAAAATAGAATAGTTATTGGTATTGGATAAAGAGTCTCACTTAAATTTTATTGTTGATGAGAAATATATAAAAAACGAGCATGACGATATATGGGTCTCTTCTGGTATATAGCTACGAAAATTATGTGCTCTACTATTGCTTGGTAACAATCCTTTTTTGCCCCGTTGGTTCTTTTCTTCAGTTTAAAACGCAAATGAACGTTTCTTAATATCGATCAATTTCACTGATCAATGTTAAGAAAAATCCCATCTGGCTTTCCAAATTAACATCTCTTATATTTAAAGTAGTATCAATTTTATCAGAATTAAAAAGGGACACGATTTCATATTAAGTCATACATATGTATTGGCATAGCCTGCTGGGAAATGGTTTAAACTTATTTTTATCCAAGACTATTCCTGTATTGTACAATTATCTACCCAGGTCATATAGTCCGGCCGGTTCTGGGTGGTTCCGTTGATTTTGTCGAAGTAGTATTCCTGTCGGAAAGCACCGGAATACTGCTTCCATGTTCCGGCGATTTCTCGTGTTCCCCTACAGGATATGCTGCATTCCCCGCATATTTCCTGGAGTATCCTACGGGATCCAGTGGCCGGAATGTTCGACCTGGGTATTGCTGAATGATTCATATTAATTAATTGATTAGCTTATTCATCAACGAAAAATTGACTCATTGCAATGGAAGAAATACTCTAACATTCAGTAAAACAGCAGCTTCTCTATGGGCAAGACAGAAATGTATAGTGGACATACAGAATAAATAAAATTTATGCTCATTATATATTATTAGCTGTATTATGATAACCTTGGTGTGTTCAGTATTTTCTATATGATAAAAGCAATTTAGTCATTAAATAAACAATCGTGAGCCTTATTTTTTTATTTATGAGCTACTTTAAGTTGGATGCGGTCCCAGACAAAAAATAACTTACAGTTTTGGTTTGTGAAGATTTCTTTGACTTGACAGTGTGAAACTGATTCAGGAACAAGTCTTGTAATATATTGCGCATTATCTTCACCGGTCATCGTCGTCCTCAAAACAGCTTCATTTTGAAAGGGTCGAGCATCGGCACAATAAGTGAAATTCATAGCGCTCGATTTTGCAAGGCACAAGTTACTTGATTTATCAATTTTATGTGATGGTTCAGCATAAACTGTAGCTTCATCCTTATCAGTAATGTCATCTACTGATGAAGTAGGATTCTGCAATACTTCATAAATATAAAGAATAGAAATTTTCGTTCTTTTTTACAGTCTTACTCTCGAAATTCCTATAGTCAATTGATCCTACTATATTATCCATGATATTTTCATCGCTGTTGGCGAAACATGTTTGCAATTCACCATTTTTATGAGTAGCATACCACGGTGCAAATAAAAGTTTTTCAAAATCATACATAATATAAGCAATTTTACGACAACGACGTTTCTGTTTGATTTTGCTTGACGTTCCTCCATACGAAGAAATATCTCTTTTATGAATTGTACAATCATCAGAAAATCGTATGATATTAAGGTCGAGTTGGTATAGATCAGCATAGCCATTTAGAATGCTATCTATTTGTTGCGGTGTGGCAGTGCGTGATAAACTATGTAGAGTGCGCCGCATCCAAGTAAAAGAATGGTTTTTAAGTCGCCCATATTTTTGTATAAATTTCATACATCTAGCTAAATTAGTCCATGAATGCATGTTTACAGTAGCATCGCACAACCTAAAGAGTATAAAAGTTCGAGAACGTAAAAACTTAATTGAAAATGTAATATAATACATTAAATGTTGAACAGATTTTGGAACGGTAGATGGATCTTCTGACGGATAAATTGATGAAGCCAGTAGTCCGTCTTCGTTGGATGATTTACTGATTTCGGACGCAGGGATTGAAGCGTTTATATCCATGTCTACTTGTTGGATTTAGAATCTTCAACAATTGTAAAAGCAAATATGTAAAAGATGAGTATGATTCATTGTGTGAGTATAGTAGAATAGTAGAAACGAATGATGCAAAAAACAAATTAATATAGCGAGAAAAAGGGGAGAGAGAAAATAAAGAATTACAATAAAAAAGAGGGGGGTGAAGTTAAGTATTATGAAAAGAAAAAAATAAAAGACGCAGTATTCGTCGAGCTGGTTTTTCCCAGCAAACTCAATATACCTACCTGAGAATAAATATTATTGTGATAAAGTAAGTATATAAACACTGCCATATTTATTTTTCTATAATCTGTTCGCTATTGGAGAATTTTCTGCTTCAATACAATTTTCATATTCATGATATCATGATATTGTCTTTAAATAACTCTCAATCGTCTTCCAATAGAACTTAGTCAACTAAAACATTGTTTCAATTAAGAAGAGAATAATCGTACAAATACGAAAAAGACAATGTCGTAGATAGGATAAACTTATCCTATATACGTTACTAAAATAAACTACTTGTTTCCTCGTAAAAATCAATGAACTTAAGTGAAATAAAAAATATCCATAATTGCTTTCCGCGTATGTCATGTCATTTGGATAACACCATGCCGTTGGAACCAAACAAATAATGCATATATGGTTAATCAGAAGATACTGTTTTTCATGCAGGCTTATTCCGACTGTCACAAATCATATGAAGTGTGCTTGTTTCATCTGAGAATATCTTCCAAAGCTAACTTTTATTCAATTTTTTAAATAAATATGCTTTTTCACGTGCACATAAATGTATCATTTTCTTTGATACTCGATGATTATTCAGTGAATCAACCTAATTTGAATAGGCAGAGTTAAGAACTAATAGATCAGTATTTTCTTCCCTATTTCTATAATAATATATGCTCATATTTCATCTATAGAATTCTACATTAAGACTATAAGCAACTCTATTTCTTATTTTATACTTGATATTTCGAATCATTAATTGTTTTAGACTTTTTTTGATTGTTGTATAATTTTTTCTAACCATATTATTCATAAGTTTATCCATTTGATAGCACATGTAACGAGGCAAACTTATGTAAAGTATTTCTCGGCACCTTGTTTTAGACAAAACTGTGAGCGAAAATAGCTTGACAGATATGCATAAAACTGAAAATAATTATATATGCTGTCTATGTACTCTAATTGTTCGTGTGCTACTAGACATTATGAAGTCTAACGCAAACGATGCATAGTAGATAATCATAGTAATAATAGTTATAACTGATTATTGTACACTAAAAACAAACCTTTTATCTACTTCAAACTAACCTGTCAAATGCTTAACAATTTAAATCATTTAACAGTTCTGATAATAAAGCTCATATATGTAAAACTTTTCTTCGATTTGATTGCTCTTTGTGACAACTATGAAATAACAGCACTTGATTCATTACTCTTATGCTTATAAAATCAATGCGGTAGATGTGTCTGAAATATCGTGGTACTGTGTAACACATAGGTAATTCGTACTCTGACGTCATAATTGAAACTATATTCATTTAATACGAAGTCTCTTTTGAAATTTTATGGTACCATGAAAGCTCCGATTTCTGATCCAAACAAGTGCATTTAGATTAATTTTTTGCTAATATCTATATGAGAGAAGATATTCATTTTGTTTTTCATCATAATGATTTGTATATTAAGTATGTCTACAAATTTTTATTTTGTGTGACATTCAAATAACGAATGTCTAAGTGGTTACCACGTATTGATGAATTGTAACAACTCAAGAGAAAAAGTTTATGTTTTTAAAACAGTTTTTTAGACAAAATATAAAGGTTAACGTTTTCGAATGAAGAAAATAAAAGAAATTATCTAGGTGTAATACAAAAAAGAAAAAAACACCCACACATCCTTTTAGAAAGAAAAAAAAATGATCGTATATACATACTATATATGTAATAATTCTGAAGAGAAAACTGCATAGGATGCACTCAAAATTTCATGTTTCAAACGCTACGACAGGTAAAGTTGATATTATTCTTCGTTTCTATTGGATACCATGGAGTGATGAGGTTTCTTTCTTCTTAGACAAATAAATATTACTAAAATGTAACAAAAACCTCGATAAGTTTTACTTTCTCTTATTATAGAAGATAATGATTCATAAGAAATAGGCTCAAAAATTCCACTCTTTTAAATACAATACTAGAATTATATTTTACATTTGTCAAGTTGTTCACGTTTAATCATTTCTTTTTTTAATTGTCGCTTTTGATAAAAATTAAACATACGTATTGGTACACTGTAAACATGTATATTAGAAGATTTTCATATGATAATAAACACTTACTCCTGCCATTCTCTTGCAAGCTAATTTTCAGACAAACATTTCGCGTTTGCAAATCTAACTAATGTTATTTATCGCATCGATTAAAATTAAAATAATTAAGAACGTTCTCGTAATTCAACAGATCTTTGTTGACCTTTGTTTTTTCTTGTACGACGACTTTCGAAGAGTGACACTTATTCTCAACAGTTCTAGTACCCATAGCAAGATACATGGATTGAGCACCGCGCGGAGCTACCTAAAAAATAAGTAGAGAGTTAAATGGTTCGATTTTTTAAAACATAAACCAGTGTATTATTTTCAGTTGAATGTATGTGCGTTGACCTCCGGTACCTTGCAATAGTCCGATCACTTTCTTTGTTTCATTTGTTACGCTTTTGTTTTTCTTCTTTTTTTCTGATTATTTTCTCAGTGTTTGGGCGTTTGATTTTTTTATTGGTTTGCTTTTTAGTTTTGGAATTAAATCGGTCGGATATCGAATATCCCATGCTTATGTTGGATGTATAAAAATTTCTGGTTCCCGACATGAATAGTTTCATGATGTTGATCGAGAATCAATTGGAGTGACTTATGTTGTGCTTGACAAATCAATGGATGGAGATGTGCGACTGTGAGAAATGCTTCGATCTTCCTGGCATACACATTGAGTTGAACTAAACAATGGAATCAGTCTACATTTGATTCTCATGTTTCCTTCGTTACTTGCATTCGTGTTTGATCATGGTTGTGGAAATTAGTAGAAATAGCAGCATTATCATATGGTAATATATATATATATATTGTGTAGTTCGTGGCGGACAAATATTTAATGAATTGAGTGTTCGTTCTGGACAATGTATAATATCTCTTGACGAACTATGGTTGTAAAGATTAGGGCGGCAGTTCTGAACATCAAATATGAATGAATCAATTTCTCTTCACAATTTTACCGTATGCTTGAATGGCGAGTGATATTGGATTTGCGTCAATAATTTTGTCTTTAATATTATTTATACAAGTTTCGATTTGCGCTGTTCGGTGATAAGTGCGACTTTCTAAAATAATAAACAAAAAGTTTTGATATTAATATTAGCTTTTTGATTTACTTGAATTAAAATCATTACTAATGAAAACATATATATTATCAACCATTATATCCAGATAAATTAATGATTTGTGAAATTATATTCATGTCATATGTTACTACTAGAAGAGTGTTGGAGAAAATTTGAAACCAGGGAATTTTGTTTTTGAAAAAGTAAACTGGTAGCTATTGGAGTAGAAATGTCATAAACGCTCATACATTCAACTTCATTTGGCAGATCGCTTTCCAATATGCAGTGTTGTGGTAATGCATTGTTTGAATTTTCATTTTTCGGAAATTTTAAAAGACTAGAATTAATAAAATTATCTATATGTTGTGGTCCTGCAGTTTGTACTGTAACTTCATCATTTTCAATAATGCCGTCTTCTGGTGACGCTAGATTCATTCATGAGTACTTCAAACATAAAATAGTTTTAGATTAAAAATTTGTTGTAAATCTTACTTTCAAAATTTCGTTTTTGTGTATTTTCATGATTGCTTGGAAAATATGTTTGTATTTCACCCTTAGTATTTGTAGCACAACAACGAAGCAAATAAAAAGTTTTGATGATAGTACATAATATAAGCAATTTTACGAGAGCATTCTTCTTGTTCGGTTTTATTTGAACTTTCATCGTACCAGTAACAACTTCAATTACGGTTGAGCAATTATAAGTAAATCATATTATACTGCACAATCATCTAAAATGGACTTCAATAGCTGTGGTGTTGCAGTCGGTGATATACCATCAAGAAGATGTCGTATTCAAATAAAGCGATCATTTATATTGAGACCTGAACTTGATGTGGATTTCATACATTGAGACAGATCAGTACATGCATGTCCTTGGATATGAGTAATCGATGATCTAAAGAATATATAAACTTGAGCATTTATACATAGGACTAAAAAGGTGATGCAATACATAGATGATTCACCAAATTATTGAACAATCGAAGAACGCTCTGGTGCTTGAATCCACAGAGCCAATGATGTATCCCTTGTGAGAAAGTCCTCTTGTTTCTGTGGATGCAAATGAAGATTTTATTTCATGTATTTCGTTCCAGTGACAATCTAAACTATTAGCGTTTAATATGAATATATACGTATACGCAGTGGACTGGAAAAAAAAAGAGAAGCATAAAGAAAGAAAAAGAAAAAAGAGAAGCATAAAGAAAGAAGAAAAAAAAAGAACATAAAGAAGTTGGGGTATCCCCAATTAGGATTCTCAACTGATTCTTATGAATGTACCTGCAAATATTTGTCAAGAGAACCATGCTATCAGTGCATGACTGCGCCTTGATTAAACTTCTAATATTATTCATAGTTGATATACTACAAAATATTTAGAGAAGAAATCATTTAACGTCCACCAAGAAAATAAACTCTATTAAGTCAATATATGATGACACATATCGTGCCACTCGCTTACTTTTCTTTAACCAATAGCAAAATAAGATTATTTCTATTTTTTCGTAGCAAAGTTGTTGATTATAATCCTTGATCGAAATAATTTTATTTTCGAATAACTGGTATGAATCTCATCAAACTTTGCACATTCGTTATATACAAGCGAATAATACGATGGTAAAATAAATATATTATTCCAGTTGATTTATTCCCAATCGTGATGAATCATGCGGCATGTGCTTATTTTAGAAGAAAGACACCGTCAAGGTTGCCTAAATCAAAGATAATAATCAGTCACGTATATCTACCTGTTATCTTATGAGCTCATCAGCCGAAGCATAATTCATCCTCATTGGATCTTTTTTTACTTGAATATACATTTAAGATTATAATGTTAACTATTTTAGTAATATCATCTCTCAAAATATGCAGTACTCAATGTCGATTGCAAGTTTTAAACTTGTGCTAAATAATTATCGATATGTTACCAAAGCCGTCCATGGGCGAAAACGAGGATGAAACAAAATGATCGATCATCGCGAATTGATGAGAAATATTTATTTCCAAACTCATTCGTTTAATACGTGAAGATTTCAAAAAAAAATTATTTTTTAAAGCTCATTTGTTTCAGAGATTTAAGTGTAACTAACAGACTATTAATACAGGTCACTTCAGGAAGTCATACCAAGGCACTATTTATTATTGTGAAGTTGCAAATCAAACTATTAACATTATTTTAAATCATGTTAGCTATTATTTTGATTTCTATTTGGTGTAAAAATAGTTACTCCCTATATTTCTTTATCAAATGAGTATGCGATTTAGACTACATCTCTATCATTTAATTGGTCTTCAACAATCTGAGAAAACGTGTGAAAGTGGGTTTCAATTTTACTTGGAATACTATAGATGCCAATCGTCATATATGTTGTGTACGATTCAAGTCTATTCGTTGAACTGATCTTTTGAATTGAATAATACGAAATATATGTTTTTGTAATTCATATGTGAAATAAATACATCAATTTTTATTTTCATAATAATCATTTTTATACGATTTATAGTAGACACTCTTCAAGTTTTCGCTTTATTTGAAATTGAAATTAATAATATCTCAATATTTGCATGATTCACATCAAATGTGATAACTCGAGGAGATTTTGTGTGTGTGGTAAAAGTAGTTATTTAAACAAAAAAGCATACAGACAGCTATTTTGTAGATGCAGAGAAAACAAACGTGTCCCATATCAAATGTAAACATAAACAGCTCCATTTGCAAGAGAGGAAAAAACCAATCCAACCAAAAAATTTTTTCGATATGAAAAAGAACCAGCTTGTTTATAAATAAGAAGCCAAGTAGCCTGCGTCTTACACTCATTCGATATGTAGATTTTCAATCATTCGTAACGAGGAATTTTCCTGATTCAATAATATTGTTGTCATCGAGTTGAGTTTATATACAAGAATATATATATTGAGAAATGTTCTTTGTATGATTTCAATACTGAGTTTCTAAACTCAAGAAAACAAAATGTTCTGGTTCTCTCAGTATAAATTACGTTATCGACTAGTTTTAATATCATTTTGAAAGATTTGCTACGTATGGCGAATTTTTGTGAAACTTTAAGGAGTTCAAAAAGTAAATAAATTATGAAAAAATCCAACGCGCGTATGAACTACAATGCTACACAGGATATGAGAGCGGACATATGCGAGTATTATATGGCTAGCAGTAAAATGCTCTGTTCAATATTTATATCTGTTGGTCTATTTTCTTTATGAAATAATTTTGTTTTCCAAATAGCCAATTTCTGTGTAGAATGACCCTACCGGTACATGTTTCATTTTAGAAAAAAATCTGTCGTAGTAAAAGTTCTACATGCTTTTGTTACTTTATTTGAAGAGGAATCATGTTACACATTGACTCAGTATTAGCAGTAAATTAAAATTAAGCCACGAGAAAATCCTCCACTATCTGTGTAAAATCGTGTTCGTTTGTTTTTCATAAATTATTTTCGCTTAAATCAGCATTAGAATTACATATTAACCATTGAAGTCAAAAACTAAAAAAACACAGTCAGATATTTTTTGCATTGAATTTATCTCGAATTGTGAATTTACTATCAATAAATTATACACTAAATAAAGATTGAGAAATATTCGGATTTGCGTCAATGATTCAATTTTGATGCGCATGAGACTTCGGGAAAATTCAAAAATAAATTGTGTTAAATAGTTGCTCTCTGGGTGGTTTTGATCACATGCATTCTCTATCCTTTGTTTTCTATTACATGCAATGACTTGTTCGTTGCCTAATTATGAAAAATCTTCAGAATTTGGCAAAGTATTGATTTCGAGCAATAGCCATTCTACTATCTAGAAACAGAGCATAAAAAACTCAATCTTTTATCTAGTTACTTAACACCTATTCCGTTTTTTTTTTGTGTAAAATCGTCGACGAATTTCTATTTATTGATGATTTTTCTGTTTAACATGTAGGACGAAAAAGCAATTGGATTTTCACAATTTGATGATTCCAAACTTTTGATTTTCTTTATATTGACTGAGTATTTTGTTTTCTAAGAAAATTTTCAATCCAATCTAACACATGACTTTTGTTCATAAACGTTGGCCGTTTTGCTTCTTATCATTACGTATAGTGCAAGTGACACGATTATAAAATACTTGCGACGCATTTTTATATTTAGATATTTTCATGAACGTATTTGAAAAAAAATCATAACAGATACGTACAGATCACTGAAGCAAGTCTCTCTGGTTTTGGATCTTCAAGAAATTAAAAGAGTAAAATTATATATGAGTGCATTGCAACTTTTTGGTACAATTCACGCGAACAGATGAAAGTGAACCTATACAATTTTTGAGTAGTGCATTTTATCACAATCTATGCCAGTAGTGCGCAAAAAATATTTCCTAACACTTGATCGATTATTAACGGAAATATGGCCCTTTTATATATGTATGACTTTTTCTACTTGTGGGTGATTCCATGCGAAAACAATCACACTTTGAAAGTTCAAAATTTATATATAGCAGAAATCAGTACATGATCATAGATGTAGTGGTCGATGCAGTTGTCACGAAAAATTGAAATTTGTTTTTATTCACCAGCAACCCTGGAGGGGAGTACGGCAATTTCGAAAAAAACATTTTTCATTTTTATGGAGAACCACGTTGACGATGCTATCTCGGACCATGTCCTAATTCGTGCTAGGTACGAATTTTTAAATAAAAATGGAAGCTAGACAATAGTGCGCTTTTTTATGTTTATGCTGAATAATTTTTTTCGAAAAAACCGTCGACATCTTCAACATTTTCGCTTTTGAGGTCATTATTTTTTTCCCAAATGATACTCTATGATCGCTTCCCACTTAACTACGTTGAAAAAAATATTTTTAAATGAGCCGTAGTGAAAATATTCGCGAGAAATTGTCATTCTAGATACTTTTCTTGAAATTGTCATTCTACATTTCTCAGTATAATGTAAATTTCTCCGGAATAGAAGATGATTCGGGGCTGAAATTTTTATCACTGATAGACCTTGTTAGTTTATATCTTGAGTAAAAATTTAAGCCTAATCGCACTAATCGTCGAGGAGTTATAAAGCATCCAATTTTCAAATTGTCATTCTACAAAGTGAGTATAATGACCTTTTTCTCAGAAAGTCTTCTTGTTTTTATCGATAAGGAAAGGTAGCAACACAGAGTTTTTTCTTACCATTTTGTTACTCAAAGAGTTGTCTTTCCTTTCGTATGATCTCTGCGTCATCAGCTTTATCAGTAGTCGAACTGTAATCACGTTTGTGCACATTCTACAAAAAAATACAGTGTCTGTCAAATAATGTGAACGCTGGACGAACGAGAGAATGAAGTATAAAATGCAAATCCATAATATACTTCGATAGAGCATTGAACGCTGTACAAAATAGCCTATTTAAATATTTTTTCTCTTGCTGTTCTATAGTCCAAAAATTAATTTTTCTTCTCGCGTCAGTAAAAACTAACATTTTTTTGTCATGTTTTCCTTATAACTCAGCGACTGTATGAGGTAGAGAGCTGAAATTTTGTGTGTCAGTGGAACATACTAGACTCAATAGCTGATGAAAAAATTATCAAAATCGGCTGAGAGGAAAAAAGTTATTAGACAAATACAGCTAAAACGCAAAATGTACCAAAAAGTTGCAATTCACTCATATTCATAAAGTAACTTTTATTAAAGACAAAAATAATACAATAAAATTCAAACATATGGTACAAAATATTTGAGAAATGCAACACAAAGACTTTGGAGAAAGACTTTTTAACAACGATCGGGAAGATGATCAGTAGCACTATTCGATATTTCATGACTAAAATGTTCTTATAATTCACGTGGATCTAGCAGACATGCATGTCCTTGATTGATTTTTTTTTGTGACACACGAGGTCGGCTCGTTAATTTACCTACATACAAAATATGATAGATGAGAAGTAACAAACAATCAATGATATTTACTCTCTCGAATAATGACTGAATATGTTGGCAAAGACACAGGTTCAAAATGGTTATTATCAAGGACGCAGAACCAGAAAGCTAGCTTACATGAATCTAACTGGTTCGATTCGATTATATCTTTAGTTATCATGTGATTTTGATATAAATTAAACATGTGAAATCGTACTCTAAATAAGAAAATTAAAGTCATAGTAGAAGCTTTGAAAAAAAGAAGATGTCAATCACTTACTCTTTTAATCCAGCAGCGCACTCTTCAGAATTGATTTGAAAATAAACGCACCTTGACGAGGGATCGAAATAATCTGTTGGATTACATGCATCGAAATTTAAACGGGCAAGATTGTTATCACGAGATAGTTGACTTTCTATTACACTGGTTCGTGGTGGTACAATAACTTTCGAAACATGACATTGATCATCGACGGTTACAACGTTCACAGCAAGATACAATTGACGATCAGTTATTGGAGGAACCTTTAAAGGAAATAGGTTTTTATATGATCGATTGTTATGGTAGAGAAATGAAAATATTACTTTTATTCGAATTGGTGTGCGTTGAGGACCATCGCCAGACAAATATGGAATATGTTTTTTCGCTAAATCTTTCATACTTCGATAGTGCCATTCCGCTTTTGGTTGCGTTACTATTAGTGGCGATGGCAATACAAAAGTTCCTACCATTGGTGGAGCAAAAATATGACTAGGTTTTGGGAGTGCAGTTTCAGATAATGGTAATGGATCTTGATTGGATATTGGTCGTTTAGCAGATGGATAACGTATACTATTAATTGTTAAATCCAGAGGGGAGTCTGGTACACCTTTATCACAGAATTCAACATCTGATTCATATGAGTTTTCATTCGTATCCATTTCTAAATAGATTAAAAAAAACAAATGAAATATCTATATTTATTGTTTAAATACTAAAGAATCAATTTGATTTTTTTTCTTTCAAATAATATCTAATTATGTATGTATACATACCAGCATCACTGTATATCATAGGCATAGTTTGTGGTGATGAAGGGCACGTAGATCCTTGATTCGGCATGAATAATAAAGTCTGAAATATAAATGAAAAATATTTAATTATTGAGGCAATTGTAAACGACGACTAGAAAAAGAAATATCAGCTCAGTTAAATAATATTAAAACAAGAGCACTGCAGATTATATCTATTTAAATGAATGTCATCTCTCAATATGATTCTATTATGAGTTATTGCATTTGATTGTGTGCTAAATTTAGCTGCTATCGACAAAATTAATGTATGCACTTGAAAAACTATTTTTTTTTCTTACTCGTTCTGCATTAAAAAGCTACCACTAAGTATTCACGTGTAAATTCAACAAAAACAAATTTCGATGAAACGAAATTGGTGTATACATTTTTGTGTAGCATTAACTTGAAAAATCGTGCGTTTATGTGAGTCTAATGACAGCTGATACGCTTTCATAATTACGTTTCATAACTAACACTCGGACAATTCCACCAAGGATAAATCACAGATTGGAATATTACTATCTGTTACTTGTCTGGCTGCTCGTTTTAACGTAGAAGCAATTCAAGGGCGCTTGCTTCTTCTCTTTCTTTATGCTACCAAAGAAAAAAAAGTGACTATAAGATAAATATACGCAAAAGAGTCATCGTGACGACTTGGACAAAAATGTGAATCACACCTCCCACAAGTAAATATTTATGTTGCCCCTGCCTTTCAAGGTTGTTTTTATAAAAACGAAACCATTTTGCAACCGCTCATGTGTCATTATCAGTAAATATATTATGTTCTGAATCAAACAAAATAAAACTTGAGTGACAACAGTTGAAAGATTTTTGTTAATAAAACTGCCAGCATATATAAATTAGATCACAAGAAATAGAGGAGCAAATAAAAGCATGATGGTAATGGATCGAAATTTGGATTTATCTTAAAAAGAATTGAATTATGTACTTCACTTAGAATTATAACTGAAACTTGGTGAAATGAGTTTATTATGTATAATTTCCTCAAAAACTATGGTATTTTTATTATGAAACAACACTATAATCGATATGTAAGCTACCTAAAGAACCTTTTTCTTTTACTATAGGAGTCCGGGTCTGCTATTGTATCTGATTTATTTTTGTAAGTTTTAACTAAAAAGATAACTTAAACTATGAAATATTTCGTTAGGGAAATTACAAATTATAAGATAATATTTTCCTCAGCTGTTAAAGATTTCCTTGGATAAAATACTGCAAATTATGCCCAGTGAGACATAGTTCTATTAAGTAAAATTCTAATTTAGTGAGAAATGAACTGATGTGCAGGAATCTTCTACTAGATCAAAGACAAAACTTCTAAAAAACAGTGGTTGTTATAGGCGAATTTTTAATTGTAAACTGAATAATACTCAGGTTAGCTGTTCTATTCGTGTTTACATTTTAAACTGTATTTCATTTAGCTATGAAATGAATTGTTAAATAATATGGTAAAAATATTCTGAATACGATTAATGAAAATTTACAATCTGTGGTTAATAATTTTTTGTACTTACATCGATTGTACTAAATAATAGCTTCTTATATATCTACATCAATGGGTATTTTTCAAAACTACTCGGAGAATTACCTACTAAACACTTCCTTGGAGAAATTTATAGTTAGCTCTCCGAAACACGAACATCATTATTTACACATTTTGTAACGTATACAATGCTTTATTTCCAACAGAGATGCAAAGAATTCGATGACAAAATGAAATATGAAATAATAGAAATGCATGAATACTCAGTGTGGGTAAGAGTTGTAGTTCTGTAACTGCCATCGATTTATATCTAGGAATTTATATTCAACGTACTCATCTCAGTTGGAAGTTACCAACTCTTCTTGACAATCGAGCCAGTATGATATCAGACTTAGAATAAACATGGAAAATATCTTAGAGCAAGTCGAAAGATGGCCTTTGATACTGTCTTACGAAATATGAGCATAATTGAGCAAGCGCAAAAATTATCATGGATCATTTCTATGAAACGATAACAGCGAGAGAATGATGATTGGCTAAATAGTGAGAGAATAATAACTAATTGTATAACCCTAGGTACTAATTTGCTCAAAGTGACTTCCTACATTACTCATCATGTTTATATATTTACTTCCTTTAGATAATAAACAAATTTATCGTCGCAATACATTTCATAATTTGTTACGTCTAATACATATCTGTTTTCGTCGATGATGAAATATACTGTAGAAGAAGATGCGACACATATTAAGCAATTAATTCAATATAGGAATTGATTCAGCCGATGGATACTATAATGATCGCTGATATCTTAAGTTACAACCGTTAATATCATAGTCTTGTTAAGGTATACATTTGGTAAAAATTTCGAGTAGGAAAAATTTAATTCTGAATGTCAAATTTATGCCCCCGTAAGGCGGCTGGACAACGTATCGATCACTTTTTAATCGAGCCATTGTTTTCACTGAGATCTCAGTGAGTTTGTGAAAGTGCCAAAAAACTTCGAACTCTTACCGTAATAATTTGTTGTGGTATTTTTTCAGGTAATAACCGACCGTGATGGTATCGAATACAGTTCATTATGCAAATTTCAGCAAAGAATCGAATCAAAAATCTGAAATTCACAAAACAAACTCGTCTTTCCAAGATCTATTTCTTAGAAAAACGCTAGTCAAAATCTGATACGAAATATTATTTATGTTCCTCCATAGAAGTTCAGTGTTAATTTTGGAAAGAGAAAATATAAAATACACGTTCTCTAAAGTAATCATTCGAAGGTGTGAAGTATTTTCGTGATATTTATAATTCACTACAGAATGCATGGGGTAGTGACTTCAAGTTTCAAAATAACTGATTAACTCGAGAACTCCCCCTTGCTCCTAATATTGACATTATTATATAACTTGATTTTGAAAAAGCAAACTCATAATACATACATAATGAAACAACAATATCACCTAATTACTCTTTGTATCGACTCTTAATGAACAACTGCAAGACCTTTATAAAAACGCTCTCTATCGAATCGAAAAAAATAACATCTACTAAAGGACATTACAAGCCTTACTTCAATTTCTAAACCTTATGACCTGACCCCATAGTATTGCAGTCGATAGATCAGTCCAAAAATAAATCTTGCACTTTAATTTCGTAAGAAATTGTTTCATTCTTACTGATGTAATAAAAAATATGCGTGAAGCACTGATACTTTCGGTGAAAATAACAGTAGTCTCTATGTACCTTTGTGACTTGTGAAGGTGAAAGGTTTGACGCAGGCAGCAAAAATTTTTAAATGGGCTGATGAATATTCATTTTCGCTAAAAATAGCCTTGCAGCTTAAAGAGTACTCATACAAGAGAGATTACATTACTCATAAAAATTGTCCTTCTCCGTCTTTTCCAACGTCGAGAAGGTTCTGTTGTGAAATTTCGCCATGCGATACACTCTGCATTCAGTTTCTTTGCAAAATTTTATTCAACTACTCTTGATAAATGAATTGATTTGATTATCCATGTGAACTTTGAGTCATGTCAACAGTAAGTTTCGTCACTAGATATCATTAAAACTTACTATCATGTGTTCTTTTGCAAATAATTTATGGCAAAGCCCATGAGAATCAACACACACTTAACCGTCATTGTTCCGTCAGATGTAAGAATGTTGACAAAAAGAACAGTAGATAACTTTTTTTTAACAAATGCAAAATAATAATACAAAAATTGAAAGTTCTTTTTGTAAATCTAATGTATTCTCTTTAGAAGAAAGTTCATTGTTTAGGAAATATTTGAACTGCTCAAATACCAGAAAAAGCTTGTTAGCGCAGCTCCTTTGGGACTAAAATGTGGAACTCACATATATCCCTTCGGCTTACTAAAGTAATTCAAAATAATCCATCTGAAAAATCTACCCTGATTTCCAAAACCTATAGTTAGATCATTGCCTATTTGCGCTTATGTCTGTAATCGAGTATTAATTGTTAGTTCGTATATTTAACAATGACAGATACTAGTTTTCTATGGTCTGTAATGGGCAAACATTGCTTGTTCGTGTAATCTGCAATGAAAAAAAGGAAAAAATAGCAGCCTAATTAGTCAAGCTCCTAATTAGCACAATTTTCAACTCATTAATGTTTGTAATGGGGAGGGGATGGTCAGCCGCAAAAATCTCGCTTTTAAACTTACGCTCACCATTTTCTTCGAAAATATATGTGAGTTCGACAAAATAAGATATTTAGTTACAAAATGATCAAAGTGAGATGAGGAAAGAGAAACACTAAAATAAACTTATTCTTAATTAATTAATAGCGTTATTGAAACTTCAAACGTTGTTTGCTCTGATTAATTTGTCGTATTTTTAATGTATGCCGATAAGTTTTTTAGTTACTTTTTTCGCTTGCCGTCTGGTTAACTTATTTGTTACTTTCTTTGCTGATTTCCTAGCAGGTTTTTCAGTTACTATTCTCGGTCGTTTTGCGACAGGTTTTTTCTCGGCGACTGCAATTAAAACCAAAGCGGAATTTAAAAAAAATGAAGTATTCAAAAGTCTAACCTTTTTTCATTATATTAGCATGAAACATTTTAGAAGCACGTTTGCAGATTGCATGTTCAACCATACATAAGTATAAAACGAGCTTGAATTATATGCGTTGCTGATCTCTCATTAGAGCTCGATTTATTTCATTTGTTTCATATAAATTGATTATATGGATTTTAATTCTATAAATAATATATTCTTCAATTAGATAATAGAAGTTAAAATAAATCCTTACTCTTCTTTTAAATGTTGATGTTCCTCTCTTGTTATTTTTGAGTAGATTCGTCTCGTCTCCAGATCATATTCATATTTTGGAGGGCATAGATCAAATCTTAAACATTTCAGATCATTATGCTTTATCAATATTTCATTCGTTGCCCTTGTTTGTTCTGGGACGACAATTTTTGAACAATGAATTTGTTCATTGAGATCTTGCAATTCAATGACAAGATATAATAGATCATTCTAATCAATGGGAGGAATCTAAATAAAATTGAATTATTGGTTGCAAATGATTTTTAACAACATCATACCTTTATTTCTGTTGAATCTCGTTGTCCAGAATTTATGCATCTCACTGGAGCACTAATCGCCGCTGCAAATTCTTTCAAATATCGACAATGATGTGCACTTTTTAATGGTTTAGTCGTGATCGGTACATCGTAGCGTATTGAATCATGCTTTGGCATTGGCTTTATATTTGTTCGATTACTTCCACAAGTTTGATGATTTATATGATTGGTAAGCGTGAATTGCGAGAGATCAATACGTTAGACGGTCATTGAATGTTTCACTGTATCAATAAGCTTGGAAAAGCAAGTTGTACCTGCTTCGAAAGCAGCAATAATCTCTTCATCAGATGAAAGATGAGATGAATTAATATCAGAAACTGAAAGCACATTATATATATATATATATATATATATATATTCGTCTCATAAAACTTAAGCATGTTACGGAATGGTTGACACACTTCATAAATAGCCTGAGCATCTATGGAACGTCGTCGAGCTAATCCTAATATGTTGTCGGTTAATTGTTTCAGTAAAAAATGAGATTCAGCTTTAACATCTATCTGACTCAAGTTGGCTGTCAAAATATAAAATACAAACGTTAAAAATGAATCAAATTTTGTTTTATACATACATAGATTTATTTCACCAGTAAAATTAGAAGTGGTATCCATCGATGAAACTAAATAAATCACGAATAATTATCACTTTTTCTTTCTGATTGACTTTTACTTTGAATAGGTTCATGGATACTGTTGACACTTTGTCCCTCTGCCATTGAATAAAATGGTTCCCTTGTCGAATCTAATTGAAAATCATGAAAATTCTTTAATTAAAATAGTCGAATAAAATTGTTACTGATGTTATTGAGTTGAATCACATACGCGCTCGTATCAAAATGAATATCAACGCTTTCTGCAGAGAAAACGGTATTACGGCTCCCATTAACACTTACAGTATAGAGTTTTATTCACATACTATATTTTAGTTACACGAAGGGCGACTTTTGTTTTTGAGAGCCGGATGAAGTGAAATTTCGACAACGGTGGGAACCATACATATTCTCTTTCACTCATGACTTACCCGGGAATAGAAAAGAGGAAGATTTTAGCAAGTTCTTCGTGGCCGATAGTCAAGGTTGAAAATATAATAAAATTTAAAATTCATTTGTTTCATTGCATTTTCAGAACAGCTCATTTTTGAGCAATTCAAATAAAGGCCCATTAATTGTATTATCTTTATTAAATAACATATAAGCTTTTTGTAATTTAATATGATTTTCTTGATTGACTATTGGCACACTTGACGTTGCATAACTTCCGTCGCCTATAATATTGTCAAGAACAAATTTGACTGCATCGACTAGACTGGTTGACGAGAAAACGTTTGGACCCTGAATAATAGGTTTGATGCTATGCAAAAAAAAAGGACAAAGTTCATCTAAAACAACATAATTGAGAACACATACCGACTTACATGCGAAAAATTATCGTGAAGAATATCATCAAAATCTATGTTCGGAACAAGTAAACTTAATTCATAATTCGCCATTAAGTGAAAATCTTTGAGCAAATATCTCCAATAACAATCTAAAATAGTGACCTATTTTTCAAAGAGTGATGTTAGCAAACAAAGCTTTAAAAAAATTATATTGCTGTCTGTCGGATTATTATATCGATTCACTTTGAATCTATATTATTTACTTTTCATACTCACACAGTAGAAAAAAGTATGTTATGATTCTCATGAAAACGAAAATTGCGTAGCGTGGCTAATCTTTCAATAAGTAGGATGAGGGTATAGGTGAGAATAAGCACAGACCACGAATAATGTAATAAGAAGTGTATCAAAGGCATCAGTCGTAAATTACTTGCTATGTTTAGAATAACAGGCACTACCTTGATATATTAATAAGAAATAAAATATAAAGTGGTCATAATTTAATCATTTTCAATAATACAATGAATACAATCAATGAGAAATCTATGCGAGTAGGTGCAGTAGACTCTTTTAGATAAATTAACAATAAACAACAGTATAATCTCAAAGCCAGCTTGTGCTTCATTCTATAGTAACCGTCAAGTGTTTCAAACTATAAACAGTAAAAACAAAAACATTACATATTTATACTATTATATAGCTATTAGAAAGGATTTCTTTTTATTCCGACTCAAGCGTGAGTGTATTGATAGCTAGTTGATCGACCTATTTCTATTTTACATTACATTCTGACGTTTTTCTTGTCTAGTATTTTTGCAAAAGATGCATAAACGTAAAATATTGACTAAGACTATTTTAGTGTGTGTTCTAAAATTATAAGTCCGTCGGACTGTGTCCATATATGTATAAAGAAACAGGCGTCATCTATATTGTTAGTTCCATCGATTGGATAAGAAATTTCTTGAGAAAAAAACCAGCATTGATCTAATTTGTACGTCAGTGTATTTTCATTATCAAGTACTTTGCGTAAGTGCTCAGTACCAAAGGTACTTTTGATTTTAAAAGTCTAATCTTTTTCTAGAAAAAAAACAGTTTCTTCATAAGCACTTTTCTCGAACGCATCAAATTCAATATTTTAATTGAATCAAATTCTATATTCCTACAGAAAAGTAAATGAATTCAGACAACCATCAATTAAACTAGGTCAGCTGAACATTGATAAATTATTTCCCAAGATATCAATATAAATACATTTATGTTTAACGTATATATCGATTCATATTGTGCTTAGATAATTTGTCTCGCGAGAAATGCCATTCCTGGTGATCAATCACTTTCCCACAAATAAATGCCTGATTGTAAACGGTCAATCGCGCTGATGTAAAATATTTCAGACGTAGTTGTATCTGAGTTAGCTCTATGTCATAGTTATCTAACCGATTCTTTTTCAAAGACATTTTTAATCCTACTCAATTTCGAATTACTCCATTATCCATCATTAGGCACTGAGTTAACATGAATATTTTTTTCAAACACTTTGCTATGATGCAATGAACCAGTGATTACATTCTATTAGAAACAGCCATCTGAAACTTTCTCCCATTGTCGCTTCGCTATATATTCAATGGAAAGAATTGCTTCGTTGCACTGTAGCTTAACATGCGAATTGCCTATAAGAGAAAGTGCGTAGAAATCGATTTTAATAGACGAGATTATAGGGGTTATGCATACAGTGATAGATGTTTGCTTGAGAAAACACGAATTCCATGACTTGATGAATCTTTTTCATCAGATTTCTATTAGAAATCTTAATTCAAATTTATGAAAAGTAAAACTTTTAATTTTTCTTTAGATAAAATGGAACTTTTGGCATCATTTTTAAATCTCAATGATTTATCAAATCATATTACAACATCCATGTCAAATATTCTTACCTATCAGAATGAACCAAGTAGACAAGAAAAAGAAATCGAAGAACTGAGTCAAGTTTTAGACGCTCTACCAATAAATATACACATTGATTCAATTTCAATTTCAAGTCAACTTTTTGATTATTTATTACAAAATTCACCATCAATGCATCACTATCGTTTATTATCTGCATGTTTAAATTTCATGAAAATAGAAGATCGTCTTCATCGTATAAAAAATATTCTTCTAATTATTCTTGACCATGAACAAACATTAGAATTTCGTGAACTTCTATGCAAATTACTCAACAGTACTGAACATTCTATTTCATTATCGTTAAATTACGATTGGACACAATTAGAAACAGCAATGTACAGTCAACATGACCCAAAATTTCTTACTTATGTTTGGCGATTTTTTTCTAAACATCATCAAACTAAACTAGAAGACATTCTTGTTCGTACATTGCCAATAATTAAAAATAATGATGAATTATTTCTTCTGTTACTAATCGATTTACGATCCATAAAACTCTTTATTACAATGCCATCATTTTGGTATTTATTACAACGTTCATTAGGTGATTGTACATTGAATACTGATCGTACACGAAAATGTGCTTTATATTTATTTCAACAAATATTAATCAACGATGAATATAAACATATTGAAATCAAAGAGGAAAAATTCAACCGATCTCTAATTTTAATCGATGAGACAACAAAACAATTTTGGGCTGATTTCATTGTTCTTTATGAAATGCTTGAAGATGGCGTTGTTCATTTAATTAAGCCACTGTTAACAAAATTCGATCGACTTCTAAGTTTTTCGCATGAGCACGGTAAGATTTTTTTGTTTTCGTCTGTGCAAAAGCGAAATATTGATTTTACTCTTTGATTTAGAGTTATCTTTAACATGGTTATTTATTTTACTACAACGTTTATTTGCTAATTCAAGTTCTCCACTTGCACGCTGGACTATTCGATGGTTTTTTAATGCAATGAAATTGCCTGATAGTCATGTAGAAGACGTGAGTGGGCAAAAAAATGATTTTCTTTGTAATTGAATTGTTAAACATCACGGACGTGTAATTAGACGGAATAAAAATTCTAATCTCCTTTAGTTAAGTATCACGCATTGTGGAAGTATTTATCTTAACTATAAAAAGCAAAAGTGATAATCATCGACATTTGTCAGGAGATCTCATAAAGAAAAGAACCTACTCTCATTAATAGTTCTGTTGAGGGAATAGCTTTTTCATTTAGTTCATTGTCTGATGAAACACTTTCATCGTGGTATGGATGATTGTGTTTGCGTTTCTTTGAACGTTGAGAATGTTTTTACTCAAGGAAATTAACTGAGCACGATAGTCGAAGAGATTCAACATGTTAAAATACTTCGATTCTCATTCATTTTTCCTAGAGAAAACGTATGAAGAATATTTTTGATTAGTTACAAACGTGCTCGTCGTGATCATGAAGCTCAAAGTTCTTTCATGTTAATAGAAACCTTTGTTTCTGCAATAGTAAACCTCGTCATTTGGCATCGATACGACCATAGCTTAGCTGATGAATTGAGTATTTCTCCTCCAAGCAGGAATAATTCGAGGAAAAACGATAGATGATAGCGGAAAACAAATTGTCTTAAAATATCCTGAGGATAATTTTACGAATGATCTTCGCTTATATTAATGTCTCATACACTCGCGAGGTATTATCCGATCATCTAAAAGATATTGTTTTAGCTTTGTTATGTGGTGTTTCTCAGAAATTCAATGTTTGGACAGGTGAATTTGGAAACCCTATAGCATTAAGAGAAACAATAGAAACGTCAAGGACTTTTCAAGTTGATAGAGCTTTTTGGCAGCCATAGCGCACACACCTTGAGTCGCGTGCTATTCTATCATTTCTTTTCAATAATTGTTTTATGCTAAGAACGTAACACTTTTTATATATATATTCGACTACTCTTTAGTTAACCTTGTTCTGGCAAAAAATTAATCATCCGGTGCATGTTCTATAGAGGTTTTCTACTATAGTAATAATACACGAAAGACCACGATTATTTATTTTATTTAGTTCTTTCTTGAATATGTTGTTGATTGGTCATCAAATAATTTTGTTTTTCTTAAGTAAGATATTATTTATTCTGCTATCTAACTTATAAAATCTTCTCGGCTATTAGAGGCGAAGAGATAAGTGATTCACAACCTATGGAACAATGTTTAGAATCTTATCTTGAACGATGGCTTAATCATAGTGAAAATCCAAGTAAGAATATCGTTGAAATTCTATGTAATTTCTATTTTTATATTCTTAGACGCATGCTTATTAACATTGCTATCACGCATACAAACAATTAAATGGTCACAACTATCGCTCGTACGTGTCTTATATTCCTTGAGAACATTCGCTTTGACTCATCAAAATCAATCTCTATTAAATGATGATCACATAAAAATATTCTCATCAATCATACTAACACAATTTCATACATATGCACCAGTTCTTCGTCTATCGGCATATGCATCCATATTTGATATTGCTATTAACCTTCTTGATTGGTCGATTTCATCAGTATCATCAAATCTCCTGCGATTTTTTGCATTCTTTGATCGATCAACATTTTTATCGAAACATTTTCAAACTATATCAACTTATTTCGCATTCAATATTCGACAATTACAAACATTAATCGAAGAATTTCTTGTATCCGAAGATTTCAATAGCTCATTAGATACTCGATTATTTTCGCTGGATAATACATTAATGGAATATCGTCAAATAGCATTTCTACTTGACCTTATTGATATTCATAATACAGACATATTAAAAACAATATTTAATCCGCTCATTGAAAACATTCGAACAGCTTATCAACGTCCTTATATGTCAATAAATAATGTTCGAAGATCTATTGAACTTTTTTCGTGTTTAATACAAGAACATTATTTTCATTCGTCGAATTTCATTAAAGATTGGCTTTCATCAAGTATTCGATTAATTGTACGAGAAGGTTTAAATTTCATTAAAATACATTGTGTAAGCGAGAGAAAAATATTTTATTTCAAATTATCGAGCTATTTCTTTATTTGTAACATATAGATTAAACAACCAATGGCTTTTGTAAAATTACCAATCGTATTTTTAATGATTGGCAGCCACGATGATATAAGCCGATTTTTACAAGAATTAATAACTCAAATTGAAACATGCGCACAACAACAGGTAAATAAATAAACTTATTTTATCGGATGGAAATGTATACTTTGATCCGACTAGAATTGTAAAGCATCCGATTTCTATTTGAACAGTCAGCCGTAGAATAAAACAAATCAAATAATCATTCGGAAGAAATTGCTTAAATGTCAGAATTTCTTCTCTCACAAGAATAGAGATCCATTCGATCTGAATGCCAATATAAAGTTCATCGTTTTTCGTAGCTTCTTTTGTGTATCTGCTTTCATTTTGTTTTCTCACATTTTCTAGTAACGCGCAAATGAGTTTCCCAAGAGCAAAAAAATGTTGGCTAATGAGAATTAACGAGAAACAGCTGTTCACTAACTAGCGAATCCGAGAAAAGCATGCTTCAATACTATTCTTCTCTATGACATCATGCACAATCCAGGAATGGAACGGCAAAAATTTTTATTTAGATGACAAGAACGTACAAAAGAGTTCAAACGAAAGGATATTCTATCTTCCAAATCCGGTTAAAATTACAACAAAATTTATCGAAGAGTCAAGTCAAATAGGTGTCTTCGCATAATAAAAGTTCTACCCGCTGGCACATCTCATAGAATTATTTTCGCAGTTTCCTAAACGAATTGACGTTAGCTAGCACAGCATTACTGATTCGATTCTTTAGTAACTATCAGAGTTCATATTACAGTTTGATTAAATTCACTTGATCGAGACCTGCACACTTATTTATTCATAAGTGAATCTAATCTAAACTTTAGACTTACATTTTCGAATTCTTTTTAGCCAGGAAATAATTGGCAATCTCTATTGATTTTATTTGCTCATTCGACGAATTGGCTGTTAACACATCGATTAGCAGATTTTAACAATGAATGGAATACAAAACTTCGAATTCTTCCATCGCTCTCTAAACTTCTACCATTACTCGATCAACCAAATGTCAGGTATAAATTTGAAATCTATGGTTTTTATCACATATTTATTTCTAAAAAAAAGCATTCCACAAGCCGATATGCTAGTTGCTAAGCATCTATTAATCGCTAATAATATATCATCAACAGATTTATGTAATAATATCATTGATGATCTATTCAAAGCATCGGCAAAGGAACTACCTCAACTTTTCCGTGCTATTGGTGTTTTACTTCAGCAAGCACAAGTAAATAAAAACAAACAATATTCTTTTTTTATCATTTACACTAAATATCGAATTTTATTTTTTTAGATCACAAATGAAACTAAATGTAAATTAATAGAAAATGCCATGACTGCACTCAACGAACTGGACCATCGAATGCCAGTCTATTGGCCTTGTTTAACAGCGTTTTCTCAAGCAATTTCATCGTCTGTTACAGACATAAACGTTTCCACCCTATTGACACAAGTGTGTAACTGACAGATGATGGATTCATGACAGATTTGATTTAAAATTATCATCTATTTCTTAAATAGTGGTTTACGCAGATGCTTAAAACATGTGGCCATGTGTCAGGAATAATGAATGTCATACTCGAATCAATAGTTCCGATATGGCTACATGAGCATCGCATTCAATCATCTCATTTACCAGTTTTAATTGAATGTGTCATTTTTGGACAAATTTATCAAAAAGATAAAAAGTACAATAGCGATAAAAATAAATGTAATTGAGAAAAAAACACTTTCCTTTTTGTTCTAGACAACAATGGCAAGCAGAGCAACTGGTTGAACAAGATGAATCGACTCGTTTACTCATTACTAATACTAATATTATACCGTAAGTTAATCGAATCGGGATCATCCATTATATCTGAATTGACTCTTCTAGTGAATATCGTTATGATCGGAATATTCGTGTATTAATACAATTATTTATTCTTCATATTTGGCCATCGTTACATAATGCTCAACAAAATGATATTCTTTCGCAAGTCATTGAGAAACATCGTCAGGTCGCATCAAAAGAACGACGACCACGTTTCTGTACGAATTCTCTCGAACATCGTATTATGTTTCGTTCTCTTCAATGTATTCTTTGTTTGACATCTGCTATCAAAAACTCGGTAGAAAGAAATTTAGACAACAAAAATCAACATGTTTTTTTTTTGTTACTTGTTGGTTTTAGAGTCTTTTAAAAACAATCTACGATTATATAGTTGATGCATTAACACGAGAAAATGAACCATCACTTCGTTTACTCTCCGAATGGATTATTATTCGGTTAATATCAGAAGATCGAACAGCAGGTCTAAATGATTTATATCAATATTTACAACATGCTCATCAACATAAAACCGGAACTGTTTGTGCTTGGATATCCATAGCATCACATATTCCAAGTCTTCTATCCGATCAAGCTGAACAGGTTAAAAATAAAAGTTTTCATTGTTGATTTTTATTTTAATAAAATCTACTTTTAATTAGATTGACTATTTAAATAAAGTCTTCAAATATCTAAGTCCATTATTGATACATTCGAATTTTCATATTCGAACTTTTGCTTGTTCAACAATGATTAAATTACTGGAATATATTGAACGGCATAACCTACAAAATGAAACATCCTATGATGCTTATCAATTTTTTAAACTAAACGATGAAAAATCTGAGTACTATCTTATCTTCTTGGGTTTTTCTTTTCTAAATTATTTTATCTATAGACTTGCTCGATATACAACGAAACTTCAAAGTTTATTTATTTATCAATTCGACCCAATACGAGATTTTTCACTTGAAACAATTTTTTATATATTACCAAAACTATCTTTAATAGCCGATGATGAATATTTATGGTCGAAATGGTTTATCGAAATAGGTCAACAATTACATTTGACATTTCCAATATCAGTTCATAATGTTTCCACAATTTTACAGTCGTGTCCAATGGGAATATGGAGATTAACTGGTAAATAGAATTTGCAAAGAAAATTTATTTTACAAAAGCCTTCACACCATAGATTTATTCGTTTTTTCGACAAAAATTTTGAGTTAAGACTATGCGAAAACTACTATGCTTGAAAACAGAGTAATACTTATGTTACTGTAGCTGCAGTCAGTTGTTTTTTTTCTAGGAGAAAAAATGTTGTGTTAAAACTTACGCACGATAAACGAAGCAATAAGATACAATATTTGTTATTTTGACAACTATTTAGCTTCTGGAAAAAGTGAAATTGGAGGAACACAAGATGAAGAAGGATCTTCGACGATTCAATATAAAGCCAATCCTTATCCAGTTATCGAAGCGCTTGATGATACTGAATTAAGAGGAAGCATTAAACGAACTGAATTGATTGTTGTTGCGTCTCTTATTGATAAACAAACAAATTTAGGAGGTAAGTGTATTCAGTGATTATTTATAAATCTTTTTTTTAAATCACGATACCATGATGACATAACCATAGAGAATTATTTCTATAGAAGATACTATAAACTTTCCAAGGACTTGTTCTTAAGTTTTATTTATATGACATGAATCAAGAACGATTTTGATTAAACCCCTACACAGAATAGAAGCCCTCCCCCTGGGTTAGATTTCTCCATTGAAAACCAAGGTTTACTTCATGAAAAATGAAAGGATAAACATTTCTCTATCAAATAACGCAAAAACTGGCATCAGGGCATGCTTTGCTGCAAAATTATAGCTTGCGGAACAGAGACATCACCCATGGGCTTCTATTCTGTAGGAGGGTTTAACCAACTGAACGATATATAAAAACAGAGTATCTATTAAAAATTTGAATAGACAAATATTATGCCTTTTTAATTCATTTATCTCATCAATAATCACAAAACAGCGAGGTAAACTCTACAGTTTTGGTTTAGTGCTTTTATTCCTTCGTTGTCTCAATGCATAAAACTCGAAGTACTAATTAGATTCATTTGAAAGAAAAAGATTACAAAAATTAAATTCACATCGCATTAAAAAGTCTTATCAGAATTTGATCCAAAAACCTGTTAATTTGCATTATTAATGCGATGCGAAGCAGAAGCATTCATGTAGTCCGTCGCGAGTTTTTTTTTTTAATGCGATGCGAAGCAGAAGCATTCATGTAGTCCGTCGCGAGTTTTTTTTTAATGCGATGCGAAGCAGAAGCATTCATGTAGTCAGTCGCGAGTTTTTTTNGAAGCATTTCTGTCGTCCGTCGCGAGTGTACTTGTGTTGTCTTTTACTTTATCGACGTACGCATCACGAGTTGTCATTTTGTGACTCGATGATCTCGAGAACCAAAAATCATAGAAAAGCGGTTAAAACGTGAGATCGAAGTATCAAGATCGAACTTAGAACATTTGTTTCTAATCTTCAATCTGAAGTTCTGTTCACTCACAAGTGTGGTTCCAAAATGACGAAAATGAAAGAAATTTATGAAGAGATAATTAAAGTGACGCCATGAACATATGTTAGCCACTATAGTCTATTCATTTGCAGCTGATCTAAGATAATGAATCATGGAGATAATTAATCGATCAAACGAAATCGATCCTTAAGAATGTATCGCTAAGTAAGAATAGAGTTTTCTCAGTGATGAATTTCATCATGTTGACATAAAAAGTATTCAAGATTTCTCTGCATCGTAGATTTTTCGTGACGATCCGATTCGAGCTTCGCATCGCATTTCGTATTCGAGTGAAACTTGAATACCATCTAGTTATCTCTTGTGTCTCATATTTAAATAATGAACCCATGAAATTATCTATAATCAATTAAATTTCTCACAGATGAATTTAAAATTTTTATTAACAAAGGTTTAAGTCGAACCGGTGAAGTTTTTGGTATAAAAGAATTAATAATTGGAAGTATTCGTATATTGGAAGATCAACAATTTCTCAATTTAAGTATGACTTCTCATAAATGGTTACGTATAAAACAAGTAGGAATATTGTTTGTTCTTCATTTTTTGCTTATTTCTGTTTTATATTTTGTAATTGAGGTACAAGAAAGAGAATTAAAAGATTATTTAATTGATATGCAAGCTCAAGGATATACGATCATTGCGCTTGAACAAACAATAAATAGTCAAAATTTATATGAATTTGAATTTCCAGAGAAAACTTTACTTTTACTTGGGTATAAAAGAATACTCTTGAATTTTATTGATTTTATTTACTTTTTACTCTTTGTAGAAATGAACGCGAAGGTATTCGAGCTGATCTTTTGTCTTTAGTAGATGCAACCGTTGAAATTCCACAAGCCGGTGTTATTCGTTCATTGAATGTCCATGTTAGTGGTGCCCTCTGCATATCTGAATATACAAGAAAGTATATGAATAAGATGAAATAACACGCAAAAAGATATGGTGCTTTTTTTTCTATTGTTTTTGTTTTTCGTTATTAAGCAAGCATGTTGTGATGTTTCTAGTTTGTGATTTGTTTTAGATAAACTTGAAAGATCATTATTTAGTGAGATCTTTAGACATAATACTTTTAGGTTTTAGATGGACGATGATTTAGATTAACATTTTTAGAAGTAGATGAAAAGGGAATCTACCGATGAATTAAGAACATTTCTCTTGATCGAATATTGTTTTTAATTCAATACGAATGGAAAAAGCAAACATCGTTTTTCTTTCAAGTTTTAGATAATGCGCATTTATGATGAATTCAAATCGATGTTTATCACCATCTGTTTTCATGCTTATGTTTTCTTGATCAGTGGATTGATTATTAACTTTTTACAATTATGTTCATGTGTTATATGGCCATTTAGCAAAGAACTGTATAGAAAAATTAATTGCTTTCTAGCATTGGGTATATGGAGTCGTAAGTATTGGAGTTTTCTATTGCAAGAGCTTTTTGTTTACAATTAAATACTCATTTATTCAGAAAAAAATAAAATTGACTCGAACTTAGCCGCATAAGTACACCCGTCAAGGTCAACTTTCAATTTTTCATCTCTAGGATAATTTTATGATTCAATAAATACTTGTTCGAATCTGCAGTATCCTACTACAACGAATTAGCCCGCTCAGTTACACTATGATTGTCGAAAATTATCTTATATTTTGAAGAATTTCTTTTGTTGTTTATAATTTTTCTTCTATAGAGTTTACTTTCTACGCTCAATGGTGGTCTCAAAGTAATTGTGTTTTGTATATAAATCCTGAAGATTTGGAAAAAGTTCGTCATGAACATGCAATCGTTATGTAAGTTCATCCGTGCAAAATCATCCACAAGCAAAATATTTGATTAAAAATTTAGAATGAACCATAAATATGATATTGATTGGCTTGCAGGTTGGATTATTTGTCAACGTTTAGGAATTATACAGGTAACATTCGACGTAAACTCTTCTATTCATATTCTATTTTATGTTGATTAGGGATCGAAAATCGTTGGTAAACAATCTCTTAAATTAGTTCCTATAGTTGGTTGGTGTTGGATATTTACTGAATCAATATTTTTGCGTCGTGTATGGGAAAGCGATCGTGAAACATTGGTTCACGACTTAAGCAAAGTTCTTGCTAATTATCCAAAAGATTATTACTTCAATGTAAAGAAGTTTATTTTCTTTTTGTCTAAGTTAAAATATCTCTATATTTTTCTTTTCCTGTTTAGTTTTTACTTTTCTGTGAAGGTACCCGATTTACCGAAAAGAAAAGATTAATGAGTATGAAAATTGCAAAAGAAAAAGGCTTACCAGAACTTAAACATCATATTCTTCCACGTACAAAAGGTTTTACTTTATTGTTACAAGGAGCAGAAAATCGAAGTAAGTTCTCCATAAGAAAAAAAAAACCTTCTCTTCAAGCAGCCGAATAGTGAGTTACTAGTTATGGAAATTTCGATTCATGTTATCGATGGTACGTCGAATGATCTTTGGTAACATTTGATTTCACTATCGACGATATACTACTAGCTGTTTACACTGCCGGTCAGAGAATAGTCAGGTGCTTATGGATGAAATTATCGCTGCAATATTTGTTGGCACAGCTGAAGTTTTACTGACCACCAATCCTATTGATAGTTTTTCTGCTATTCGTACCACATGCGAACTAGATTAATTAAACACATTTTCTCATGCTTATATGTAATTATTTATATAACATGATTGAATAACGCATGTAACTAGAATGTAAATATACGGTAATAATTAAACAAGTAACACGTACTTGATTGAAATATCTTGCACTAATCATAGCTCTACTCATATATGCTCTGGTGTTCGACTATTAAAATTTGTTAAATAAAATTAAAATTGTATCAAACAAGAAGTAATCTCTTCTCTTTTTTTTTCTTCAAATCTAGTCGCAGCTGTGTATGATTTAACGATTGGTTTTAAAAATACTGGAGCTGAACCAACACTTCTTAGTATATTAAAAGGACGTTCATGTCAAGCAGAAATATTTGTCAAGTGAGTTGTTGTTTTTCTTGAAAAATATTTATCTAACTTTTCTGTTCAGGCGTATTCCTGTTTCGAAAATTCCACAAGATACAGAAGGATGCAATAATTGGGTTCATGAATTGTATCAAGAAAAAGATAAAATATATGATTACTTTGTTAATCATGGTACATTTGAAGGCAATGGTTTACCACGTATTGAAGTTCCACGTAATTACTATGATTTATTAAATGAACTGGCTTGGATATTAATTATTGGTGTTCCTTCATTAATTTATTTATTTAAATTTCTTTGGACAAGTTCATTATTAGTGCGGTTGATGTTCGTTATTTTGATTGGCGTTGGTAATTGATGAATATCTTGAGAGACATAATAGAGCCTTCATTTTGTTTGCGTTTTTTAGCAACGATTGGTGTTCGAGCAATGATAGCAGTTACAGTGACTGAACGCGGTTCAAAATATGGAGAAATACACAAAGACAAATAAATTCACGGCAGGCATAATATTTTATTTATTGTTCTTCTTCTTCATTATGATTGATATGTGATAATTCGTGCAAAACGAATGTGGCCGGCTACCTACCGCAGAAGAATGACAAACCAAGTCTTTTTCTAACCTTTTTCTTTTTGAATGTATTTTTTTTTGCAACTTATTACTCAAGCATAATGAAGAAAGCTTTTATTTCCTATCAATTTTAAATATATATATATATTTAGACTCATACATGTTCTTTTGTATCCGTCCGTGAAACTTTAGGCATTACTAATCCTTCTTTCTTTTCTGAGAGAATAATTGAATTAATTGTCACAACTGCAATACTTCATGCAATTAGAATTTCTAATTTCAATGCAATTTTCTTTCTTGTTCTTCTATACACGCTATATTTATCTATTGCATTATCATTTCTCCAATGAAATGAAAATAATTCTTGTATTTGTAACGCAACATGATTTGAATTCAGCTTCTTCAGTGTTTTGTTTTTCTTGTCAATAAAGTATAATAGAAAATTTTATATTATTCTAAGTGCTGCAATTCTAAATTCAAAAAACTGTGAATTGCTCAAAGGAATCTAATCGTAGCGGATTTACTCGACAATTATTATTTTTACTGACGTACAATTGATGAAATTTTTCTATGTGTAAATGATTGATGTCGAATTCATTCGATCATTCTGAATAAAGCTAGTACACGACTTGTTTTGCTCTAATCAATACGATTAGTACATATTTGAATGGTTGAGAATTTTCATAGTTTTAGCAGGTTGCAGAAATGTTCGAGTTACTACAAATAAACAACAATCGGAGTACAATAAATATTTCAAATAAAAAAATGATCTCAAATAATATGTTATCAAATCTCAAAGGTTTTAGCTTTAATCTATAGAAAGTAAAAAGTAATTTAATTAAAAACGATACTTTCAAAAGCCAACTTCATTGAAACGATAAATTATTAGATTGTTTCTACTTGGAAAAGAATATTAAAAAAATTAATTACATGAAAACTTTTCATCTCACTCACTTCGTTAATATTTATTTTTATGATCATGTCGTGCTGAAGTATGATGATATGTTAGGTCAATTCTATTGATTTATAATTAATATGAGTCGCTATTTTAAATTCGCAACGAACGATTAACATATTTCTCATTTAACCCGACGCACTAAACTCTCATGTATAATGAGAAAAAACAACAATATATGTTCACATCTCAGTGACATATGTGAACAGAGTATCCTACTTGTTCTTTTCTTTTCATAGCTAACGAACATGATCGATGATAATGTGTTAAAATTCTGATCTTGGATTATTTCTACTCAATATTATATCAAAAAAAAATATTCTTTCGGTTTTTATCTATTGAACGTTTCTCATAGCCGTGAAAGTTATTATCTGTAAATCAAAGTGTAGATTATCATGTACGGCGTGAAAAGTAACTCGAATGAAAACTACAATTTTTTGATAAGAAACGAAAAGCTTCATTAAAATTATCTCGTAAAAGATAATAAACAATCAATCTAAAAGAACATATGATGTGCAACGCGTTAAACAGCTTTCTCCAAATTCTTCAGGTGAATTATCGATCTGAAATTTAATCAAACTTAACTAGAATAGAATTATTACTGATGAATTCCTACAGCAAAAAATAAACATAAATAGATGATGATGATAATCTAGGCATCAACGAACCATTCTCTTTAATTTCACTTGACACTTGCGAATATAAAAATTGTTCCAGATTGTTTTTTTTATGTGTACGTTTCGCATGAATGTTATGTGTCAAAGTATGTTTATAAATTTCTTTTCAACGCAATATCGTTCTACTATCCCGATATTCTGAATTGAAAATAAATGATTAAATACTTTTTGAAGAACATCACTAGCCAGTTTTTACGATTATTGTTAATGGTGTTTTATGATCATGAGTGTTCGTTTATTCGGATAACACATGTCAGGGGCGTTCCGTCTGTTTCCATTTTTTCTTTTTGATGACAACACAACGTGTCATTGAGACAGAATATGATCTACTAGTAAGCTGATGTAATCACTTCTATTCTGTCTGGCTCAATTAGACGAAGGTGTATCTGACGCTAGATTATTGAGCAGAAAAGAAAATTGATATTCATTTGGTTCAATACCAGACATTTCTCTTTAGGATATGCATGAACGGAAATAAATTTTTTCTTCATTTCTGTTTGTCACACTGTTAAAAGTCAACTACTCGTACTGTACGAATATAATCTGTCAATTGCTCTATATAAAAACAATGTAATGCCACTCGAAAAAGTTTATTCAATAAATAGCAGCATTATGCCTGTTAAACATGAGCTATCAATGAAGTACACACTCAAGTGTTTGGTTAAGAAATCATATATTTAAGGTAATTACAAGCTTGTTTTATAAATAAATCTTGATGGCTTGTATCGAAATATCAAGTTTATTGATTCTGTAAAGATTTTTTTAAATATAGAATTAGATCAATGGCGTCAATCTATGTGTTATTATTGAATTAGACGAGTATGCTTTCATATTGTCTTCATATTATGGATATAACACATTAGAAAAGAAGAAAAAAAACCCGTGATGATACACGCAAAGCACGAGTCGAACTAAGCTTTCGAATATTCATAAAAAATAAAAATAAATGATTGTGGCGGATCTTGAAATTTGTAAAGAAATGATGATATATCCTCTGGATTTGCTATACACAATGACGGAAATCTATGTAATCTGATGGTAATAATGATACTAGCCACATTGCTTAGCTTTCTAGTAGTGATAGACCGGTATCCGGTCTCGCTCACTCTCTAAAAACATAATTACATTGTGATATTTATTTCAGAAAACTACGGTCTATATGTATGACCACTTTCGTATCTTCAAAAAAAACGAAAGTATATGATCAGTGATAATCATCTCTTTGAAGCGTATTCATTTTTTCTTTTCTTCTCTTGATTGACGAATCATTCATCATTAGAATTTTCCTTTTTTTCACCAATTGTCTATATCGACAAGAGAGAAGAGAACGAATAATATCGATTGGCTCAATGATAATTTATATGTATCCATCATCAATAGTTCTCATCTTATTCTATGTATAAAAAGCATCGTCGTATTGATCAACATCATAACAATAAACAACAGCGAATCGTTCGCAAAACAACATCTTCTCAGGTTTGTTAGAATAAAATAAAATATCGACAAATCATCATATTCGATTAGAATACTTGAAAAAAGAAAAAGACATAGAAGTGGATATTGCATATTTCGATATTTAAATTGGTTAATGGGTTGTCTACTTAAAATTATATCGATATGCACGTATACATGTTGAGAAAATTTTTTTCGATCATCCATTACTACTCTTATGTCATTTATATTTTTCCGTACGCGTGTGTAATACACGCGTCGTCGATATTCCTATTTAGACTTCTAGAAAGTTACTTCGAAAAAAAAACTGGACATCATTTTTCATTTTTATTATTATTTAGAATTCACCTATGGGAAAATATTCTTTAACAAAACGACGTTATTCTCATCAATCAAAATTTTTTCATACACAACAAGAAACTACATTGATATTAAATAAAATCGAACATGCAAATAGTACAACTAAACTAGAAAATCGAGTGAATACATCATTTCGACCACTTGCCGCTTCTACACCATACGGTATTGAACAATCAAATCCATTCAATGATGGCTCCCCACGTAAGTTCATCACAATTGATTGACATATGTCGCACTTGAAAACTAAAATCTATTGTCATAGTTCACTCGGAATTCATTTTTGCTTTCTTTTTTTGTGTCTCTAGATTCCATCATGAGAAATCAGCGATTATTATTAACACCACCTATTTATTGCAGTACACCAAAACAAATGCGCCGTCAAATTCCTAATAATAACAACAGTCACGGAAGATCAACATCATCATTTAAACAGAAATATAATCTTGATCAACATCCATCAATTCCAATTATATCTCAACGTCGATTACAATTCACACCTAATTCACAATCATTGGTGCGCTATTCAAATGATGATACTCGAAGAATAAACATTAAAAATATAAAAATTTGGCTACTGTAAAATTTAAAATGGATATGTAAATGTTTTTCTTTTCTTTTATTATAAAAATAAATCTGAGTTTTAAATCAATATGTCTATCTCAAAGAAAGAAGATTCATAAGAGCGTATATAATCAAAACACAGTTGGATATCAATATAAATCAAGCGGAAGACAGTGATACTTACTGGCGTCGTTCATTGATTCATCCTAAGCGGACGAGACGGATGGTTGAAGTGGATCTAACTATCTAATAGGGATAAGTGTGCCGGTATCATGCCGTTCGTCTTTGTGCAATAAACGATAATAGATTAAATATCAAGGAAGTTTATTGTTTTAAATCAGTTAGAAAATGAAAATGATTGTTCTCTTTATATTCGAGAGATATTTTTCGGCTAATTTTCTCTTTGAAAACTAACGAGTTGAGTGCGTATGAGATAGAGAAATTACGTCCGTTGTAATTCTATGGTTAATACTAATGCATCTGCTTCCGATAGCACATGTGCAACTGATTAACAATGTGTCACATTACAATCGGAATATATTCAGAAGAAAAATACCTTAATACTTCTGAAATTTGTGAATTTCAGAAGTATTGTTTTGATTGCGATATATGTAAAATTCATAAGAGTTGTCATGATATTCATTACTTGTCTTGATACATATAAAGCCATAGCAATTGGTGATCAGTAGTTTTCATTGATACGTGAGAAATTATTAAGCGAATAAGAGGAAGAAGAAGGTACAGATGTGCTCATTTTTAGAGTTGTAATTTTAATGTTGATTTAAATCAATGGTTTGCCTCGGATTTTATTTAAAAAATGAAAATGAAGTGATGATATTTTTTTTTTGTAATTCTATGTTATTATTAAGGTGCTAAAGCTCATCCTAGTCGAAGTATAAAATTTAAATAGAAGATTATCTCGATAATCAGTGCTCGACAAGTTGATCATAATAAAATTAAGACTTCATGATCTGCAATTCAATGATTAGAATCATGCTATATTTATAATAAGTCATTTTGAAGTGAATTTGTTTTGTTTGAGTCGATATGATTTACTTTTTTTTTGTTAACATTCAACATCGTTCGCTCGTTGACATCAGATGAACATAATAAAATGGCTGCTCCTGTCTGTAGGATGTTCAACAAATTTTTCGAACTAATTTATCTCTAAGGACTCAACAATTATATGATTCATACGGAGGTTTATCTATATTTTAAAAACAAAATTTCATTCAGAAAATATTTTGAATCATGCTGCCATTTTCTAATCTTACTATCAGTGTATATTGAATATTCCAAATCAATGTGCATTATTACAGACTTAATGATATTGATGAATGTAGAGTAATGGCATTTCTTGCTCTCAAAATCAAAACATATGATTCTTGTTCAAGTTCATTCTATTCGATTAATTAGCTCGCTAGATGAATTCGTTATTCAATATGATATTGCATTGTTTCATTCAACTCTCTTTCGTTTCCATTATCATCATTATGTACAATCTTAAATACTGCAAGGAATCAAGTAATAGCCCCTGATTTAAAAATGTTCCCTTTATTATTGATACTAATACAGTAAAACGAAAACAAGATCACTGGTATATGCAAAAAAATTATTCTCGTGGTTCAATTACGACAACGACAGCGTTAGCAGCCATATCATAATTTGTTTGTCGATATTGCGATGTAAATAGAGCAACTATGAGAGCTGGAAAAAGAAAAGTAGCCATGAGACATTTAAATGTAGAACGAGTGAAAGCCCTTCAAAAGAAGAATATCATTTAAAAAGATAGTTAAAATTCTATCGGTATTTCTTACGCTCCGCTAGTAAGTGTTGTCACTGGTTCGATGGTTAAATCACCATTTTCTTGCATTTGTGGATGATCACATTTGAGAACACGTAAACGAAGAAGACGTTTACCTGGCGTAGCACCATAACGTGTCAGACAGAAACTCTAAAATAAAATCATTTAATTATTAAAATATAGAGAAACATATAAACAAGAACTAACTTCAAAAGCGATGCTTGTTATCAAATATCCCAATTCGATACATAAAAGTTCTAATGGAAACGAGAATGTTTCATCGTAGAGTATATTTGAGATCATGTATGTTAACGTAAGACGGCTTTCGTCGATTATATCGAAATAATTAGCGAGGAAAAAAACGATTAAAATTCTATAGGAAAACAAAAATAGAATAAATATCTAAATTTTCCATGAAAAGGAAAAAAGATAAGAATATTACTTGAACACATGTAAAAGAAAGAAATCGACTATTTCAGCAAGAAAACGACGCCAGACTGATGCTATTTTCAGACGAGCTAAAACATAGATACTTTTTTTTATGTCTGCATAGAATCACAAAAACTAAACTCAAACCATTTCGTATTTCAGCTAAAGGATCAAAAGTTTGTGACCGATTGACTTCGTTGATCATTTCAAGAAAATTAGAACTTGAAATAACAGGTATCTGCCGAAAAAATTGCTGAGATGCATTCATCATCATCATACTAAAATAAAATTCAAAATATAGAAAAGAATTTTTGAAATCTAGTTTTTCATTACTTCGAATACGTAACACAGCTCATATTCCATGTATAGTAAGCTTGATGCCATTTGGATACTAAATCAGTATATTCTTCGACTGTCATTTCGTTTGATTTTATTTCCGATGTATCCGATGGCTTTTTTTCTGCTGATGTTGACGGATTACAACTCATCTTATTCTTTTATATTGATTTGTAAATGAATCCAATGAAAAAAAAGATCTGATTCTGGGTATAGTAAGCAAGTACATAAAAATGTGATCGTGTGTATCTATCTGTTTTCTACTATTGTAGCTGGTTTATTTCCGTACAATCACAGTTGAACAACAGGGACATCTGTTGATGTGCGACTGTCGCTAGTACTTGACATCGCTGTTCCATAAGCCTTGTATAAACTCCATTTTCTTGTACCTATCTCTCTTCACCATAGAGCTATAAAATTTAACAAAACAATTATTTTAACGATGACTGTGTACAAGACGAAATTTTAAAATCTACTGATAAAAGAGTCGACAGTTCGGATCAGGTCTATAGTGTTAGTATGGATCTGATAAATAAGAATGTGTTAACTTATTCTATATTCGTTGAGTTGAGTTTTTAGAAAAGTTTCGATACAACACGAGCGAAAGTTTTCTTTTCCATACATAACTATATAATTAGTGCAAATTAATCATTATTCTATTACCAAGTTCAGCTTTTGTTTCAAACAGCTGCGCTCTTCAATGAACGTCACTAACGTAAGTGTTTTCGTATAAATATAGTTTAATCATTTGTTTTAAATATGGTGTTCATAGTTATACCTTCTAGCACGAGCAGACGTCTATGATTCATAGAATACCTTCTCTTGATGTAGTGTCATTACATGCCTATTACGAGATTCTTTCATTTACAAGTAGACAAACAAATGTGCGGTAGAAAAATATTGTGAGACTCATGCATCAAATTGACATATTTCTATACGCTAAGGCAAACAGAAATGTATTTTTTTTCTTTCTTTGCCAGTACAAATTATGTTTCATCAATAAGCGAATAACATATTCACGCACACGTATGAAATCATGACATGCATGATCAATGAGCTAGTATATATTAACAATCGATATTAGCTGATTCATTGCAAAAACAAATGCATCAAACAAGTGAAATTTCTCTATTAGTCGACCCACATAAAAGCATACGAAGAAAATGAAATCATATTTATATTTGGAGGTCGATTTTCAAAAAAAAAAGAACATTAGTTTCCTACTATTGAGTCATTTTCTTACAATTTAAATGAAAGATTTCAATTATATAATTCTATTGATTAAAATTATTGTCAGAAAAATGCTTGATTCCAGCACTTGTGTGTAAATCGACCGAAGACAAAATAGCTGGCTAATAATAAACTTCACTATTTAGTCTAAAAAATAGCGTGTCTATTAAAACAATAAAATAAATTGCTTGACTAGAATTATTTTTGCACCTGGAAAACATAGACTTGATTGCCTGGAAGTCTGAGACGAATATGTTCATTTGCACGTAATTCCAATTTGAGTGTTCTATCAATAAACACTTCTTGAAGTGTATACAATTTTGTTGTATCTAATCCCAAGACTGACCATATTTCATTTGGTATGGCTAATTCAATATCATAATTATTTTTATAATCGAAATTTAATATAAATAGTAATTGTTCATCATGATCGTGATATCGAATAAAAGAATAGATTTTTCTTGTATCATATAATGAATGATTAGCAAATTGTAAATCAATCAATTTCGATGAAACACAATGTAAAGCTTTATAATCATGAATAAGTTTTATAAGAGTTTCATAGAATGATCGTAGAGCTTTTTGTGAAGTTGTCAATTGACCGCCATCACATGCACCTTTATTATGCCAAGCTTGATATTCAGGGATTCCCTAAGAAAAATAGATTTAACAAAATATTTATTCGTTTTTATGCGTCTTACAGAAGCCTAACAGAGACCTGAAAAGATAGAGTTACAATCAAGATTTTGGAAATATTTCTAAATATGAATTAAAAATTTTTCCAGAAGTTCAATTTTTAAAAATGATGAGTCAGTGTTTGTTGTCGCATGAAAATTGAAGTTTTCTCTGCAGCAAACATCTCGTTATTATAGCCGAGATTTTCTTACACATGCGATCAATAACGAGCTCGTTCTCTCTCTCTCTCTCTCTACAGCGTAATATAGAAAATCAACAGTATAACTGAACACATTAAAAAGTCCGCTCTTCAAAAAAAAAAACTCTTAAATTGAAGCAGTGCGCCTTTTCTATTCCCTATTAGCAAATTAATATTTACTTTCAGACTTCTAACAAATCGATTAAAAAATTTTCTAGCAGAAATCTTTTGATACGTAAAAAGAATACTTCTAATATACAAAATTTTGACAGCTTCATCTACTAAATTACCCAATAATCAAAAATAGTTGTTCGACCATCATCTCCTTGAAAACCTTTGGGTCCTACACTATCGACACCAATTTCTTGTCCAAAATAAATCATAAACGGACCCGAATGCATAGTAGCCGTACAAACAGCAGCTGGTATTGATTTCCATGGGTTTCCTGTAAATTGTTTTGCAGCAATTCTAAAATATGAAAGAGATAATTCAGTATCGATTCCGCATATCTCTCCTTACCTAACTTCATCGTGATTTTCCAAAAATCTTACCATATGTCTATCAATATAATTTACTTCATTATGAATACGTGTTATATCATTACAGTTTCCTGAAACTGATTCTTCTCCTAATAAACGATGTAAACAATCATATAATCCTATTTTATCATATAGATAATCAAAAAGACCATATTCAACATAACGTTGATACAAATCCGATCGATAAATTTCAGCAATAAAAACAATTCGTCGATCAGGATATGCTTGACGTATTGTAGCTATTAACCAATGCCAAAACTCAACAGGAACCATTTCTGCCTAATATTTACAAAGAAAAAGAATGTATTTCAGACGAAATAATCTTGCAATTTACCATATCACAACGAAAACCATCAATTCCTTTATCAATCCAATACGATAAAATTCGAAAGATTTTATCCCAGAGTGGTGGCCGTGGGTTAAAATAATTTTTACCCGTAGCGTTATCAATTCCATAATTTAATTTAATAGTTTCAAACCAATCTGTCATTGATGGTCTCGAATGAAATACATCGTTGCCTGTTGCGCGTGCTGGTTTTTCAGTATATTTTGGTACTGTCGATATATCAATGCACGGAGGTATATGTTCAACATTATACATTTGAAAGTCTTCATTTTCAATATAATAAAAGTCATTTGTTGGACTAAACGATTTCGTTCGATCATCATTGATACCTAAATCTTCTTCAGGTCGAACATCAGAACCATATTCTCTAGCAACATGATTAGGAATAAAATCCATAATAACTTGAAGACCATGAGCATGAGTACGTTGCATTAATTTTTCAAATTCACTCATGCGATTTGGAATGTCAACGGCTATATCCGGATCAATATCATAATAATCTTTTATTGCATAGGGTGAACCAGCTAAACCTCTGTACAGAAAAATAAGAATACCTCGAATAATAACAAAGAAAATATTTCTTACTTGACAATATAAGGATTATCTTTACGAATGCCGTAGACTGTATAATCAGTTATTGTCGCATGTTCAAGAAGTCCACAATACCATACGTGTGTATATCCAAATCTTTTTAATTCTTTCAAGGCTAGATCACTGATATCATTCATTTTACCGACACCATTTTGTTCTATAGTTCCATGAATAGTATTCGTTAAATTTTGATTACCAAATAATCGAACGAGTATTTCATAAATGATTAATTTATCACGACGAGGTTCGGATGTTTGACATGAACAAAGGTTTTTTAAAAGCTTTACAGACATTCCTGAAATTTTTAGAAACAATCAACTAGAACAAAAAAAAAATGTTACACTATAAAGATCCATAAAATATTTGTACAAGAATCTAAATGGACAGAGCCAGCCTATACAAATAATCTAACTCAAAATAAATTATAATTCGTTCGTTTTTAAAAAGAGTTAATTTCGTATTTTTTTCTTTAAATTATATTTTCGTGATCGTTCTTTTATTTTGAGGACATTGTTCATTCCTCTTGTTTTAATAATTTTTTTATTATAATGATGATAAAACTACGCCATGGTTTTGAATGTAAAAACCCTTTGTGTTTCAACTATATGAATTCTCAGTTGAGTATATTTAGTTAGATCACTTTTGTTCTATTGTCTACAATGAACTAAAGGGTAGTCATCATTTCATTTCGATTGATTACAAAACAACTTTCATCTCATTCTTTTGTTCATAATAATTTCATTCAACGTCTTCCAGCATTCATTTCTTCATATTCAAGAGCTTTCTTCTATTCTTCTAGAGCACCTTCTTCTACTTCAATGGTCGAAATGTGTTGGAAGATGGATGATTTCATTTCGAATGTATATAAAAGAATCAACATGCCTCCAAGGGTGATTTCAGTTGTGTCATTGACAACGGCATACATAGATGCATACTCTCTCTCTCTCTCTCATTTTACTTTGTTTACATAGTTCAGCTCAATCAGAGGACAAGTGAGAGAACTTGAGAGGTGCCGCTATAGCGTTTTCCGCGCGACAGAAAAAATCAATCTCTTTCTCTCCTTCTTTCGCTTTTTGCCTTCCCTTTGTTTCCCTCTCTCTCTCTTTCTTTGTTTAAACACACATACAACTAGAGAGAGAAAAAGAAAGGTACTTGAATGTGACAACCTTTTCTCAGACGTAGAAGAATTTTTTTAAAAGTCTTCTCAATACTTGTTCGCTCTCGCGTAGCTAGTTACAATTGAAGTGTCTGTTTGTGCACATATAGAGAGTGAAAGAGAGAATAAGAGTTCGTATAATTAGAAAAGAGAGAGAGAGAGAGAGAGAGAATAGAGAGAGGGAGAGAGCGCGATGAAATATATTTTCATTTTAGCCTACTCATATAAAGCTCAGTCATTCGTTTGGAAGGTATATGTGAGAGTTGGACACATATTCATAAAGGTACTTATCACATCAGCCTTCTTTACATTACTCCATTGAGTTCTGCCTTCGTTTCTAATTGAGTTGACACAATAGGAAGTACAACTATATAAATATATGTACATACAGTTAGTTATTATAATCAATCTCTATGAGTCACTATTCATTCTTTCGGTTTATTTACTTCCTATTCCTTGAGCATCAGCAAGGATCCAAACGTACGTATATTATAAATATCACGAGATAACTGAAGAATTATGTACTCTTATGCACCGTTCTATATATGAAGCAAGAAATGCACGCAAATAAATACATACCCATAGCCACATATGTCGATGGCTTTTTATCTTATCCATTCTTCTTTTTTTTCTTTGTCTTATGTTTAGTAGCGAAAAGAACAAGGAAGACGAAAAAATGACTCCTCTTTCTTCCCCTCCGCCCTCTCTCTCTCTCTTTTGTTTTATGATAGACATGGAAGAGTTTAGCTTTTAGACCCTGTATGACTTTTGTTATTGTCATCATCGTTGCTAGGGCGATGTGTGCATATGTATATATACATTTTTTCTTCTTCATTTCTATTGCTGTTCGTGTCTCTATTCTGATGATGATGATGATTGTGTGTACAGGTATGCTAGATTCTGTCGTTCTCTTTCTTCTTTTCGTTCGTTTTTATTTTTTTTATTCAAATGACGCTTGTAATGGTGAGCGCTCTATGCTCTCTCTTCCTCTCTCTGTCTCTCGTTGTGCTTTTTGCTCTGCAACAATCCACTTTACTTTCATATGCTTATGTTTTTCTTACTCTGCACACTCTTCGTGTCCTGTTTCAATGCGTGCCATATGTATTTTTCAAACTAATGTAAAAGGGTAAGTCATCACATCATCCGTACATAGGTAAAGCAAATTTCTTTATTTTCTATTTGGTACTGACTGAACATTATCGCGATTAACAGATAGATTAAGAAGAAAAAGAGAAGGAAAGAAAAGAAAAAGATATTTTGATATATTCCGTCAGAAACCGGGAAAAGGGCGCTTGCACGACGCCAACCGGTCGTAATCGTTCGAGATGTAATTAGTATTTTTCTTATTCTTTTATGTACTTGTATTGTATTTCTTTCTCGTCTTCACTTTTCTTCCAAAAAAAAAAATAATACAAAAAAATTCTCTTTTTTTTCATGTCAATATCTTGACAAAAAAAAAGAAACGAAATAACCAATGCGACTAGGTCGGTGTTGCTGCAATTTGTCGATAAATTAGATTCATATTGCACTACATTCGATCTCGTTGCCATTGTGTCATACAACGTCACTATTCTAAACTGCATTGCGCTCGGATATTATATAAATAAATAAATACATGAATAACTAAAAATGACGCAATATATATCTTTTCTACCGGGAATAATAAAACCGTGACAAGAAGAAGAAAACTAAACAGTTGTTGACGAATAAAAGAAAAGGCAATTTCATTCATTTACGAATTTTTTATTCTTCTTTATACACAATGTATACTGAGCGAAAACTTTCATATGAAATACGTGACTAGATGGAAAGAAAAAATATAAAGGAACTAAATAATTACATAAAAGTTAATAGGAAACGAAAATAACTTTATGAACTACAATCACCAAATCTACGGCTCCAATCGATATATTCTTGCAGTGATGATGATGATACACTTGCTCGAATTTTCCGTAAGGCTTGAACGAAATCCTGTCGGGATATTGGTCGAATACGACTAACAGATAGTTGTTTTAATTCATCCATACGTAGTTCACGTACTGGACCCATGGCAGCATCTTTTGCTAATGCAGTTAAATCACTACCCGAGTAATTATGTGTTTCACTAAAAAAAGATTTTCTTCTTCGTATCGATAATAAAATATTTAAAACAAAAAAAGATTTTACTGGGCAATCCAATCGAAATCTTCACGTGTTAACCTATGTTCTTGTTTACTAAGTAAATGTTGTAAAAGGTGTCTACGTGTTCTTGAGTCTGGCAATTTAATATAAATACGACGAGGAAAACGTCTGAAAAGCAACATGACGAGATGTTTTTTTCTGTTTTCATTGTTGCTAACTTACCTTAATGCTGCATCGTCTAATTCAAATGGTCGATTTGTTGCAGCAAGAACAAGAATCCGATCATCACTGTTGGTTTGAACCTAAAATTTCAATTCAAATTTTTATTCTCCTCCGATTTTGTAACGCACTCCGTCGAATTGAATGAGAAATTCAGTTTTTAGTCGACGCATGGCATCATGTTCAGATTCTTTACGTTGACTCAGTAATGAATCAACTTCATCTATGAATGAAATGATAAATGAGCCGATAATGAATAGAATATTAGCAAACCAATAAATATTATTGATGGTTGTAATTCGCGAGCAGCAGCAAATAAAGCTCGAACAAGCTTTTCACCTTCACCAACCTGATAAAAAAAAGCAATTTCACAATGCATAGAAACCCAAGGAAAACATTTCTCCATACGTATTTCGATGTTAGACTTGATGCACTTATATTAAAAAAGCGAGCTTTAGCCTCTGAAGCTACAGCCTTAGCCTTCAAAAAAATAAACCAATGAGTCAGTTATGCAACAATTTTTTATTATCAATTACCAGCATTGTTTTACCGTTGCCAGGTGGTCCGAACAATAGAATACCTCGTACGGGAGCCCGTAGGCCAGTAAACATCTGCATCAAAGAAAGAATATTCGTTTTATTGTTCTCTTTATTTTAATAAGGTAATTTACTTCGGGTCGTAGAACAGGTAAAATAACGGCCTCTTCAAGTGCTCGTTTGGCTCCTTCTTGACCATCTATAAATAAGAGAATAGAATAAGTTGCTTTGTATACCAGCGAAATAAAAAGTGCTTATCATTTTGATCAATTGTTTTATCTCAAATATGAAACTAATAAATGTTTAGTTATCTTTTAAGAAATTTCTTTCTATTCAACATTGTCATGAAGATCTACCTATTAAAGTTTGTTTTCATGCTTAATCATTTGTGCTGTTTTTGGTTTGAATAAAAATTCATTCTCTCATTGTTGATAATCAATCTTCAGTGAACTGACTTATTTTTCTTTCCCTACAGAAACAAGATTTGGCAACATCGATCTACGACTTAAGCATATCCCCAAGTCACTGTATTTATTGGAATTTCAAAGCAATAGCCATATAAATCAAATGTTTCGTATTTATGATGTTGCTAGAATAATGAGTTTCAATTAGCAACGATGAAATTCTTAGGGAAAACTACTTCTATTAACAGGCTATTTTTGTAAAAAAAATCAAAAAATCTTTTAAAATAAATCATCAAGACATTGTAATGAGTTTTGAAAGCAATATTGAAAAACATTTACTTAGACGAATCCATTATATATTCGTTCTGTTTGTGATGCTTCTATTTCTAAGTGGCAATTACACAGATAGGTACACTTCACTCTTACGAAAATAATCTAAATTTTTTATAACCATCAATAGTAAATCTGATACTCTTCGTTTAGCACACTCACATAGATGAGTATTGTTAGCGATTCAAAGAATACATAAGTATATGTCATTAATAATTAACACCGAAAGAAATTTGAAAAATTGTATATAATCATGCATTTATAAGAACAAAAAAATCATCAATGAGAATTCCTGTCGTTCTTTCCTACTGATCTATTTTTGATAAAATCAAATAACTTACCAATATCAGTGAATTTAACATTGGGCTTAGTTTCGATTACTTCATCAAGAATGTATGAAATGAGTTGTTTGTCAACATTAGGTAATCTGAGTAAAGCTGATTTGGTTTGAGCAGTTGCTTCATTATGTTCTGGTTTTGATGGTTGCCTTTCCCTTCCGGTCTAAACACAATTTTCTATGTTTAGTTCTATTACACGAACGATTGTTTGAAAAAAATTATTCGCATGAGGCTTTTTTTTACAACTGACTGCATATACAAGTGTCTGTTTTGGCTTTAGTGTTTCACGAATTAATAATGGTGAAACAGACTAGACGCACAAGCAGTGCGAACCCATACGAAAAGAAAGAAGGAAATACGTACGGGAGCCTGTGGAGCAATCTGACGAGGAGTTGTTGACTGTTGAGCTTTTGTTGGAATGGCATGAACTTTTACTTGTACTGGATTATCTGCACGGATTAAACCCTCTGGAAAAACAATGGATGAGAACTTTGAGAATTATGACAAAGTCAACCTACGTAAAACATGGAGTCGTTCACGACTCATGTCTAAATTTTTGCGCATTTTACCACGTAGTTCCATTGCACGATTATCTATTAATTATGTATATGTCTAATAAAATAAATTTATGTAAAGATTTTACCTTGAGGATCAATTTTTAAATTGACTGCTTTTTCTAATTCTCGAATGCCTTGTTTGTATAATAAAATAGCCATTTCATTATTATCTATAAAGGAAAAAAATCATCTAGAAAATGTTATTCTCAAGTATATATAATTACTCGATTGCTCATCGAATTCGAGGGCTTGATGGAGAAAACCAGTAGCTCGTTTATGATAATCATTTTGAATTTTGAATGGTTGGTCACCTTCCATGCTAGAATTTGAATATAATTAATTGTATTAAATTGAAAATAACATTCAATGTATTTGACGATGAATTGATCTTTCTTAAAAATTCTCGTTGTTGAATAAAAGAAACTTTATCTACAAGGAAAATAAATACGGTGCATTCAGTTGAGTCATGATATATCGATTTTGTGATTAACGTCAAAACCGAAATCCAACGATGCCGTTATGAAAAACTGAAAACATACTGAATGATTCATCGAATTGGCACGACTGGAACGGACCAATTACAAACTTTAGTACGCCATTCTCTTTTCCAAATCGATTATAGATGCCGCAAAAATCATAATCAAGATAAGAATAGAATACTTCTATGTGCTTTCAAGCGAGCTATTCTGCATAAAATTAAAAAACAACAAAGAACAATCATCGGGTGTGAGTGCGTGCGGCTATCAAATGAAAGCATAGTATTGATCATACTATCTTACGCCTTTGCAACTTTTAGGATCATCAGTACGTCATTCAGAAGATGAGAAGCACTCGACTACACTCACGTGCTTACAGATGAATATGATTGTTGACAAATATTCTCGTGATCATATTTCAATCATCATCCGAAGTTCATTAAGTTGAACAGAAGATTATTGCGACTATATCATTCGTTGAGCATAATACTGTAAAAATTCAAGATTATATTTAGATTTCCAAAGATTTTACTGAGTCTCTTATTCTTCTTATCCAGCTAATCACTAAACAGGAAATATCGCGATTATATATCTATAGCCTGTAGTGATTTCGTTTACTAACAATAATGGTAGAAAACTTCATATTTGAGGTTTAGTTTCACTCTTTTTTTCCGAATAAATGACTACTACAAAAAAAACATCAAGTAAACAACACGTGTATAACAAATTAGAGTCTTGATTCGATCTCGGTCATCTATAACCCACAGCTTTTTCAGCGCATAATCACCAAGGACATATTTAGTATTTCCTACAATTTATAGACGACTGAAACCACTAAAGTCACTGTCATGACCAGTACCATACGTTGGCTACTTTGATAATGCGTGAAATAGTATATGAATTCGTCTGTTTACATGAAACAACTCGCATGATTTGTTATACATCGATTTTTGTATTTAGTGAGGGCAAATTTCCATGACAAAAGAATGTGTTGATTCATTCAAGATTTCGATTATGCTCAGATTTTGATAAAAAAAAAATGAATAGGCTTTTATAAATAGAGTCTTTTTTGGCTTTGACTGCGAAAACTTACCTAATATTGAAAACAAAACTTATCTTTTGCATATTCGAAACTTTCTTCATCAATCGTAGATCTAATCTGTAAACTCCCAAGGTATATAAGATAATAAAATGAAACGCGAAAAAAAGGAAAAAGAACGTATACCATATCATCTATTGAGACAACTTCAAAATACGTCTAACACAATAAAAGCAAAAAATTCTATTTTGAGCAAACATTATTTTTTCCGTTTGCTTTGTTCGTTCGGTGAAAACGAAAAAAAATACAAGACATGACTCACTCGTTTATGCTTGTAATCCAACATAATTATTTATAAGTTTCGAAATGAAATCATCAATCTGTTTCTTTTTTCATTGTCTTCATCTAAGCTGTTTATTTTTTCTATTTTGTTACTTTGCCGTAATTGAAAAATCTATTGAATCCTTCGATACTTAAATAAGAACTATTCAAAACAAACAAAAAAAAGTTATAGAACGTTTGTATAAATAGAATAATTGCAAAAAAGAAATAAAATATGTTCAACATAATCATATTAAATAATTTTAATAAGTAAGTTGACGCGCTGGAAATCGACCGGGATATTTTCGAATAAAAAACTTTCGTGCTTCATTGAATGCAAATAAATACAAGAAAAATGGTATGGCTGGTAACCACCAAAGAAATCGATTTGGAGCAAGATTAAGCGCTCGATCAAGTGTTGGAACATAAAGAAGAAAACACGCTAGGCCAATAGTAAATACCACGGCGAATACCATAAACCTATTACCAAATATTCCCTGTTGAAATACAGATCGACGACTCGTTTTGTTACCATATAAATTAGCAAATTGTAAAATAACGACACCAATAAAATAAGCTGTCTGTGCAGCTAAATCAAGATTATGTCTAATCGAACAGAAAAGAATGAATCTTCAATAATGGAAATTACTACCACAACTACCTTTGTTCATATGTCCATTCTTGACCATAACTATCTCGAAGATCATTAACTGATTTTGATTCCCAGGCTTCGCGTAAACCAATAAGTCTCGATGGCCAAAACCCATTCTCAGCCATGACAACTGTATAAGCAAAAAATGCGCCACTTGCCTCAAGCATGGCTACTTGCCCATAACAAAGTGTAACCATTTGACTTGTTACCATTTTATCTGTTTTCTTACGCGGTGGTCGTTTCTAATAGACGGGGAAAAAAAAAAATATATATATAGAGAGAGAGAGAGAAGAAAGCTGAAAATATGAGTGTAAATTTCTAGCTTACTAAAATATCAGCCTCAATTTTTTCGTATGCATATGAGATACTTGGAACTATATCAGTACCTAAATCAATACATAAAATAGTAATAGTACTCAATGCAAGTGGAACATCAGCAACAACATAAAGAAGAAACGGTAATAATTCGACCAAATTTTTAGTGAATGTGTAAGCAATCACTTTTTTTAAATTATCAAATATAAGTCGACCCTCTTCGATTCCACTAACAATAGTTGCAAAATTATCATCAAGTAATATCATGTCGGCAACTTGCTTGCTTACATCAGAGCCAGTTATACCTATTTTCAAATATACAAAGAAAATAATTTTGTTAACAAGTAGACAGCTGATAGATACAAGGTCTTGAAATCGAACCACCGGGTTAATGTTCGAGTACAATCTAGCTTACCGGTATTTATTTTGCCAAAAAAGATTTCTACATGTTAAAATTCTGCAATTACTCAAGCCATTTACCAGCATCTGATAAGCATTTGATAGGTTCGAAAAATGTTTAATATCGAATAAGATGCCAAGATATTAGTCACATTATTTCTTTAAGCAAAAGCCCAAGATTTATTCATAGATACTTCCGATTTATCACTATTACTACGTTGACACTATGTTTTATTATCAGACTCGTGCCTAGTATTTCATGGAATCGCCACACTTCAGAAAGTTTGTTCGATTCGGTACTCAGTTGAATCAATTATTAGCACTGATTCCTTTGTTTTTGAAGGAGTGTCTTGATTATTCAAAATGTTAAACAGCCAATGGTTTGTAAACACGATTGACAAAAACAAAATCAACAAAGAATCGATAAGAATGACATCTCATAATTCAGTTTCAAATCAGAGATGAAGAGCGATCTTTCAAACAAGGTCATTTTCTCTCTAAACTAAATATGTGGGAAATCCTCTTTTAAGAAACAGAGAGAAGGAGATTTTTTTTCAAGTAAATCTTACCCATTGATATTCCAATGTCAGCCTTTTTTAAAGCCGGTGAATCATTGACACCATCCCCTGTTACACCCACAATCCAGCCTTGCCTTTGACAACCTATTAATAGTATTCAATTTATGTTTGGAAAAACTGTTTGACAACAACAATTAACCTTCGACAATAATCAATTTTTGTTGAGGAGACGTTCGAGCAAATACAATTTCACGATGAAGTGTTAATACTTCATCTAATTGATGAGAGGATAATTCTGCTAGCTCAGCACCAGACACAACGATGGCACGTACATCTCTTGAATCAACAAAATTTGGAGATATATTTAAGCGCTCAGCTAGATCTTGCGCTATAAATACGAACAAGACATTTCGTAAGAAATTCCTCAATCAATTTCTTCTATACCTGTATCCGATGTAATAATACCAACACCTACTCAATCAATATTCATATAGATTTGACACTTGAAAAATTTAACTTACTTTTTGCTATAGCTTTAGCAGTAATTGGATGATCACCAGTAACCATAATAACTTTAATACCTACATATTGATAAAAATAAAAATAAAAATGTCTATCTCTTTTCAATATATATGTGTAAAATCGCTCACCAGCTGTACGGCATTTTGCGACAGCATCAGCAACACCTGGCCGCGGTGGATCGATCAAAGTAACAAACCCCAAAAATCTCAAGTTTTGCAATGGAAAATTTACATTATCTGGATCGAAATTAAATCCTCTAGGAAAAGTTCCTAATGGTAAACGCATATCACAAAAGCCAAGAACACGTTCACCTAAACCTCCTAATTGCATATAAGCATCATTAAATTTCCGTGTCCATTCATCGTCTAAAGGATATTCATGGTTATTAATAAAGATTGTTTGACATCGTTCTAGTATTCGTTCAGGTGCACCTTTCATCTTAAGAAGAAGAAAAAACGAAATTAAGAATCTTTAAATATAAACTTTCTAAGAAAATGAAACAATATTCTACCACAACTAAATGTCGTTGATCATCATCATCAGTTTCATGTACAGATACTTGATATTTATTTGCACTATTAAATGGAATATCACAAACACGTTTATTTTTCGCACGATATTCTTCCACTTTGCCAGCAACAATTTCAGAATATTGAAGTATGGCTGTTTCACTGGCATCACCATTAACTTTTCTTTGTAATGGTGGTTTACTCATATTTTCTTCATCGGGCTAAAATAGAGAATAACAATATAGAAGATTTCGAATAATTTATGGAAAAAAAAGAGAAATTTACTTTAAACACAGCTTTAGCACATAGCATACCACATCGTAAAAGTGCTTTATAACCAGGACGCTCAAAATCAACTTTTGTTGTGTCGGCGCCTGTTACATGATCTTTAACTGGAGTTTCAAAAATTAATTCAGCATCATGTGTATGTGATAAACTAACGCTAACAGTTGAATTATCAAACCATAAATGTGCAACCGTCATACGATTTTGTGTCAATGTACCAGTTTTGTCTGAACATATGGTTGATACACTACCAAGTGCTTCGACAGCCGTTAAGTTTTTAACTAAACATTTCTTTTTTGCCATACGTTGAGCTGTTAATGCCAACATGACAGTTATCGTTGCTAAAAGACCTTCCGGTACATTTGATACAATGATACCAATAACAAAAACCAATGCTTGCAAAATACCAGTACCAAGAGCAAGAAGAATTACAAGAAAAATGGCACCGAAACTAACAGCAACAGCTGTGACAATATGAACGAAATGATTAATTTCAACATTTAACGGTGATATCTCATTACCAAGGCCACTTGCTATTAAAATTTAATTCACAAAAACAAAATAATATCAGATTTTGACCAGAATAATAATAGGATTGTAGAATGTAGAAAAAATGACCGAATTTCATTAATACAAAAATGTGTATCCAAATAGTGAATCTAATTTTGGAGATTTAGAAAGATCTGTAGTATATTACAGTTTGTTCAAACTTAACTATAACTTCTCAAGATTTTATGTGTGATGTGACCTGAAAAATGATTTATTATTGCCTTAAGTTTTTTTTAATGTATATGCTCTCATCAATCGAGAATGAAAAAAAAGATTGGAAAAGTCTTTATTAGAACTATAAAGTCTACTTTACCTAATGCAGCTATTCTTCCCATGACAGTATTGTCACCTGTTCGAATAACCATACCAGTGCATGAACCTAAACATTTTTGACATATGAATATGAGAAGAAAAACAATATAATTTGTACCTTCAACAGCAAAAGTACTAAAAAAAGCAAGATTCTTTGTTTCAAGTGGATTATCATGAGTACAATCAGGTGATCGAGATAAAGGCTCACTTTCGCCTGTTAGTGACGAATTATCAACTTTAAAACTTTGAGATGATAACACTCGAATATCTACGATAGAGAGATTATTTAGTATTATTTATTTTTCAAGTAATATTCATAGAAATCTACCAGCTGGTGTTTTATCTCCAATTTTAATAAAAACAATGTCGCCGACAACTAATTCTTCAGCAGCTATTTCCAGTTTCTGACCGTCACGCATAACAACAGCTTGTTGCGGAACCTATCGAAAAAAAACCAAAAATTCCAATCTTATATATTTAATGAACTTCTAAATGAAAAGAACCATTTTTTTAAATGATTCCATAATTTTGCCTGCTTTTGTTTCTTGATAATAAGCAAATACGGCCGTGATAACAACGACTACTATTAATGCAATGCCTAGCCATAAATTATCTTTTGGCGTTGTTGGATCTGAGCCGACTTGAGCTGCATAAGCAGCCAAACAAAGTACAGCAGCAACCTATTTAATTTCTGTTAATTACGAATACACATTTTCTTCTTTAAATTTACTTACCCAAAGTAAACCGGAAAATCCACCGAAAAGTAGTTTAACAAATTTCACCCATTGAGGTACTTCATGTGGTGGTGTCAATGAATTTGGCCCATTTGTTTCTAAGAATTCTCGCGCTCTTGCAGTGGTATGGCCCTGTTCTACATTTGCTTGATAACGTTCAATAAGTTCATCTAGTGGTATTTTATGTTCATCGATGCTAACTTCTTTTTTTAAATTTTCAAAAGTGTTGCCACCTTGTTCATTGTTTTTCGTCCGCTTACCTTAATATAAAAAGAATAAATGCAATAAAACCTATTAATATTCCATAAAATAAAATACTTGGTACAATGGAACGAAAACAATTCACTAATCGACCTTTAATTGTCATTGATGTGGCCTAAAGTATGAAATATAGTACTCACGTAATGTGCTTTTCTCGTTAGTTTACAGCAAAATAATTTTTTTTCTAAGATAAAATCAAAGGATATGAATCGTGAGAATAAGACGCAAATGCGTGAAGACTCGTTTATCTTTTCGTTTTGTACAGTCTCAACAGTATGATAAACTAGTCGTGTTGATCGTATAGTTCTTGCAAATAGTCACATGATTTTTCTATTCGTTACCCTTATATTCAAGAGTATTAGATAGGTGAATATATTTATTTATGTTGCTGACGAGTTTTTCAACTTCGAAAACAAACATTAACAAGACGCACACTATTACGAGAGAGCCATTCCGCGTAAGTCACGACCGACCTTGCTCAATCGATGGAAAACGATTCGACTTGTTTCTGTATACGTTTGTAGGGGAAAGAGTTTGATGAATTTTTGTGCAGGCTGTTTCAAAAAACATGGCTCCCTTCCCGAGATATTCGATTTTTTCTGAGAGCACCCTCGTAAAAAATGACATTTTTTACAACTTTTTCTGATATGAATATCTCTTCAAAAGTTCTTTCATGTAAGTTGAAATATTTGGTGTCAGCCTACCTCTAGTGGATGTATATTTCCCAAAAGAACCGAACTCAAATGCTTTAATCGTGAAAGAGTTGATTGCAACAACAAAATTCATGAAAATTTTCTCACTTTTTGCGATTTTGTGCGTGTACTTATCGGCTTGAACGAGTTATATAAGAGAGCTGAAATTTAGGTTACAATGAAATCTTGATTATTACTTACTCTGATAGAAATTTCAGCCCCGTAACTAACTTTTAAGACGAAGGTGGTTCTCGTCAAAAATGCGATTTTCATCAAAATGACCATTTTTGGGAAGAGCTATCTAGAGCAAAAGCAGGTCTGTAGAAGTTCTGTCTTTATGGTTTCAAACTGCACACATAGTACTATAAAGTCCTGCAAAAATTAGGATGGGATCATGTATATTGCTCAGCACAGCCTTATCTGAAAATGAGGGGAAAAGTGGTATGTTGTAAGCTAACTTATTTTAAAATTGTTCGCAGATAAGTGACAATTTTACATAATAGAAAGGAACCTACTATCGACTATATATGAGCACACACTCTTATACTCATTGAGGCATAAAAATCCTTTGAAAGTGAGAAAAAAAAGATTGCGATAAAAAATCATGGAGGGGAGTGCAGGGATTTCGATAATGAAACAAATGCTGCGCTCCCGTTCATGATTTTTTATCACAATATTTTTTTTCTCACTTTCAAAGGATCTTTATACCTCAATGAGTAGAGAATTGTGTGCTCACCTAAAGTAGATAGTAAGTTTCTTTCTACTATATCATGTTGTTATTTATTCCGGAACAAATCTGAAAGAATTTTGCTTAAAATATACAGCTCTTTTACTCAACTTCAGATAAGGCTCTGAACGGCAATATAGTTTGTCCGATCCTAATTTTTGCAGAACGTTGTAGTACTATGTATGCAGTTTGAAATCATAATGACAGAACTTCTACAGACCTAATTTTGCTATAAATATTTCTTCCTGAAAATGGTGATTTTGATCAAAGTTTCTTTTTTAACGATGATCCCCTGAGTCATAGTGAGCTAGTTGAAGAGCTGAATATTTTATCAGAGTTAGTACTTGATAAGATCTCCCAGTGGACAAAATTTCAGCTTTCTGATAGAAACTGTTCAACCGTTATATACATGCACAAAGTCGAAAAAATTAGAAATTTTCCTCGATTTTGTTGCTCCGACCAACTCACAGATGACTCACCTATTTGAGTTTGTCTCTTTTAAGGAAAATAGATAAAACTAAGATCGACTTATAATAGAAAATTCAACCAAAACAGTTGTACTCATAAATAAATATGAATGTTACAAAAAATCTCAAAAAATGTCATCTTTTTCGGAGGGTGCTCTCAGAAAAATTGAATATCTCGGGAACGAAACAATATTTTTTGAAACGGCTTGCGCAGAAATTCATCAAACTCTTACCCCTATAAACCTATACATAAAGGAGTCAAATCGGTTTCCATCGATTGAGCAGCTCCTACATGAATATATTGTGGCTTACGCGGAAAGGCTCGAGAATGAAAGAGAAAGACAAGAAAAAACGAATATGTTAGACTCGTAAAGTAAACATATTTGTGATTTTTCTTGTTAACGGCAAGACCGCGTGATCGATGCGCATCATTGATTTTATTGCGCTCTTCATTTCAACGTGCGCATAACTACATTACAGTATTTTTGATTATTTTCTCTAAACCATGACTAACGTATGCAAAGCAACATTGAGTTTAATTATACAAACAACAGATGTAGTCGCAAAAAGCAATAAAAAAAGTTTCGTCGATAAAAACATATAACTTGATCAGGACGTATACTAAAATAAAAATGAGAAAAAGAAAACTAAAATATTGAAATGAATCTCTCATGTTTTTTCTTCTTACAATCGTTATTGCATCAAAATTGGTCTTTTTAATTAAAAAATTGTCACATTTTACAGTCGAGATGGTACAGTCAATTGGCATTGCTATAAAATAGAAACGAAACAAGAGAAGTACAATAATCAAAATTGAATTTCTAGTTTTACATTCTCCAATAAATCGACGACAATGTGTAAATCTAAAAACTAACTAAATAAAGACAATCCTAAAATTAAAATCAATAATTTATTTTTACTGTGTTTTAATTTTAAGAAAACCATCAGAATTATTATCGCGCCCCATAACCATAAATAATTGTGTAATAAATTCGCATGGATGATCCACAATAGCGAGCCAATCGCCCTTGAAATATTTTAAAGAAAAACAGAAATTCGCTCTTATATAAAATCTACTAAAACAACTGTCTTACTCGATCACCGTGAACTTCTTTTGTATGTATACACACAAAATCATCTTTATAAGGTGTACAAGTCACACCAAGTATTTGATTTAAAAATACTGCTTCTTTAGGATATGGCTTTTTTTTCGTTATATTACATAGTCGTTCACTTGTAATACAAAGTATTCGCGCATGTTGTTTATAACCTCGGCGACTAATTTTAATCATTTTTGTCGTATACTATAAATCCACATCAAGTAAACAAATGATTGCCATGGCGAAATTTTGTATACCTACCAGAAGTGTTTCTGAATCGAAAAAAGCCTTTGCTCTCGCAATCTCATATGTTGGTATCATATCTTCAGCTAAAGACAAGGAATTTAATATTTAAAATACAAAGAAAGAAAACTTATTGAAGCAGCTCACGTAGTCGAACTGATTTCATTTCAAGCTCGTCTGTATTGTATGCTGTCTTTTTTCCTTCGAATAAACGTTGCATTAATGGTTTCTCTGATGATGGAATCTGTAGTAAATAATAAGCTATTCTATTTAATCAATGTCTTCCCTTTCTTACTTTTTCTTCTTTTGAAACGGCTGGTAAATTGACAACAATAACATTGATTTGACTATTGGATGTGAGTGATCTTTCTTGATCTTTGCTATTGAGTATATTATCTAATTCCTTTAAAACAATTTGGACTTCTTCATTTGCTACGACAGTGTTTTCATTCGATGCAGGAGTAGAATTTTTTTCCGATGGAATAGCTGTTTGATCGTGTATATGCTGAATTGATTCAGCCATATCTGTTTGAGAGGATGCATGAGAAATACTTAACGATCGTAGGCCACTAGGTGTTGACAATAAGAAAAGATCATTGGCTATAAATTCCGAAAACGTTCGTCCAATATTTCTTGACGATGATTGTGTTTGCCGTTTTGAACTAGACGTTTTAGGAAATATCTGCTCTTGTTCTTTTTCTTTTGCTACTATCGTACTGATTTGTGGATGACCAAATGATGTCTGCCGTTGTTTCAAAAATGTTGATGATTGCGGTGATGATGAAGGATGTTCTGTTATGAATTGCTCATCATTTTTTAAATGACGAAGCAACATTTCATATTGAGATATGGATTCATCTAGTTTATTACGACGCATACATGACTTGGAATCTGATACCGAACGTTTGAGTTTTCGTCGTATAGGCGAAGAATCTCTCTTGTTTTCTTTATCCTTACTGAAGTAGTTAACACATTGTTGAAATGATGCTTCATTAAATTTACTATCCGTACTATCCGCACGAGATCGTTGTCTATGCAACTGTGTTTTCATCAGTAGTGGTGGAAGAGTATCTGATGCTCGTCTTGTTTGATTAAACGCACGAGTGCTACGAATAACAAGGCGAGCTTTTTGCCAATTACGAACACCACTCTGGTTTGCATCTTTACGAAAGATATTTGGGTTTTTATTTATAATTTTATCCATCCGAACGGTAGACTGTTCAAGAGTTGCTAGGAGTTGACCTTCACCTTTGAAAGTGATTTCAAGTTTCGGTAAAGGAATCGATAAAGTTTTATTCTCTTCGATCGACTGCAATCCTTCGGAGCGTTTCAAAATAGCTGTTTCTAAAACATACAATTTAGAGATTTAAATACTTGCGATAAATTTATTTCTAATATCATAAAAGTAATTTTTTTGTTTCAAAAAAAAATCTATGATAATCGAATTTCTTACTATCATTGTTAAATTTGATCGGCGATTCATCGTTTACTCTTGCAGCAATAGATCTGTCTTTGGTAATTTTCATAGTAGATGTTCTACTTTTCGGTAGTTGCTTTTCTTGTTCTGAACCCGATACAATTGATGTTTCTTGCTTCGACTTTTCCTCGTCTTGTATCTTTGAATTCCACATACTTCGAAGCGCTTGAACATTACCATTTCCACTCGATGATGTTTTCGTTGCCATTTTGTTGTGTTGAGTTTACAAAACCAGTTGTTTTTCTTTTCAGCCAAAGTGTCTTGTTACAAAACTCACTTGATGCGTTCAATTCAAAGAATAAATCAATGAATGAAATGAGAAGCTATCTAAAGTATTCCTGTATATGGCTTGGATAAATAATATCTGGATTGTTGGATTAAAAATAAAAATGAAACTAATAACATGTCGTGTTGTGGTAGATAAATCAAGAGTGAAGAGTGTGTACGTGTATTTTAAGTGCGCGCGATCTTTTATTTCCTTCTAGTGAAAACAGAAACCGATGAAACTTTCTGTCATATTTATTACAATTTCTTATATCGCACTGCGCGGTTCAAGATGAAGAAAAATAATGATGCACAAGCAGATCCGTGTAGATGCGCAGAAACTTACAAGAAGCAGTAGATATTTCAGTATGTTTTTTTCTTCTTCTTTCGCTTGATTTACCTTCACAACTATAGGAGCATTTGTTGAGCTTTGATGATGAATTACATAGATGGAGGATAAGTAGTAGATATTTACAACACATTAGCGTCAGAGAGCAAAGCGAGAATTTAAATAATAAAGTTTGAATATTATATTTTCTCATTTGCTGAATAAATTATATGATTACTTAGTTCATTGATCAGTCTTTTGTTAGCCTATATCAACACGGATAAAACACAGCACGTCAGGATGTGACGAAGATTGATTGGATAAGCATATCATATTTGATCCGCAAATAAACTTCGTGGAACTATTGATAAAAATATCTATTATTATTAAATAAATAAAAACAATACTCGAAAGAGCAATGTCTTATTCTAACCTCTCTTTTCTTTCAAATTTTTTTTTATTTCACTTTGTATAACATTAAAATTAGCGGTGCCATAAAAAAATTTAAAAGACATCATGTGTTCAATTGGTACAATTAAAATAGTTCATTATTTTCAAGGACATATTACACGACAAAGATTAAATATCAACTTCAAAAGGTTTCCAGGTGACATTTCACGAGTAGAGATCATCGATGTATCTTTTTTCTTTTACTTGAATCGCTTGTCAGCCACTGATAGCAGACTAAGCAACTCTTCATTTTTTCTCAACACGATTAAATGATCTTGAATATCGGATTGCATGAAAAATATAAACCAGATGCTCTCTGTTAAAATGACGATCACCAAAAATTCGATTATATGCATTTCAACGACGAAACTTACGAGGTCAGGCGATCGGAAGTCATTCGTCAACCTTCATAAATATTATTTTAAGATGCATTACATCAATCTTAGATGGATGTTAACATTTATTTTCAAATGACAACGGTAGTTTTGCATCAATTACATTTTGAAAACAGTATGTTTCTTTCTCAATTGGTTTAAGTCCAACCTATTCTTGAATAAATGATTTGGATGATACTCGAGATATATATTTACATTAAAAAATAGCACGTCATGATTGTAACTGTATTTTTATTCATAATTACCTTCTTATTCATTCCATTATCCGATCAAACAACTACGTCTCATTGTTAATTAGGATTTTTTTTAATATCGCTTATTGAGGTCTTGAAAAAGCTAACTTTTTATCGTTTTTCTCTCATAATTAAACAGGAGATGTCTTCAATGAAAAATCAAACCGCTATTAACATAGAGCGATTATGCAAATACATCAAGAAAAGAAAAACAAAGATAATGTGAATATATTTGAGTAGTTCTATTTTGAAATTACTTTCCTTCAGTTATTGCATTTGACCAATAGTTCGACACGAATTTATTTGTAAAGTAACTTTTGTGCATGAAAAAGTCTGTGGCACTGAACTTTAGTCTTGTGAGTTCGAGATCTTGCGACCTCACACAAAGCTTATGCGTTACCTTCTTAAAAAGCAACTTTCTTAAAATCACATGGAAAATTTATCTCTTATTGCATCTTTATACCCAATATTCCTTGCCAAACTGCAATTGTTGGTTCGATGAATACCGTCGCCTATACAATCATGCGATAATAGGTTACTTATTTTAGTGATCAAAGAAACTTCAACAAAAGCACATGAAATTTTGTTGGAAGAACTATGAGCTTGTCAGTAGAAAACCATATACATAACAATAGTTTGTGTTAATAGTGGGACCCATATGTTTATAAATATGACTATAGGCCTTCGTACTGTTTGCATTTCGACAGTTTATCAAGTTCCTTCCGTTAATGAATACTCATTGATGTTGTTTGCTCCGTTAATATTTTGCATGTCACAAAATTTGCTCAAATTTATTAATAACACTATGCACACATTGAAAGAAGGGCTTATGATAAAACTTCAAAGATAAGAATTATTTCGAATAAAATATTGTTGTTAAATTAGTGAGTTATAGGCAAACTATATTCGCCTTTAAAATTATGCATTTCAGCGATTCTCAATCGTCGTAGTTTCATAATTTCCTGTTTATTTCTTTTTTAAAAGAATCAAATCCATCGAAGGTTTGGCAAGTAATTTTAATCTTTCAGATATTGAGTGTACTCTTCTAAGAGAGCAAAGCATTCAATAAATAAAAACCAGGACTATTCTCGAAAACAAAACAAGCATCGGAATGATTTTCTTATAATGAGGACCCATTGAAATAGATGTGGGTACCATAAACATCGTTTTAATTTCTCAAACAAGGATAAATACCAACAACAAAAAGACACATTTTCTTGTCAATCAAATATGATCAGTATTATTCGTACAAATACTCTATCGTTGCATCATAGTTTATTAAAAGAACCATTATTGATTTTTTACATAAAACAATCCAAGGATCAAATAAAATAATCAAGATCATTTTCTAATAGTTTTTATAGAACATTACTATAAACAATTTTAGCTTAAACAGTTTTTACAACTCTCATCAGAGTTGTAAAAACTGTTCAGTGGGATGAATGTGTTAAAGTTCCACTGTGTTTTTCTTTTCAGACTTGCGTCGTCTTTCTTCTCTTTAATTACAAGTTTTTCTCCAAACCAAACATTGCTCTATGTCAGTACGTTGATCTGTATGCTGCGCACAATTCATATATGTGCCCTAACAATATGACGTAGAGCAAGTTAATTATTGGCCAAATAGAAAATTTTGTTTCCTTATGTTAAAAATGCAATGTATATACTATACTCGGGTTATAGCTTCGAAGAAATATTTCAAAAAGAATCATTGTTTACAATTTTACGATCAATATGTAGAATCGTTTTGAAGAGTATCGATCAATTTATATGCACATGTATAGCAAAGATTCGTGTTCCATGTTGAATATCGATAGTACGAATGTGCACATCATTCGGTATTTTATTCACTTGCTCTCTAAGAACTATTGTTTCTAAATAGGAATAGAAGATGGTACATCATTATTTCATTTCCCTTCATTATAAAAACTAATATTAGTCTCTGGTTATCTATGTAAAATATCCGGCTAAATAGTACTTATCCATTGTCGGCACATGTTAGGTTAGTATTATTGACTTTTCCACGTCTAATCATTTCATTTGTCGAAAAATGTATGAGATCACCACACGAATCTTGGCTATATCTTATCGACTGTTATGTTTCATTTGTACCAGCAATGTCAACGTTTGTAAGCTTCGTTTTACCATCGAATAGTTATAAGCGTGAATTTCGTTTGAGAATTCAAGTTTTAATTGGACGCTATCGTTTACACGCCATAACCAATTTTTCACAAAATTACTTTCGATAAACTTCAGTCGTTTTCGTTAATTGTTCTTCATGAAGCAAAATTTCATAAATTATAAAAAATATTGCCTGATTCTGTATAAACATATGATCAATATTTTTTTAAATTAAAATTTTGTGTTAACAGCTAATTAGACAAAAATGCAGCTATCTTTCACAAGATTTGATGTATATAAAATTCGAACGTAGATATTACCTTCGCTAGCAGGCCCATACGAACACTCGCCGTTTTATTTCGATAGGCTTTAATATCTATACATTCAACAGTGTGTGTGTGTATAGAAAATTCCATTAGCCTGCCTTATGTGATTATGACATTAGTTAGTCGATTATAATATGAAATATCAATAGATCAGAATTTTAATTGCAATAATTACAACAACGAAAAGAGCAATAATGTAATCTTATAAAAAAAAAAGAAATAATCGGACGGAAAGAAAGAAACAAAATAGTACATCGACGTTTCACACCGGGATCCTGTCCCTGCATTACTTATGATGATGAAGGTTGCAAAAGACTAATCTTTGTATAATAACGTAAGATTAAACAGACAATAAATGAAGTTAAAAGTAGTAAAATACCAACAACAAGCGTAACTATTTCATGTTTTCTTGTTGGAATAATAAATAATCGCAAGCTAATAGTTGACCATCGACTTTCAGTCCATACTGGATAAGTTGTTTGTGATAAATCATAATTATCAATAACAAATGCTGGTGACATCGATGATACAGATCGTGAATATGATCGTACACAGTATCCAGAAAAGAATGCGTCAGACATGATAGACGGTGTATATCCGCCAACATATGTGTACGAACGGAAAGTATCATTTTTTGAGAGTTGTTCACATGCTTTCTCGGTTAGATTCATTGTATCAAGCATGCGATCGCGTAACAAATAGCTGAGTATATTTTGTACGAAAGGAAATGTTACTGTTGATGATATTGGATCAGTATTGATTGAAAATGGTAATGATGTTTCATTGAATGGATCGAATCCATTTCCAGTTGTTTGATTTGTTACATTGTGAATGAGAGGACAATTAATATTTTTCAAAACACAATAAACAAGATTATTAATAATTTCTTGTTTAATAGTTACATTCATTGTCGAACCTACAAAGAACTCGATCAGCGTTTGAGCAAAGGGTTCAACAACACGTTTGACCCATTGACTAAATTCAGTCGTACTGTTATATTCTAACGAAGAAATATTGATTGCTAACGTTGAAGGATCGTCAAAGAATGAATGATAATAATGATTTGATAATTCGTTTTCATGATTTGATGTAAGTATATAAGCAGGAAACGATGATGAAGATGTTTCACGAAGAAAGATTTGTGAAGATGCTGGCGGAAGTGGAGAATCAGGCATCGCTGAAACAATCATTGGATTATTTTGCTTAAGTGTATCGATAAATGTTTGATTAACAAGTGCTGATGGATATGCATAAAGCTAAAATTTCGATAAAACAAAAAACAATAAGCTACCGGAGATTGTGATTGCGAGAAAATGATTTACTCACTGAAAGTTTATCAGTTAAACTTAATGATTGAAATTCAATAATAGAATGAATATGTTCAGAACGAATAGGGTCTTCATTTCGATTACCCGTTGGAAAATTTCCATTTTTCATATCAAACAAAAATTTAAACGAAGCAGAATAATCGAGTGCATCACCGTCAAGTGTCACGAATATAATTTCTTTGTCTTGTTGATTGAATTCATTTTGTTCTTGTCCAATAAGATGTGCAAGTGAAAGAAATATTATAAGTGCTGTAGCTGGTTGTTGAGCACCGCCTGTCGTACCTTTTGCTTTTAAAAACATTTGAAAACTATCCGTAGCGGCTAAAATAAGAATTACTGATTTCGGTTGACGTAGTTTTGGTGCGATTGTCAATGATTGTGGCAATTTACTGTAGATATTACGGCCACCAACAGGATCACACATTGTTTCTGCAGAATCAATGAATGAATGCGATATACCATTCCTGCGCATACATGTTTTCGATGTATGTGCTGCGTTTTGAAATGTGTTTAATTCGAGACCACATGTTGGTGTCGATTGGCTAATATTAAATTGTCGATAGAATTTTACTAATCGCTCATAATCTTCTTGTTCGTCAATGAACATCATTGGAAATGGAAATGAACGAAAAAATAAGCCAGTTCCTTGTGGATTCCAATTCACAACTTGCGTTTGATTTAAATAATATGAATAACGATGGTTAGGAGACTGATCATCCTGTGAAAAATAATCAGGACGAGATGAACTTGATTTTAAATAAAGTAGAAGACCATTGAGTTTTGAACCAAGTGAAGTCATCAGTTTATCAACATAAGAGGCGGTGAATAAATTAACATTGAGCGCAACAATAAATGATCTATAGGAATCGATTAGTTTAGTATCCGTAATATAGGAATTAAATTCTTGATCATTATCAATCATATACATTCGTCCAGAATTTCCACTCGTAGACGATTGACAACCAATTTCATGTGTGCCATTAAGGCGACGAACACAGGAACGTGCACGATCAAATGACACATACATTTGATCAGCTATACGTTTCGGTTGTACACAAGAAACACTCATCACACATAATAGAAGATTCACAAATACAAACGAAAGATGCATTCTTATCTGAAAAAGTGAAGCTATCATCATTTACGAAATTTACTATGATTATTCTTTCTAGATCGAACATTGAACGCTGGTTATGATATACACTCAGTGCAAAAAAAAAGGAACGAATAGAGATGAAATACTTGATCTCATTTTACCGAGAAAACAAAAGAATCAGAGGATTTGCAACGGTTAAATAATCATCTCTTCGTCAAGAATGACTAAATCAAGTGCTTGATTTTATATAAATAACTCATTCAATCGAGCAAACAATAAGGTAAGAGAATTTTCTCGACCTTGCGTTGCAATTTACCTATATCTTCAATACACTTTTTAGTATCTTCTTCAATCATTACGTATACAAGATAACGATATTAACCTTTTTCTTTTAACAAGAGATGATTAATGAAATAAAAATATTAGTGCAAAGTACCTTTTTGTAGATTTTTTAAGAACAAAATTCATCTTTATAATATCAAATCCCAGCGAATAATTTGGATACCTAAAAATGATTTTTGACAGTGCATATAACTTTATTTACCCGTGCAAATATATCTAAAGAGAATAAAGGCAAAAAAATGCAAGCAAAATTTTAAGCGAAAATCTTTCTAAAGTAACGAAATAATCAAATATATACACAAGTCTCTCACTCATTCATTCGCACCTTTCGTAGATATCTATTGATGGTCCAAATACACCTATCATAACAGCGTAACATGAGAGCTAGGACAGATGGCGTACTATTTGAACACACCTAGAATTTGTCACGAAGGTGTTGCGTAGGTTATATCACTTACTATGGCTGATGGAATAATTCAGATTTACTGCTCACTTTAGTGATCGTTCGTAAGCAATTTTTATAGCAAAATTTGAGAAAACACCGAGAGCTATGATTCATGCAAAAAAAAGTCAATGATGCGAAATATATTTTAATAGTCGTTTCTTTTTAGAACTATGATTCTGACCGTTTCTGATCAATCAAGTACTGCTCTTCACATTCTTCTACATTGCAATATCGCTTATTCAATACTGTGGTTTATTCTTGAAATTCTAATTTTTATTTTTAAATTCTACCATTTAGCATATGCTCCTAATGCATTTGGTGTTGAAATTTCTTCTGTATTTATGCTCCTCTTTAATGAATGTATTCGACATTATTTTGGGATCAAAGGCAATTTAATGTTACAAACTGTTCTTCTGATTATTTTTATTATATACGGAATTTTTTGTGCAGTTGGCTTCGTCTTCTTTCTTATATTGCAATCGTACGTTACGCGTTTAGAAGTTCTACTTTCAGGAATAGGTTTAGCATTGATTTTGATTGGAATTATACTCAGCATTATAACACTTATTCGTGATAGCCGACCGATGCCTGTATTAACAAGAGAGCAGAAGATCGTACGATTACATCAAGCACAAAAACGATTTCAAGAATCGATTCAAAATGAATAGCGTCAAAATGTACAGTAAAATTACGATATTTCTTCATATCTATGGTGCGCAATATTCATAATTATTGTTTCGTGTCGTTTTTTTCTTCAGCACGAATTTTAATGTAGTACATCTATGTGTTTTTTTCCTTGATAATAATCTGCAATAGAACCTTTTGGGAAGCAATATTTGGTACTCTATTAAATAATATAGAAAGCTATGGAAGAGAAAGGCCAGAAACTAAATATTTTAATTCAACAAGCAACATCATTGAGTAATATTTGTGAATCTGCTTATATTAGAAGAGACTACAGTCACTATAAAATATTTTACTAAAGTTGATCTTAAAAATGGATTGGCATGTTTTTTGCAAACTTTCTGCTTTTATGAAGTCTCAGATTAGTTCTGGTAAAATTTATTATGGCTCAGAATGTGCTATTGAGTAACAAGATTAAATTAATTTGTTTCAAACATGTACGACAACGTCAATAATATCAAGAATCAATCAAAAATTATTCAAAAGTAATATCAATTGGCCATCGGGGAAAACTTTTGATTTTGATCTTTACAATAGTTTACTTGGTGATTCAGATTTGTTAGAGTTGAACTCAGACAACGTCTTGAGAAGCGTGATTAAATAGAAATGAAACTTGTAATTCAAAATCTAAAATAATTATAAGATGCAGAATTAGGTATCTCGTTGGAAGAGACAAAACGCGTTCTCGATTGATTGATGATTATTCTACATTCGAACTATAGGCAGATCAATACTACATTCAACGTAAGAGAGGTTATCGGTGGTCGGTTGCTTTTTATAGTCTTCATTTGAATTTCCACTAATAGAATATATTAATGACTATGCATGCAATGATGATAAACGCATAGCTACATTACAAAACAGAAAAAAGAGAAAAAAAAGAAAAACAGTTTGAATTTTGACAAAGAACATTGAACAAAATGATAATGCATAACCAACGAGAAAAAAAACTGTACACAATATTTTTTTCACAAATAGCTGAAACACTAAAAGAAAAAGAAGGTAAGGGAATTTGATAATGATTTAATTTGAATTTGAATCTGATTCAATGGTCGGAATTGATCCATCGCTTCTTTGTTGTTTATTTCGTTTACTGGATGGTCCATGAATTTCAGCAGCATGTTTCTTCCGCCATTTTGTGCGTCTAAAGATTTATATAAATATGTTTTTTTTTTTAAATCAAAATTTTTAGAAATATTTTACCTATTTTGAAACCAAACCTAAAATAGAATTGATGAAAATAGATATTTCTAGAAAAAAAAAAAAAAAAAAAGATCTTACTTTTACTTGTGCTTCACTCATAGCTAATTGACAAGCAAGTCTTGATCGTTCTGCTCCAGCTAAATATTTTGTACTTTCAAACATTTTTTCTAATGCAAATATTTGATGTCCAGTAAATGTTGGTCGGCTACTTTTACGTTTCATATCTTTTGTTGATTCAATACCACTCATCATACTGGAATAATTCGTTACTTGAGAATTATCAATAGGAACACCTAAATAGATATTTTGCTTTCATGAGATATTATTTGTTTATAAAAGAAAGCGATCGGAGTTAACGGCTTATTAATAACCATTTGTGTGCGTGTGTATTATAAACACACTCGAGATAGAAGAAGAAGAAAAAGAAGAAAAAAGTCAAAACAAATTGTTCAAAAGGTTGACGTGCTCCTTGATGATGCCATCGATTATTGTGCTCATATTGATCTCGTTTTCGTGTGAGTGCGCATTTGAATGTGTCTCTGAACGTTTGATGAACAATGTCACGGAGCATCATGGCAAAATCACTTTTCGATCGATCATCATATGTGTATAATTATCAATTAGATTATCATAGTAGAATGAAAACTTGACTTAAAATATTATTAATGATAGGTTACTCGTGTAAAATATCAATTTTCATATTTTTAGTTTCTACACCTTACCATTAAAGTGATGTCATCGATTTCTAATGATACATGTCAATAAAAAAACAAAAACAAAAAAGAGAATCAGCGATTTTCGATTACTGAAAATTCTAATGAGAAGCCCAACGAAATTTTTTATGTATATTTTTTTGTTTTGATTTTCAATGGTTCATTGACAATGATAGACATTTTCGGCGGAAGCGGCTTTCTTGTTTTTTTTTGTACAATATTACTCGTCTAGTTTATTGCTATTAGCATCCGCTTTTTTTCTTTCTCTCCCTCTCTCTCTCTCATAAGATGATTCGACTCGTTGCATATACTTTCTGTTGATATATCTTCGTAGAAAAATATTTAGTTTCTCCTTCACGAAAAAAAAATAAATGTGTCATTTGCTGCTCATTAAATATGTGTATACATATGTGTGTGTGTGTGTGTGTGCGTCGATGTCATTAAAAAAAAGTCAAAATCTATGCCCTGTTTAAGGTGTGAAACAAAAATGTGGTTCGTGAATGTGATAACAAACCAATTGAGCAATGTCAAAGATATTCGTCACGCCCTTTTGCTTTAGGTATTGAAATTGTGAGGACAAAAAAGAGAAAGTCCAAGCACGTGTGATATCCACTGCTGGTGCCATCGAATGAGTTGATGCGGTTAAAAAACGATTAAAATAACAACAGACCAATTTAAGTTGTGTGACAAATTGGCTCTCAATCATGCAACGTCTGGTGTTGATCGATCGACTGAAATGATGCGATCATATATTCATACAAATGTTGCCTATTAGATCAAACTCAAATGTCATTTAATATAAAACAGTATAATGGCATGAATTTTTTTAATATTCTAACAAAACAACAATCAACAAAAGAAGAAACGGAAGTCTATTGTCAAATGTCTTTCTTTGTATTACATAACAAACGAGCTAGTGAGAGGCAACGAGAGAGAGAGAGAGCGAGAGAGCATCATGGCATTACGAGAAATGTGCAAATGTAATGCGCTAGCAACAAATATTATAAATCATCCTTCCAATCATTGAATATCCATTAAGGCAGAGAAAATGAATGAATGAATGAATGAATCTATATATATATGTATAATGTACACGTTTAATACCTATGAACAAGTTCTTCTCTATACAATAGGATGTTATAAATGATTTCGAAATATTTTACCTTTTGTTGAATGTTGTGGATGCCATGCGGAGGTGTTCGAAGTTGTTGTTTGTCCCCCCATTGGCATTTGTGACCAATCATCTCGAGGTAGAAAATTATTTGATGTTGGTGTTATAACAGATGGATGCTGATGATGATGATTTTGTTGGATATAATTAAATTGAGCTAAATTTAATGTTGCTGCTGATGTTGGATGTGGACGTGAAAGAAGAACATCATTAGATGATGGTGGTGAACTGCCTGAACTTGAACTGCATGCACTTGAATCGAAAAGAACTTTATGTGCTGCTGGTTGTTGAGTATAGGAAAGTTTATCTATTCCACCATTTATTGATGACGATGACGAGGAGAAAAATGAAGGTAGTGGACTACCAGAAAACCAAAAATTAGGTTGATGTTGACTTGATGTTGTTGCAGCTGATAACATTATATCATCAGAGAATAATGGGTCTTCAATAGAAGATGATGGTGTGGGCCAACTAGATGTTAGTATCATGCTATACAAAATAAAACTAGACCTTATATTTTTTTAATAATATAATGATATTGACTTACCACAAAATAAAATACTCGAATATTGTCTCTTTATCTTTAAGCGATGTGTTATTAGTTTTTAATACTTAGACGAGAAGAGAGAAGAGAGAAATATATTTATGATTATATTTCCGTTCGAACAATTAATCAAGTGTTTCTTGTCGTCGCGTCTCTTTTGACGATGTGTATGATGTGTGTGCGTCTCTATATGTGTGAATCGCTTTTCGATAGATAATTCGATTTGTTCTTTCTTTCTCTCTCTCTCTCTCTCTCTCTCTCTCTCTTTCCCCTTCTCTTTCTGCCCTACCTTTTCCTTTTCTTTTTTTTCTTAATGGATATCATTTCTTTTTTTTTCCTCTCCTCATATCAACTTATAGAACGGATCGATTTTTCATTGGTTGGATACACTAAGAATTTCTATTCGTTCCAAATCTTTTCCGTTGAGATAGAAAAACAAGATAAAATGCTTTTTAGTGTCTTCCTACGAGACTATTATTCAAATTATGCAAATTTTTAGAATATTCCATCTTTTCAAACGTTAATAACTATTCATCAATCATTTGTTCCTTATTTTGTTTTATGATGATTATCAGATATTAAAGGAGACACTTTTTTTCTTTTTTTTTTGAGAGTCTATTCTGTGCTTTAGAAACATATGTTTGGCAACAATTAATATATGTATGTATGTATGTATGTATGTATATATATATACATATTTCTTTCTACTATTGGCCCTATAAACACTCTCATATAGCAGCCCATTTGCATACCGTACTGTGTTGTATATGCTTACTAAGCACAACGATCGAAGAAATCAAATCGCAATTATGTCCATCGCTCGTCGTTCTATCGCATAAACAAGGCGAACGCGAGAAGAGATGTGTCAAAAAGAAAAGCTTTACGAATAATGAATACAAAAGCAACTAGTACACCATTGAAGAATGCTTGAAAGAGTTTAATTGTAGAATATAACCATTTGCTTTAAATCTTAATACATCGTACAACTAGAAAAGAAAAATCTATTCTCGTCGTTTAGTAGATTTCTAATGATTTGACCTCGAAAGATATTTATATTCAAATGGAAAATTTGAATATCATTTTGCTTTCTTTTTCTTTCTCGAACGAGATTGATCGATCGTAAAACATTTGTTTTCTTTCGAAAAGGAAGCAACACTTGATGAATCCTTTGGATTTTTTCCATTTCAATGATTTAATCTTTCCTATCGATACCTTTTTTTTTTATTGAATCATAAAATCAAGGAAGACATTAAAATCACATAATGCAAAAAAAGCAGTAGAATAAATCACATAAATTAAATTGTGGTTTTGTCCTTTTTAAAGTTTAGGTTTGTCATGTTTCAATAATGTATCTCTCAGACGCATAGGCACAGCGTGCGCTTGATTAAAAAATGGTTGTGTTTCTCTTTTAACTCTTTCCATCCAATCGCGAACACGAGGGAATTTTTCTTCATCAAGCTCGTAGCCTGCAGCAATCGGTTGCATCAGTTCACAAATACCTAAATACGAACGATCATTATATTGTCAATTTTATTTTTGATAAATGCAAATTTACCAAGTAAATCAGCAAAGGTTAAATGATCACCACCTAAATAAGATGATCGAGCCAACCAAACAGATTCAAGACCATTTATTGATACTTGCCATCGGTGATGACATTTTTCTAATTCGCGTTCATCTGGTGGCTTATTTGTCATGCGAGGTGTAATGATCTAAATGAAAGTTGAATACAGTTCTCTCGATTTTACGAAGCAGAAAATGTTGACGTTTACTTTCGTAAGAAAAAGCATGGATCCTGTAGCACGTAAATTAAAATGTTGCCAATTGGCATACTCGTTAACACGTGCTCGTTCTTTTAAATCTGTTGGAAACCAATTATTTATTTTGTATTTATCACAGAGATACATGAAAATTGCCACACTAAATCAATGAGAAAAATTTGATGAGAAAAATCCGAATTATTTGTTTTTACCTTTCGGTCAGAATAAAACCAGAATCATCAATAACTGGCACTTTTTTAAATGGATTTATTTGAGCATATTCATCAGTCATATGTTCCAGTTTTCGTAATGCAATTTGTTTTTCTTCAAATGGAATACCAGTTATTTTAAGAAAAATGTACAAAGCCCGACAGGGCTGTGACATTAAATCATAATAGTATAGAAGTGGCATCTGGAATTTAGCAAAAAAAGAAACATGCTACTTTATTACATTCAAAACTTCGAGTAGCTTTGAATAGTAGCACTATAGACTTTGCATATTTGATGGTGGTTACAGTATTTAGTGTTTCCGATGTTCAATGAGCGATAATTTTGCAAGAACAAGAAATCAGTTTCAGCTTAAAACAGCAGTCTAGAATCTTTCAGAAGGTAAATTTCATCTTTTATAACTTCCATATTTTATCAAATGAAATATTTTAATTGAAAAAGAAAATGAAATCTATCTGATGAAAAGGCGCGATGATTAATTTTTCCTATGATCAAAAATGCCATCTATGATAGATTTGACACTTTCATCACTAACCATAGCCTGTCTAGTTGGCACTTTATTTCTTTCGCATCGAGTGAAAAAATTAAAAATCCAAATCGATGAAAAAAAATCTGATATTCAAATAACTGAAGAAAACCTATGGGAATTAAATACAGATTTTAGTCGATCTATTCTAACAAAACTACGCTTACTCGATCGATTATCATCATCACAGGCGTAGCCATAAAAAACAAATCGAAATACTACATTTATTATATAATTTATTTTATTTTTATTTCAAACGAGGAAGAAAAAAATATACATCAATTGAATAAAACAAATAAATTTTTATCGGCACATTTGCGCATTGTTTTCAAGAAAAAAAAACGAAGCCAAATCTTCGGCTTCTGAAGAACAGCCACACTAATACTAGATGAAAATCGCAAACAATAAAATGCATCAATATTTGTAGATCAAGAGATAAAGAAAAACTGATGCAAATTCTTTTGTTTTTTTGTTCGAACAAAAAATTACAAGAAAAACAGGAAAGAAGAGAAAAGACTAAAAATGAAAATGAGATCAAATAATCAAATTTTTATTCAGTAGATTTTAGTATCGTTTATGGTGACTGCGCAAGCGCTGACAAAGCTGAAAGAGGTGGGGCCCAAATTAAACATGTACGATCAGCACTCGTCGTAGCAAATGATATTTCATTTGGGTGCCTGAAATTTTTAAAAATCAAATTTTATTCAATACCTAAACAAAAAATCAAAGTTTCGCATACCATCGAGCTTGAATAATTTTATCGGTATGTGCAGCAACACTGGATAAAACCAATGGCTTTGTAAGATCACCTTTAAACAAAGATTAAATAAAAGAAAGCATTTAAATAACTTGACGTTTTCTTACCACTTAAATTAGTCATAACAACTTTTTTATCGTACGACGCAGTAAGTAAATAATATGAATGTACAGAAAACCGAACACTTCGTATTTCATTTGAATGTGGCTGATACGCTTGCACAGTACGTTTTCCACGTAGATCATAAAGTAAACATGAAGCATCTTCATAACCGGCTGCTAATAATTGACCAGAATTATCAACAGCTACTGCTGAAACTGCACTATCTATTATATTGAAAGAAAGTAAATAAAAACGAATTCATTCTTTTTTCTATATTTATTTTTACTTGAAGGACGAGGTGCAATAACATTAACACAATTCGGTTGGCGAATATCCCATAAACGTGATGTACCATCTTGACTACCCGATACAAAACTACATGCATCCCATGGAAACAATGAATAAATGTGACCTAAAATATTTTTTGAAAAATGTACAAATGATTGAGAAGTTTATTTCAAGCAAACACTATTTGCTTGTTTCTATAAGTAATGATAAGGATAAAATTCTTTCTGAGTTCGTCGATCATATCTTGCCTGGATGATATATATATATATATATGTATATAATTTAGTCGTATAATATATCACTTACTGTTGATGCTATCATCGTTTAGCGTTATCATCTGTCAACATTGCTCGAATCTTAGATATGACATACGTTGAATGTCATTGGTTTCGATAAAACAAATAGGATCTCTGCAGAATTAAAACGTATAATACATACACATTTACTCTCAATTTAGAGATTAAGCGAAGATTGTAAAAAATATGATCTCAAAAGACAAGTTCGATGAATTTTGTTTTACCTTGATGACCACTGAAACTCTTAATAGTTGTTTGTTTTCTCACATCAGTAACATAGACTTTACAATCTCCAGCGCCACCACTTAATAAAATTGAATCATCTTTTAAATTATCATGCATAAAAATAACATCACGAATAGTTCCATTATGGTGTGTTAATTCAATTTCTGGATCTATAAAAGATTATGTTTTTTTTTTGTTTTCCATAATTTATTCCTCGGCAAACCGATTACTACTTACAATTTTGTTCATCGTCAAATCTATCCATATCAACTCGAACAAGTTTAATTATTTTATCATTAGATCCGGTTGCAATAATTCGACCACTTGGTGACCATGCTACGCAATAAATACTACCCAGATGATGTTTGCCTTTCTTATAGAAAACTTTCGCTGGTTGTGTTACAGAGTCTGCACGAATATTTTTCGTATCAGGATATCCACAAATACGAAGTGTTTTTGAATTTGAACCAACAGCAAAATATTTTCCACTTGGATGTATATCAATAGCACGTATAGCTTGAACATCTTCAACGGATGCTAACGGGATAAATGCTGGAGAACGAGCGATATCCTATGTAAAAGATTTTTTTGAAAATTTAAATTGATAACGAAAGATCTATATATCTACTTCAAGAGAATCATATTTAGTTACGTCATTGATTCCTCGTATTTTTGGATTAGTAGAAGATGATGCTGGAGGAAAAAAGAAAGATAACTGATAGAATATCAGAAACAATTGATTTTAAACTTACAAAGTTGTTTTTGTAATTCATTTTTTCGTATTTCTTGTTCGTCGAATTGTCGAATATTTTCTGCACGACTTTTTTGATATTCCTTTTAAACAGAAACCGAATTTTTTTAGATAAAAACCGATTCAATATTTACTTACTTTCAGTAAACGATCAGTTGATGGATCTGATTGTTGTTGGCTTACACTTCTAAGGAACAACGATTTCTTAATAAATTATAAAATTAAAAAATCTATGCATTACTGTAATGATTTTTTAGTTGAATTTGGTGATCGATTTCCATTTTCATTCATCCTTGCACCATTTGTTTGTTTAAATGCGTGACTATTGTTCACTTGACCAGGTTCGCCAGCAGATTTCATTGATGAAAAATATTGTTGTCCTATAGTGTCATTTGATGACGATGATACAGTATTACTTGAAAATTGTGGCCCAATAACACTTCGTTTTGGTGATTGTACTCGGTGAGTTATTTGTGGAGATATAATATTAGCTGCTGGTGACATTGTACGTGGTGGTGGTGTTGATAATGAAGGTGTGTCTTCTTGAAGAACTTCTTCTACAGTTGGTAATGGTGTTACTGGTACTGTATTTATATTTCCATTATCTTTTAAATTACAAATTGCCAACGAACGACTCATATCATTAACAAAATTTCGATTATAATCTCCGAAGATTTGTGAACGTATAAGACCATAAGATAAACCATCATATTGTGGTGCTAATGAACGCGACATCAATTCAGTTGAACGTGGTTTACCAGTTGGTGTTGCATTAAATGGAAACATTGTTTGTGGTTTAAATGGCGTACTAAGAACATGTTCAGCCCATGTTGCTTCGAGAATTGGTTTTTGAAATTTATCGATATTTAATGTTAACGATTTTTGTTCGAATGGACACGAAAATGTTTCCGTTGGCAATGCATGAAGCCATGAAAGAAGGGAAACATCTGTATCGGATAAACGTGTAGTTGCTAATAAACTATTTGGATCAGACAAATCAATTGTTTCATCAGTACTTGTAGCACGCGCTTGGCAATGTTCAACGCATGATTCATAGAGTAAACCTTTGACAAGTAATTGAATAAGACGATCGCCTTGTGCAACAGGAACTGGTTGTTTATCCACCTAAGAAAAATAAAATAGGGATTAACAATATGTCATTTACACGCTTGTTGCATAGAGGGATTAGAAAAAAATAAACAATCTTTTCAAATAACTATTCGAAATAATTTACTTGTAAAAATCGATGAACAAGTGGAAATACTTCTTGAAAACATTGTACACGTCCAGCACTTGGATTCCAATTTCTATAATCAGTATGATCTTGTAAACGTTTAAGTGTAAGTAAAAATGATAATTTTTTGTATTCTTGTTCGTTGGGTGCAAACGGTCTTAAATCATTAAGAAATCTAACAGAAAAAAAGAGAAAAACAACAATAATTATTATTTTTTTGATTCGTTAGAAACACAATAGAGTATCTTACTTAACAATTTGTTCAACAGATAAATCATTTTCAATTTGTGCTTCTGTTTTTAAACATAATAATTCAAGAAATTGATATTTAAGTACAATATAAATAAAATGTTTAGCATCAAATGAGTCAATTGTTTTTAATGGTTGAACAAAATCGATAACATCATCCCATTGACCATCTAAAATTAGTTGCCGTAAGAAAAGTATATCTTCAGAAAACGATCCATTTATAATGCCTATTATTAAGATGAGAAAAAACAGATTTATATATATATATATGACAATTGATTGAAATCAAATAATTGCTTTTTATTTAAAAAACTTACCTGTCTCGCGTTCGATATCAAGCATACTAATATAAAGTTCACGTTGTTGAAAAAAATCGAGTATAAGTTTAACAGTGTCACGTTCGGATAGTGCCACATTAACTCGTAATGCACTTGTTCCGTTCGTTGATGACATCGTCGAATAATATAATATACACGACGAGTCGCAAATGAGATCTAAAAAGGACAATGAGAGACTGTCTACGTACTCATACACAAACATTATAATGCGACGACTAATTCGACTATAGCAACAAGGCAATAGAGAAGAATAAGGTAGACGCATACGTAGACGACGATTGCTTATTTGTTCAGTTAACGTGAACTAAAGAAGTGAATATGATGTTAAGATGACTGACTACCGGCGGTGAGTCGTTTTGGATATGTGAACAAGCAATAAATATGTGAAAGAAGAGAATTGATGAGAGAACAAGCTGACTATATATATATATCATTGAACGAACATATCATACTCGATGAATCATGTCCTCTATGTGTTTCTCGCTTGGCTTTAGATGTCGCTATTCTTGAAATAGAAGACTTATAACATATCATTTTTTTTTCATCAATTATAATTCCAATATAGTGGATTATGTTTCATTAAGCACAAGGTGTTTGCTTCTCGCTTTTCGTTTTAGTTTGCACTTCATATTAATTTCCTTTTCTTTTTTTTTTATTACGAATGGATTACATTGATTGTCTATTTTTTATTCAGCGACCGACTTATTATAATGTTAAGCCGCATATCTATTTTAATATAGTAGTTCTCTTGCTATTTCTAATCGTTTGAGTTTTATTATTAAAAGAATCTTTGTTCAGCATGAATTAAAAAAATATATATATGTATATATTCTTAGGTAGATGAATTCTCAAAGTAATGCCAAGAACAAACTTTATTCTTTTAATAAGTAACGCATCGTCAGAACTTAGGAACGAGAACAGAAAGGATAGTGTTACTAACATTGCTCGATGAAGTTCATTCGTCTGTATTGAAATCACGATTTGTTTGTCTGTTATGCGATTAAGAGCATGGCAACATTGAATGAAGCGATGTTTTATCTTTTTTTGCTTGAAACAAAATGGTAAATATACACTATAGAAGAAGGATGTGTTTCTTACTTAATTGTAGATCGATTCATAGTTAATGCTTAAGTTTCTTTGCCTATAAATAAACGTGACAAAATATTTGAATAAGTATAGTATTGAGTGACATGTTACCAACATACTTAGTACTTGGTTCAATAGAGTTCGCATTTTAATGAAGTTAGAAAACATGTTGTCAACATTCAAATTTTACTGATTGGTAATTTTAAATAGGTGGCTACGAAGAACGATGATTGATTGTTTGTTAATAAATGAAAAAATCTAAATGCAAACCTTTTTTTTAAAATTTATAACAGGTTGGAGGCTATTCGCTTTATTTGAGTAATCTTCATTTGAAATATTTCTATAGCAAACTGAATATTTAGTCTATCCATTCAAGCTATTGATTGAATAGCAATCTCTTTTCTAATCATGAATATACAAGATGTTCATAGATTTTTTCGCACATGAATCTTTCTGATGGAAATTAATTTATTGCAAAATCTAGAGATGCTTTCAATATATTTAAAATGGAAATCGGCTCGTCAAACAAGATTAAATTTGTGTCAATATTTTTGTCCACAAAATCGTTGACATTGCTTCGTCGTCAGTAAAGTGTTATGATAATGTTGTTTTTCAAAGCAAATATTCGTGTACTACTTGACCGTGCACATTTTGAACTGATCATGAAAGCTAATGATACAACCGCTCTAAGTCTTGTTTGAATTTTTTCGTTGATAAAGAAATAACGGAATTTATAATTTTCGATCATCAGATATGTACGTGATCATTTCGATAAGTCATAATGTAAAAATAATGAAAACTACAAATTTTCTGTTTTGTATCGGCTCAATAATTATCAATGATCAAAATAAAAGAATACGCATTTTATTTTATCTAAATGAAAAATAAATTCGCGTGATTTACGTGTATCTTTTTATCCGATGAAGGTACTGAATTAACTGTTCATGTATGTTGTAATAAGTACTGCTTATTAACTAAATACAGAAGTAATGTCAACGTCGATGTACAACGCTAATCTAATCAAATAATACTTACGAGCGACATGAAACAATTATAACAATCGCGAAAAGAAATTTGATTAGACTATATGACGATAAGTTGCAATAGCCTTTTATGATAAATATGGATAAAACAATACTGTTGACTTGTATAAAATTTCAGATAATAGAGTCTGATAATTTCAAGAAATATTCAGTTTTAGAGAGTACTCAAGTCATATTGTTTCGTTTGAAGTAATTTTTTCAAAAGTACACTCCGTGATTAGTCCCTGGAAATTCATTCTGAATGCATCAAGGAGTTAATTGGATATAGGCGTTAGTTATGGATGAGCCCTTTTGAAATTGACTTATAAAAGGATTTTTTATGCTAATTTGTTAGATAACTGATTTATCGAAATGTCTTGCATGTGTTGTATCATAATGTTGTTTAATGTTTCAAAACGTTTCTTTCTCCTTCGGGCTCATTATATTTTGATATAAAGTTTAAAATGAAGTGTGATAGATCAATCTATTCACTACGAACGAATATTTTTTAAACAGATCAGTTACTTATTATTTCGACAGTAGTGGTGCGTAAGTTAAACGTCAACAAGACAAGAAAATCGCGAAGAATAAGTCTCCCTTAATCTTGCGTCTAAAGCCCTGGGAATTTTACTTCTGTTTTAACTTACAGTATATTATACACTAATAAATGCAATCATGGTATCTTCAACACACATGGATCTGTTTTTGAGTGAAAGCTACTGAAAATTGCAGTTAAAAAGTATGTGTCTTTGTCAGCCATGTTTTAGTCACTGAATAAATCAGAAATTAACATAGAGAAAAGAGGAGAATAGAACACGTGGATCATTATAATTGACCAGTGAACATTCGCTTTCAATCTTCCGAATGCTATTGGTTTAAAAGTTGAAAATTGAAAATTGAAATTTTCAATTGAATTCAAGTTTCAAGTTTGACGTATATGATATTTAGAATGAAAAAGAAGAAGTGCATAAAGTGTCAAGACTTTTAATATCCAAACGATCGTACAATGAAAGTAGCTGAATAACGTGATATTTCATCGTTGCTAATTTAGAAGTGCCATGTATAGTTTTCTCATTCCCACAACAAACTGGCGAGAAATACATTTAGAAATCAGAGTAAAATAAAGCGATAGTACGTTATTTCAGATTCTATGGCGATCTTGTTTCATCACGCTCATATCGCTTGCTAGACCACTATAACGTGTCAATATAAACATCATTCTCGTCTGTAGGTAATAAAAGAATCGCCTACTTGGTACTCTTTACAAAACTAGCAAGCGTTACATTGCAATATACGCATATAGTATTCGTTCTTTATGTAGTTGTTAGTATTGATCAATTTGATAGTACATTTTATCCCAACAAATATTAGTAACCAAAATAAAAACGTAACATTGAAAAATATAATCAGAAAAGTATTTACAATATTGATCTCGATAAAATATTTTATCTTCTCAATTTCTAGTTTGATTAAAGTTAAACCGGTGAACGTTGAACAGCTCGGATCTAAGAAAATAAACGATACGGTAACCGACTTTAAACGCTGCAATAACGTCAAAAATGGCAACACTTGTTGAAAAACTACGCCGTGATTCGTTATAGCAGAATATGAAGGCAAAATATAGGAGAAGCAAAGACTATTTTGTAGCGAAAACCATAGCTCGTAAAATGGTACTACGTATTGCGGCGAAAGAAATTGAAAATTCATGCAGTACTACACCATTTAGTAGCTTTCTTATGCCAGAAAAGGCGCAGTTTTTGACGATCACATTATGATCGAACTGAGAAGTTAACATATTAAAATATGAACTAAGCCATGTTAATATTTCTCAGTCACTCGATTCTGTCATGGCGCTACTTATATTCTATAGGACCATTAATACACGAAAGTTTTCTTTGCTGCGCTTTCAGTATGGACATAACACTATCGAATCAATTTCTAAAATCTAATAATTCTTATGCAGCACGTGATCAAATGTTAAAATAACTGGTTGAGTGTCATCACCAAAACATTGGAAGCGATAGTATAATATGTAAAATTGGCTAACTAGTACTTTTCTCAATCAATCCTATTGAATTATATATCAATAGCAAGACCACATACTGAAACTATCATTTCGATAGTAATCTCATTAACATTTGATCGAATTTTGAAAGTTACAAGTTATCAAAAGAGTACTATAGTTTTGTTAATCATTCTAGTACTCCATCATGCGCCACTATGCGTTCAATTTGAGAATAAGACGACCAATCAATACACTAGTGAAATTATGATTTTGGTATTCCTTCGATAGGGCTTTAATCCCATATTTAAGTAACCAACTCATGGCTACTTATTTTTCGAGATATAGGCCCAATGTACTCTCTAGAAAAAAAGGTTCTCCAGAGCTCCTTTTTTCTTGCAGAGTACTGGTATAATTTTTCATTAAACCATAGAATATTGATAGTACTTTTTATAATCCGATGTAACTGATCTTATCAAAGCATCATCGATTCTAAGCTGTAGGAACGTAAGTGACTCTAGATATAGCTTCAAGTTTTATACGACTATATTCGTCCAAGAAATTGATTTTACGACATTTTCGCTACCCAAGTCGAGCAATCATATTGTAAGATCTGATAAGATCTTGCGTCAGATTTTTCGACCTGGGAAAGCTAACTAGGTCGAGGTTTCCAGAGTTCATACGCAGAGCTGTGAACGGTTGTATACGTTCCGTTTGTCTTCATATACGATCGTATTTGGACGTAATATATGGCTCAGTTTTACAATCGTCGACCATTTACGACAAAATACGGAGCAAAACGGAGATCATATACAGACTTCGTGTATAAGTATAGTAAATAATCGGTTTTTCTCGTTATATGGTCGTGCTTCTCCGTGTACGATCGTAAATGACCATGGTTGCTAGTCCTGTGTAATTTAACTATATAGCAACTTATGATTTGTACATTTTACTTAATTAACTTCTAATTTATCTAAATATTCATTATTAATAACTTTTTTTAATGAGTAATTCAAAATTTTACAATTATTCCTTTATTCCTTTAAATTCAAAGTATTGAATAGAAAATATGATTTTAGTCCATATCCGATAAGAAGTAAATGAATGCAAACAAGATGCAAATGGCTATATATTGAATATTTATTTCTCAGTTTAGTGATTTCATATACTATTGAACAATATGCTCCATATAATCGATACAAAAAATATATATAAAACAATATGCACACAAACAGTGGAGCAGTTTTCTTTGTTGTATGAAAATAATTTTTTTCTTTTTAATAATTCGTAATTTAATATGAGATATCACAGTTCATAAATATCAGTATGGAGTTTTCTTCCCTGACTTACACATACATCAAGCCACTCAACGTTAACAATAAGAGCATTTGAACATGCGTCTTTCAAAGCGAGCACATCCCGACATTCGCCTGAAGTTAAAATATGCGTGGTCGTATTAGAATCAGCCTTCTCATCAACATCACCATCGAAACTAAACATAAACAAAAAATAATTCATAATATATTAAAGAAAACTCTATACATACGCATAAATAAAACGTTGCAATCTTCTTTTCGTGTTATCATCAATTTCATGAAAGAAAATATGTATACCAGATAAATAACTAGGCAAATGTATTTTCAATCGATCTTTATGGTTTGTTTTCTCTGAAACCAAAAAATAATAATTATTTTTGTTATCTAATTAAAATTAATCGGAAATTTATACTTTCTGTAGTCATCCGTTTATTATTTCCAAGAGATTCTTCATTTGATCGTTTATTATTCGTTGCAGAACCATCACGTTTGAAATAATAAATATATGTCGGAATACGACAAGAAGATAAATACTTTTTAATCAATTTTTCAGTGCCATACCAGTTGAAACCTTGTTGTATAACAAGAAATTAGAAAAAAAAGTTCAATCGAGTATCAAAATATAATCACCTTGAGAACCAACACCAATGCGAGGTAAATGAACACTTGCTTTGAGTTCTTTCGCTCGTTTTGCTAGGCCTCTGAGAGCTAGTCGATAAACGTATGAAATAATTATTTGAAATCGATTCAATAAAAAATTTAGACTTACCAGAATCGAGAGCAGTAAAATCAAATTTATACCGATGTTGAGCAACAATCAAGGCTACATATTGATCGCATTCTGGCTCATCGTCAATCACACAATCATTTAGTGAAATTACATGTGCATCGCCCATATTAATATCGTCCATTTCTGCAGCAAGTGTATATCTGCAAGACTAAATTGTATTTTCAAATGTAATAGAATATCGAGAAATTTTTACTGTTTTTCTGGCTCTTTTGAACGTTTAGAAATTGAAGCGAATACACCTTTTGCTGGCCATCGACCAGAATCATCTAGAAGAAAATAAGTAGAGAAGAAAAGCAACATCTCAAAATATCAGCATTAATCAAAATTAATTACCAACGCAATGAACTGAAATAGCACATTTCTCTCCATGTAATTGAGGTTTCATTACATCGCCAAAAACATAATGTAACTTTGTCTCACCGCTACTATCATCTAAACGAGAGAGAAAAATCATTTCAATTTATTGAAATAGTATTTTCAAATAAAATACCATCACTATCAGATAGAGCTGTTTCATCAGTTTCTTCATCTTCATCTTCGGATAATAATACACGACAAGAACAATAATTGTTTGATGTCCATAATTGTTCCCGTTTTGCTTTACGACGTTCCTCACGTCTTCGTTCTGCTTCTTCCTAATATTAAACAGAAATTGATTAAAAACAAAAAATCCTCATACAATATATCTTACCATTTCTTGTTGTTGTCGGGCTTTCGTTTCACGGATTTTTGCTGCACGAGCTACTTTTTCTTCTTCAGTCATTTGATGTCGTTGTGTTCGTTCAATAGTACGATGGTTCGATAAACTTCCAGTTGTGCTACTTGCTTTTTCATCAGTTGTTATAAGACGATCAAATAGATCAATGTCCGGTTTTTTAGCAGCATCGCGATAATCAACACCTTCGAATACGTACATGCTATCATCATTAGTGCTGCCCGATGGTAATAATTCTTTATCTTCATTTTCTTTATTCTCAGCTAGAGCGAGCCAATGACCATTTTTATCAGTTTCACCCAAAATATCGTTGAAATCAATCTTTGTATAATCCATTTGTGCTGTTTCATCTAATAATTTATCAATGCCAATTCTAAGTACATCTTGAAGCTGTGAAAAATAATAATTCTTCAAGAGTAATTTATGAAAATGATATTGCAAACCTGTGTTTTCGTTTCTATAACTGTATTTAGACCAGATGCTAATTCACCATTTTCCATAATTGTTTTTGATAATTTCAATTTGACTTCTGCTCTACGAAGGATAACTTCTACACTTAGAAAAAAATTTTACTACAAAAAAGGAAAACACCAAATTTTTTCAAACCTTCAAAAGAATTTTGACAAACAAGACGAATAATTCGTACTGGTCTAAAACAAGGTAAAAAGAGATTAGCTGTTTTTTTGTGCTGCTTTACAAAACATCGTCTACCTTTTTTGTCCAATACGATGACATCGATCAGCTGCTTGTAAATCATTTTGTGGATTAAAATCCGAATCATAAAAAATAACTGTATCAGCTGCCACAAGATTTAAACCAACACCACCTTAAATACAAACAAACCTAGTTAGATATTATTTTCCTTTGGAAAGAAAAATCTAATGTACAATCTGCTTACCTGCTTTTGTACTCAACAAGAATATAAATGTATCATCTTTAGTATTGAAATTATTAATAGCTAAAAATCTTTCTTCACTTCGTACCGAACCATCCAAACCTATTTGAAGATTTTCTTTTTTTTTCAGTAAATTAAAATAAATTCTTACGTTCGTATTTGTAGATTTCACGATAAGTTAAATAATCTTGTAAAACATCGAGAACCATTGTAAATTGTGAAAATAGAAGTACCTTATGTTTCTTAGCATATAAATGTGCAAGAAGATGATCCAATATATGAAGTTTACCACTTGCTTCAACTATTTCATACAAAATTTTTTTTATATAGAATCAATTAGAAATAAATTCTTACTTAAATGTTCACCCATTTCAAATGGTTCAGGTTCAACGCCAGGAAATAGATATGGATGTCCAATAGCTTTTCTTAATTGCATCATTATATTCACTAAGCTTGTTTTACTTCCTGCTTCAGTCGGGCCAAATATAGCTTTAAAAATAAAAGATAAAATTAACTTTTATCGATATTAATTGAAATAAAATCCATACATCGGTTTTTTGTCAATATAGCTTTATAAAGTTCTTTTTGAATTTTTGATAAATCATGATAAATCATCAATTCAGTTTTATCTGGTAAATCAGTGAGTACATCACGTTTTAATCGTCGTAAAACAAATGGTTTTAAAAAACTAATTAATATTTTCTTACGAGCTATATAAAAAGAAACATAAAGTTCAGAAAAAAAAACAAACGTGAGCTATTTCAATTACTTTCGTCTTTATTGATATTTTGAAAATATTGAACAAAATCTTCGTGATGCGTTGAATAAAATACATTCGGTGCACAAAATGATAATAACGAATAAAGTTCAGATAGATTATTTTGAATTGGTGTACCCGTAAGAAGTATTCGACATGATACGTTCAACTAAAAATTGTATCAATTTTTTAGTAGATTCAAAGAGCAATAGATAAATGCGTGTGGGTGTACAGCTACTTTTTGTTCATTGAAAAATCAACACTACTTTCCAAACTTGCAAGAAAACATTTTTTTCACTCACACCGTCATTATTCAATGCTAACGTTTTATTGACCCCTTTATTTGAAAGAAAGAAATAAACAAACCGTTTTGAGAGCACCATGTAAAAGTGATTGAGAATTTTTAATTCGATGTGCTTCATCAATAATTAAAACTTTCCAATTAAACGATTGAAAAAAAGTTGTATCTTTCAAGATGTACTCATATGTTGTTAATAAAATATCGAATTTCGATTTTTTAATTGTTTCCGCGAGTTCATTTCGTTCATCTTTGGCACCAGTAAATATTTGAATATTCAATCCAGGAGCAAATCTTACAAAATTCGATTAGTTTTTTTCTCCTTCTGTTTTTAGATTTCATTTTAACAATAGTATTACCGTGATAATTCTTTTGTCCAATTTTGTAGGACAGATAATGGACTAATGACAATCGATGGAAATTGTTTCTTTGCTTTACATACATACAATAAGAATCCAATTGTCTAAATAAAGAAGATGAATTCATCATTGCTTTTGAATTATCTGGCATTACTTGTAATGTTTTTCCAAGACCCATTTCATCGCTAAGAACTATAGACATATGTATTCTACTAAACTAATACTCAATAAAAAAATTCGATCTCTCACTTGCTCCATGTCCTTTTTCGTATCGTTCGATAAGCCATCGAATTCCATGTAATTGATACGACCGTATATCAACATTAGTTAAGCCAATATGTTTAAAATACGCTTCATTATATTCATTTTCATCTAATGTTGTATAATTTAAAACATTTATTCGTTTTGTCAAAACATTAACAAGAACACTCTCATTGTCAGACATCTACAAAAACGTGAATTTATCAATTTTCTATTGTTCAAACTATTTTCTATAATGAAAAATTCTATATCTGATCAATGAATGTAGATAATCAATAACATCAATCACTACTTTATACAATATAATACTAGTATCACCGGAGATCTGATATGTAAAAGAGAGAGAGAGAGAAAGGAAGAAAAAAAAATATTGCATTTAATGCTTGAAATCACGTCTATGCTGAGGATTCTGTCGATAACATGTTCTACCAAATGGACATAATGGTTTATCCACATTGTTGTCATAGCAATTATCTGTATCTTTCGAATCTTCATAATCACTATCGCCTGGATGTGATAGTTCAGAACGATGATTAGGATTTTTTCGATAACAAGATGTACCAAATTGACAAGCTGGACGACGTTTACCGCCAGATTTAACTAAATTCAAATTACAGTTGATTAGCTATGATAATAGTTCTAAATACCTTTTTTTGTTGGTGATGTTATTTTTATTGGAATAGAATCAAAACCATCTGCACTATCACTATCAAGACTTTTGGTTGAAGCTACTTTACTTAGAACTCTTCCTGGAGATTTAACATCAATAAGTGCTACCGGTGATCGAACACCTAAATAAGACAAATAAACCATTAAGACAAATATAAAATAAAATCGTACCTGAGACATTTGATGATTCATTGAAATCACTATTGGTATCACCCTCAAAACTCACTATGAAGAAAACAAGAAAGAAATTTCACTTTTCTTTAATTAGGATTATTCAATAAAATAGTAACATACAATGCCGTTTTGCACTAGTTGGATCATTAGATGATGAACTTCGTGCATAGGAAGACTTGGGTGTAGTAGTTGCAGATTTCACTACAGGTGATGGAGTTGGAGCTACCATCCATTTAGGTAATTTACGTGGTTTATCATTTGTAGTATTAGATGGTTTAATTTCATCCTGATCATTCTATAAATAGCGAAAAGAAACATTTGAATATAAATATTTAAAAGAAAAATCAACATACTTGATCATTGGCAGGTGGTGAAGGAACAATAATTCGAGTTATGGAAACTGAAGGACTTGGCATTAAAATACGTGATTTTGGTTCAACATCTGCCGTTGTTTTCTTTTCGAATGATGTACGTTTAGTCAATGTTTTAGTTGGTACATCATTAGCATCATCATCGAAATCAAACACTGATGTATCTTGATTACTAAATGAACGACGATAGCCATGTGTCGGCGACCATTGATCTGGTGATGCAGCACGTGGTGGAGGTGAATTTTTCTCTTGTTTCCATGCATGCAATGAATCCGTATCGGAATCATTTTTGTCATTATTATTGTTTTCATCAGTAGAAAAGCTTACACGAAAGAAAAAACTGGATGGAAGTAAACCAATTTGATCACCATCTTTTAATTCTCGTTCAACATCTTTTTGTAATTGAATTGTTTTACCATTTGATGGACGATAAAATACAGGATTTGCATGGGTTGGTGTTATCCAAAGAGTATTATCATCTTTGAGTAGTAATTCTGCATGATGACGAGAAATTTTTTTCTCGTTACACTAAAACCAATTGAAGTAGCGGTTAGTTTAAAAATAACTAAATGAACATACGCCTAACGATGAACCACGTCCAACAATAACTTTTTCATTTTCTTGTACTGTAATCTGATTGCCTTCTACAATCGGAATGAGTTCTACTTTGCCAACCATTCTAGTTTTTTTCTCTGTGATTTTATAGAATAATCTAAAATGAACAGTACATGTAATTTCACATTCATGTGTAAGACAATGAAGTCGTTCATTTTTTGAATTGACAGGAAAGTAAAACATAGGTTCTTGAGTTTAATCAATAGCGTATATTGGTAGAGGGAGCTAGTTATTACTATAGCCTTAGGCTCAAATGATAAAATAGTTGAAAATAATTTTTATGTTCTTTTCTAATAAATTAATATCTATCAATTTTATTTTTATTTATGTGTCATTTGTATCATATGAATTAGGAAAAAGAAAATCTTTCAAAAATAATATTGAACGAAACATTATCACAGAGATTTCTAAATGGCAATAAAAATCTTATTAAAATACAGTAGACCAGCAATAAAAGCCCAACACATAGCACCATAAACATGTAATGCAAGCAGTTTCGCATGTGTTGAGTCGACTTGAAATTGTATGGGAAACTTGTCCGAACAAACATCATGGCCAACATAGATGACGATAGAATTCATACCCAACCATAGCCATGGTTCACCGGTAAACAATTTATACACATCCACAAGTAAATACAATATAGTTAAGATTATAAAAGCAAGGCTGGATAGTACAAATATAAAAGTTAAAGACCAAAGATTTTTATTAATAGGTATCCAACTCTCGGAATGACCACCTTTCGATAAAAGTAAACCTAAAAAGCCACAAATAAGACCCGATACAATCCATTGTATGCAAACACGGCGAACTCGTGTTGAATAAACAAAAGTATGAGCAGCGTGAACTCCAAGATAACAAAGAAATATTCCCGTAAGAATACCTAAAAGGCCTATAAATGAAAAACAAAACGAAGAAATAATCGAGCTGATTCGTTTTACTCTTACCTTCAGGATCATAAGGTATTTGAGTTTTATAAATCTCTTTACAAGTCGGATAACCGTACATATGAGAACTGCCCAATATAGTACGATCAAGATATCCAGCCACTCCTTTAATTATTCAGTAATATACTTTTTTCTTTAAATAAAATATATATTTTTATGAATTATACCTCCAGTGCAATTTGTATATTTTCCATGTTCATGTTTTCCGCCAGGACCTACATAACCTCTTGGACAATTACTTAATTTTGGAACAAATGTAATCAATATCCATGAAATAATAATTCCTAAAATAAAAAGCCATTCTGGCCAAAATTGAAATACGGTATTTGATAATTCAGCGCGTATTGGTTGATGTGTATTATCACCTAAATAGATGGATTACAGGTTTTACAGTTAAATTGTGCCTTTTACGTGTTGGCCATTGTGACACATGTGATTCATTTTCAGACGGATCAAAAATAAGTACAAGTATTGCAGTAAAAAAATAACATAAAGCTAAACGTTGAAGAACACCAAGAATTCGGAGATCTTTTGGCTTTCCCTCTCCACCTTGTAACAGTAAACCTAAATTGTTCAATCAAAATATAAAATAAAACAAATTGATTTTTTTCTCATCTTTCACACCCAATAAAAATAGTATTAAAGTTCGTCGACATATTTTTAATAAAATACTTGTTCGTCGTATTTTTTTCTTAAGAAGTGACCGTTGAGAAAGAACAATGGACACACCCATCATCCAAACAAACCATGGAAAAACCAAATCAGCAAGAGTTAAACCATTCCAAACTGTGACACACAAAAAAATAAAGAAAATCCATCGATAGATTTACTATCAGTAATTGAAAATCTTACCTGAATGATCAAAAAACCAATAACCACCGCCTTTAAAATGCAGAAAATGTTTAGAAGAAAAAAAACTACCGTTTATCTTTTATTCTTACCACCATAATTAACAAAAATCATTACCATCAATGAAAATCCTCGAAATGTATCCAATGCTTGTAGACGTTTTGGTAGCACTCGCATTTTTTTACTAGAATCTTTGGATTTATTAGTAGACTCGGCCAATGGTAATGAACCGATGCTATTTGCTGCACTGAGAATATTATCATTTGGAGTGCCAGGTTGTAGCATCAATGGTTCTCTTCTAGATAATATTGGACTTGTTGGTGGTGTAATATTTGTTTCATCATTAATTAATTGACGATGACCAATATTTATCAAAATACGACCAATATATCGAGAATGATAAAGCTGGTGACACAATTGAATAGATAGCACAATCGTACAAAGAATAATTACTGCAATTATAATCGGTAGCCAATAATGACTTGATGCTTTTGTTTGAGTTATTGTACAAGAAACTTCATTTGGATTTATTTCCATAATTTCAAATAAATACGAGCCATGTTCAGAAAAGTGATACGAATGTATTTGGCAAACCAATGTTCGACTTTTTGTTTGGGAAATAAGTTGAAAATCATATGGATATTGTGTATCAATTGTTACAGTTTTACTCGAATTCGGTTGAACAGCATTGTCTAATGCTTCAAAATCACAATGTTCACAAGCTATCACATTATAAGTAAACAATATTGGATCTGAATAATTTTTATTGCTAATTGTCAAATAGGCTTGATCCATATTTAGCTGATCTGCTAGATTTTTTTTAATTATTTTCGCTTCACCATAATGAAAGGATTGTAAAATAGTAATGTGAAAAATCCATAGATAATAACAAGATTTCCACATTATTTTTCTATGATCAATGATCTAAAAATGATATTCTAACATGAAACAGTTCTTATTTTTATCTCGTTGTTCGAAAAAAAGAAAACAAGGCGTGCACGTCATTTTTCGGACACTCACACCTATCTATATGCTAACGAAATTCTTATCAGTTGTGTTTTTTTTCTAAAGATATTATAAAACTGACTGCTCAATGTTCTTGTTATCTAACCATAGCAGCCCTCTGTCTATCACAAGTGAAAAACAAAAGCAAAGCACTGACAATGAAAGAAAAATTTAAGCATATTGACTTTTCTTGATTAATAAATGCAATGAAAATTTGATGAGCTTTAATTTTTATTGCTTATCAATTTTTCTCTCTTAGAAAACACCAACGGTGTGCGTAAAAAAATAGTCAAATAAAATCATACACATACATACACACACGTATGTAAATAAACTGTTTTAATCAAGAATTCTCCAAGACAAATGAAACAAAAAAAAAACGTTATCAAAAATATTGCACCGATAAATTCAATTGATTCGCTGTTTTAGAACAACACAATAGAAAACAAACGACATTCGCTCTAGAGTAGGATTGGAAACAGACCAAGAAAGGAAAACATGAATGACAGGGACCATTTCAAGAAAAATGGCTGGGTACAGAAGACGAACTAAAAATTGGTGGCAAAGAACCATCGACTTTTCCTTTATCCATATCAATGGGTGGTTCTAAATAGATAAAATAATTTATTGTAGTCGAAATACGATAGTGAGTAGATTCTAGTAACCTTCCATTACTGGTGGTGGCATAAACATTTCACTTTTACGAGTAAGTAAAATAGTAGTTCCTTCAATCATAGCAAGAATAAATCCACCAAAAATAGCCGAACCAATCATAGCGCCAGCTCCCACTAGAAAAATGAACATTTTCAACACAGAACTTTATTTCTATTTTCATTTACGTCTCGCTTGTAAAATAGCTCCAGTTGCTGCACCACTTAGAATTGAATTCCATGGATCATCCTTGTTTCTTACATAAACACAACTACAGTCAATGAGTGAAAATGCACAACTCCATGCGCTAAATGACGCTAAATAAATCACAAAAGAAAAAGAAACAATATAATTATTTTATTTTCATTTCCTCAAATTACCTCCAACACGAGGAGCTCGTCGTGTTACTGCGTTTAAACTACCAATCAATCGTCTATATTGACCCTAACAAAAACAAAAGAATATCATTGCACCGAGAAATTCAAGAAAGCTAAAATTTACACTGGGAGCATGACGAAATCCTTTAATTGAATGAAATAGTGTTCCACCGATTGCTCCTATTGCAAAAGCACCGCCACAATCATCAACAATACGCCAAGGACTAAATATAATAATTGAACAAATAAAAAAAAAAGAAATTTGAAATGATTCTCTCACCAAGGTTCTCGATTCATAATTTTTCAAATATTTTAATTCTTAGAAACACTGTTCATCTGAAAATAAAATAAAATGTAATTAAATTAATAGAGAAAACAAATGAGGAAGATTTTAATTTCGAAAAATAAACTTGATTGATGCTTTTCAACAATATCTCGTTGATTTTCAAATCAGAATAATACACGATTGAACCGATTAAACTTGCTTGAAAGTTTAGATTTCGGTCAACAGTATCTTCTTGAGATAATAAACGTAAAGATAAGTATACATGAGAGTATATCGAACCTAAAAAGAAAGGTAATGATGAATGTTGTTTGATGTTTTACCGAAAAAACTTCCTAGAAGAAAACAAATACTTCTATTTTCATTCAAATATAACTGAAAAATATCTTATCCTCTTTCAAAACATGAAGATCTATCCCCCTATCAGTCATTGTTAGAGTATATCTGAAGAAAAGTCACTTCCGCTAACGAGTCCAGTACTTTTTCTCAATATCGACAATCGATGCATGTTCCATTTTGTTTCAACTTTGTTGATGATTATTAACCGTTCCAATGCTTCATCTGCGCGATATTTCGCATATTCATAATAATTATTTTCATGTACTTTTCAATCTAATGGAATAATTCAATAAATGAAAATCTTCTTATCAAAAATTTCAGTTTATATTCAACTTTACCTGGTAAAAGTTTATTGATTGCTTGAGATGCTCGCTCACATGAATAGTCATGATAAGGTGACACTTGTAGATTCAATTTTCGTTGAAATTAAAAATTCATAGCTTTTATATGAGATTTTTTCTTTCTAAAATTATTTGTTTAAAATACATTGAATATTATGCTGGTGAAGGTTGAGCTTGCTTTCATGTTTGTACAATATATCCAACTTGTTGATATTGAGTTTTTTTTAGAGAAAACACGATCTCATCGAGTGAGCTGTTGATCTACGAAAACTAGGTGATGTAGACATGGATTCGAAAAGATCGAATCGGAATAAACAAAAAATAACTCCTATCTACCTGTATACTCTTTTTTTTATAATGAAGCAAAGACATTTTATAAAATAGATGCCGTTGGTAATCAATCGTTTATTAATATGCATGATTGAATTAGACAACGAGACTTTCGCATGACAACTATAATATCATCCTATCAATATCTTCGATGCTTTCACAAGTTAAAATACTTCGGGAGATACAGAAGTGTAAATTTATGGTAGAAATTGTCATACTAAATATCGGGTAACCCAGAATAAATTGCACGTTCTCCTATTTTCGCTTTTTTGTACTTTACTGTTCGTTTACTTGAAACGTTCTTTAAATCAAAATATAGCACGTGAAACTCTGCACAAAATGATATACTTCTTTCAGCAAATATAGCTTCCTCCGTTCTTGTGAACAAAACGTAATCTTACAGCCAAATGGTGTATAAAATTAAAATTGAACCATAATTACAGATTTCACTTCCAGCAAATAATAAAATTGAACGTCGTCTTTCGCGTCTTCATGTTGTACAACAATCATCTTCAATAAATACGCATAATACATTTGTTTCAATCGTACCTAAACCAGCATTACTCATTGCTTTGCATGGTCCATTTGGTTAAATGATTCTTGATTATAGTTCAACATTAACTTATTGTCCAACGAATAAACGTGAAGCAGCTAAAAAACATAATGATGTTATTACAATCCCAAATCGAGATCATTGTCTTGTTCATATGACTAAATCAAAAGTTGAAATAAACCATTTGAAATCGTTTAGATTCGATTATACATTTGACGAGAAAGCTTCCACAGAACTTATGTATCATTATACAGCGGCTCCATTCATCGATACAATTTTTAATGGTGGTAATGTTACTGTTTTTGCTTATGGTCAAACGGGATCTGATTTGTAAATAATCTATTTTAATTTCTATTATGTTCTTTTATCTCAATTTAGGTAAAACATTTACAATGGATGGAGATCTATCATCAGCAAACACCGATTATTCACATGGTGTCTATGCACACACAGCAAGTGATATATTTCATCGTTTATCAAAACCACAATATCGTTCATCCATTGAAATGCTTGTAACATTTTATGAAATATATTGGGGCAAAGTTTTTGATTTACTCTACGATAAAAAAAACGCTTACGTGTATTAGAAAATCAGAAGGGTCATGTTCAACTATGCGATAGAAAAGAACATTACGTTAAATCTGTTCAAGATGTGTCACAGTAAGCTACCATAATAACAACACTAAAAGAATGATATGACTTGATTAATTCGGTGTACAGCTTTTTTTTACACTCGATTGAAATTATCCTCACATATGGATGATCCTTGGAGTGCCCTCTTTCAAATGGTGAAACAACCACCTTTAACTGAGGTGCAGTGGCGGAGAAATCAGCGGTCTACGACAAGAACCTATATCTGTTGTTGTTATGGGTCATTTTCCTAATAACAACACCTGCACCAAACACCATCTGACATTGAATAAAAGACAAAACTATCTTCACATATGAATAGCCCGATGGATTCTGAAGACTTTTTATAACTCAGTTCAGTAATTCTGATAAATCGAATTTTTCGTTCCTGTGGTACCCCTCAGATATTCGAAAAACTTCTTTTTTTGTTTATTCTATTTGTTTTCTTTATGCATCGATAGAAAAAGGCGCGCTGATCACGAATGTGATGTCTTTTTTAACGTCATTGGCAAGATAACAGACATCCAAGGCAACTAGATATGACTAAAAAATCAGTTTTTCATAGGTAACATTCATTGGATTCATCGAGCACTGTCAAAAAAATACATTCATTCGACACGGAATTATTTTCTCTACTAGAATATATAATAGATTTTCTTATGCAAAGACAATTTAAAATTTTTCACGGCGGGATACCGACCCCAATGGTCATGCACTCGAAAATAGTGCTTTTTCGTACCCAATGGAACTCCACGTATTACAGTCAATCATGAAGATTTTTACACCAAATGTGGAACTGAGTTAGAGCTGTCGAATGAGGCCACGCTGGTTGTTTTTGCTGACTCCTTCTCGAACTATTCCATATACAATAGGATCCGAATATTTGTGTCGTTCAATGCTACGTGAGTACTAAAATTTTGCAAAGAAACGATTCGCAGTAGAAAGAAAGCATTGAGTTACACACATTTGGTGTAAGAATCTGCCCCATTGACGAGAAGATCCGCGTAAGTGGAGGCGCGTGATGTTGCCAGTTGGAAATAAAGCAGTTAAACGAAGAGGTGGCGTGTACAATCGTATAGACTTCTAATAAAATACATAATCTCCCAGTGTGACGTTGGGAATTATTTTTCATGGTTTTGGATAAAATCTTAAATGTTTTTTTTACTTGAGATCAAGGAGCAGTGGATTCAGTGAAATATCTGTTAGGGTTGCGTTGGTCATTTAGAAGCTATTCATGTTTTTTTGGGAAAACTGTTAGATAAGTGCTTCAGGTGGATACATGAGAAGAACCTTTTAGGTTTCGCCGGTTTTACTGAATTTATTTTAATTGCATTTCTTACTCATTTTCTTTATACACTCTAGGGGAAAAGGTTTCGTAGGTGTCTAAAAGCTTCCAAATACGTTCAAAGGCTTGAAAATACGATTGTTACAATCTAGGAAAGCTTAAAAGGATCTGATCGCTGGCACACGGTCCGAACCTTCTCCTACGACACCAAAAGGTTCAATAGGAAACTATAAAGGTTTCGTTGATTGTAGCAATCGTATTTTCAACCTTTTGAACGCATTTGGAAGCTTTTAGAGACCTACGGAGCCTTTTTGGAGGGCTCCGTGAAATTTCGTTTTTTTAAGAGTGTAGTGTACTAAATTGTATACTCATCATTTGGGTCTATTTTCCAAATTAGCTTTTGCAATATATTTTTTAATTTCTTATTCGTCAGGTGCTGTGTGAACTTTCATGAAATATAGATGAGTAGTCCTTATTAGAAAATATTTTACTATTCTTTTATCGGATTCTCTGATGTCCTATAGGAATTCCGTGGATCTGATCAGAACCGAATGTAGGAGATCTCTTGGGATTATAAGTGTTGGAACACGACGATATCCGAATGTTTCTTATGAGAATTTTGTTGGAATCTAACTCGTCGGACCCTACTGCATTCATCTGTAAGAAATCACGGGATTCTTCTCGGCTTCCGACTCTCGGATACGACAAGTTGTAGGTGATAGTTTCCGTTCGCATGCATTCAGTAAGATTCCGACACTAAGGATCCGACTGTTGGTCCTGAACCCATATTCCGATGATATCCCTATAGGATTCTAATGAAATCCGATGGTATCATACAGGAATTCTATTGGATCGGATCGGATCCTAGTGTCGGATTGAATTTACTGAGTAACCCGTCGACGACAGATCGTTTTCTTGGATCAGGGCAATTGATCAATGCGGAGTTGAAGTCTTTTGTTAATCAATTGATTTAATTGCAGTCAAACAACGACTCGTCAGACGTCAAGCCTTGCTTCCATTTTCTATGTAACTCATGGAGTTGAGAATCAACTTCATTTTTATTATCCTGTGAAGTAGAAAAAAATAATTAGTTAGAGATAATATCACTATAAAACTATCGGGAATTCATTGAATAAGTATAACTCTTTCAGCCATTGTATTTTTATGGTTTTTTTTCCAAATGAATGAATAGATGAACAATTTAGGATCGAAATGGTTGACGAGCAAAAAAAGGACAAAAATACTAATCTAGTTTAAAGTTGGTCGTCCGTCAACCATACTTATTTTCTTCGGAGGACAAAAACAGTTGGGTCGTCCGACATGATCGATGAACAACAAATACATATCTTCATATGGAACGTTTAGTTTTTTTTTATTCAACCTTTTAGGTAACGATATACGACGAGAAAAAGTATACATGAATAATAATATCTCATCTGCTTTCTGTACCGAAGAATTAGTTTCTCTAGCAAATTTAGAAATATTGAAAAAGCAAACATCATCATTAGGGACAAAATATTGAAATTAATATATATTTAAGTAAGTAAATCATTGTGAGACTAACTGCTAAATATTCATACGATAGATTGACATATTTCGGGGTTAATAATTCGGTCAATTGATGTAAAATACATGTTGTTGTAGGAAATAATCAAAATAAAGAGAAAAAGTTCCCGCTGCCTCTATATATGCAAATTTAAGCCCCCTCCCTCACAATCCACTTGTCACTTGGAGCGATCCGTTTGGGCTGAAAGTTACAGGAGTGTGTGATCCTAGTGAGAAACGTGTGTGGTAAAAGTCTCAGCTTAATACACCTAACCAGACTAGACTTACGACTTGTTTTATAGCTTTCACGAGAATCGAAATAGCTTCATGGCTGTGAAAGTTATCGAAGTCTAGTAGATTTCAAATTAAAGCTAGCCTCCATACGCAACGTTTCATGGGGCGTAATTTTGAAATTCGCTTCTATTCATTTTTTACAATCATTTTATATGATATGACTGTCAAATCAGGTACAAAAAGCGCAGTAAATCGGACTTTTCTTAGTTCAGGAATCTAGTATCAAAAATCCGTCCGATGAAAAGTTAGGCCTCGTTGAGATCTTTTAAATGAAATAAAAACATCAGGCAAAGCTTGAGCGAAGCCAGAGCTATTTCAGCATTACTGTTGGAAAACCATGTTTTGAGAAACCTCCGAAATAAAAAATAGGTGTTCACCTAAAAGAACTGTGGTAGTAGGTTTGGAGAAATGATTTCGAAAGTGTTGTTTAACCTGGATGTTTTTTAAAAGCTTCTTTATATTTGGATAGAAGCGAGTTGGATGCATCTTCCCATAGTAAAAAACCCATTTCCGTTTTTCTGTAAAAAGTCAACTTTTGTCAGGGGGGGGGGGAGTGGTCCCTTAATTAGAATACATTACTTTTAATCTGGAAGGAGAAAATATTTTGTCCAACCTTCTCTTCATAGTCATATGATCGATTTCATTACACATTAAGTTCTTGTTTGCCCTATATATTCAGAATAAGCATTTCTGTAGTACTGTGAATGCTGTAGACAGTTGCTTACCCTGAGAGTATTATTAGAATCAATTTGTCGTAGTCATTTCATAACGTGAATTCTTTATGTCATACAACATTATAGAATAAGATCGAAAAAACTCGACTCTGCAGGGCTCTAGTAGAGGAGTACTTCACATGGAGGCATACTAGTAAACTATTGACTAAAAGATCACTAGATCCTCTAATTTGCGTTGGTTAGATAATATTTTTTACGCCTAATACGATATCGATTTAGCAAAAGCTATATTGCCAACACACGAAATCTCACTTAGTTGCAAATGTCTTGTTTTGATAGAAATAATTTAGAATTCGTGATATAGCTCCAGTCGTTGATACTAACTGAAGCAAGAATATATCTCAAACAGTAGAATTATCAAAAATAAGACAGACAAATATGTTAAAATTTTTGTAGTTTTTGTTTGAAATTTCCCTAATTTAGAGAATCTAATCGTATACTAAGGAGATAGATATTCTTGACAATACATTCACATAGTACGCTCTACATATTTGTTAGATTTAGAATTCAAATTCCAAAAGCTATGAAAATCTAATAAAAGAAAAATATATACTTAATTTTGATTTTAATTGTTGTATAGTATTCATGGAATCATTTACTGGGACTCGAAAGTGAGCAAAATAATCATGGTTATAGGAATGATAGAGAATGTACTGTAAAGGCATGTATTTCATATGACCACTTTCGATGGAGTAACTCAACTTGAAAAGTAGAAAGCAGTTATAGTCTATCAAAGGCAAGTGACAACGAATTATTTGCTAGATCATCTAAATTGTATTCTATTAGTTGACTAAAAAGTGTTTTTGTTGTGTACAATTAAGTAAAATTTTCAAAAATAAGATAAATACAATAAAATAAATAAAAACAAAATAATTCATTTAGATTTTCTTTAAATATTCGAATAGACTCTAAAGAAACAAAAAGAATAGGTTAAATAGATATGAGAAAGATGAATAATTTTAGCTTACAGCTACACTTGTATTTGATGCAACTTCGTCTCGATCATCGTCAAGTACTGATGAAATGGATTGTTCAAGAGTATGAACATGATCAATAGCTGCTTTTTTTGGACTAAGCCGAAGAACTTTTTTTGGTGTTGATGTTAAATCATTTGCAGCTGGTGGTGGTAACATACGTTTTTCACTAAAGATTAAACAGAAAAGTTTTTTTTTTCGGTAACTAGCCTCTTGACTCGATCTACCGTGGATTTATTTTTGTTTGTTGACTAGTTGATGGTGGTAATGGTGGTCGAATAGGAGTAGCTGATTTTTGTTGAGTTGCCAATGGATGATTTATGTTTGTTCGACGTATATTTGTCGGTCGTGATGGAAGTGATGATTGAGAATGCACGGATCCTTGTTCGAGACGTTTGATCTTTGCATCCTAAAGGAGAATCAATAGTTAATTTGATTGAAAGATTTAAAAAGTATCAAACCTTTTCACCCATTGACGAACGTAATGATGTAAGTAAATTTTGATTTTTTGAAAGTCGTTCTTCAAGTAATGTCTTAACAAAAAGAAAAGAAAAAAACTTCATCGTTATTATATATTCATTTTTGTAGAACTTATATTTTGCCGCTGCGCCGTCATACTATCGCAAAAAAGATTAAATATCATAGAGCAATCCACACAGAGAAACTCTCAACGCATATCTATTAGGCACATTTTGATCAGTTGTTCTGAGACGGTTTGAGCTTACGACTTTTTTTTGTAATTCTTCAATTTCTTTTTCTTTTTCACCAATTTCAATATTAGTTGCTTCAACAATAACATCCTTTTGTTTCATTTGTTCATCCTAAAAAGCAAATTTATCAATCAAACGAGAAAAAATCAGCAAGTCTCTTACTGTTTCCTGAAGTAAGAGATGATTTTGCGTTCTCAAGTCTTCATTTTCTTTTGTTAATTGTGCAATTTCTTCTTCAGTAAGTTCCTAAACAAGTCCATAAAAAATGAAAGCTGAATGAAATTTTGTATTTAAAATCAAACCATTTTTTCTACTAATTCATTATGTTTATTTTCCAAGTCATGAATAAGTTTTTCTTTTTCAGTCATTTCAACATTTTGTTGTTCGAATCGATTATCGTGTTCAATCTATAAAATTCAAGATGTACAACTTTAGTCTTCTGTTTTATTGAAAAATCTTTTTATACCGATTGTTTCGCATAGTCGCTGATTTGTTGATGAAATTGTTCACATGTTTCTTCTAATTGTTTTCGTAAGTTCAGATTCATTTCATTGATTTCATTTAATGAGACTTGATTTTTTTCTTTTAATTCTTCGATTTCATTATCACGAGTTACCTTTGATATATAAGAAAATAATATTTTAAAATATTTAAATCGTTTTTTACCATTTCTTCAATTAATTGATTAGTTTTTATTTGCAATTGTTCATTCTCTTTTTCTCGAATATCAATTTCAACTTGACGAGCTTGCATTTCTGTTTGATGATATTCTGTATGTTCAACCTAAGAATTTGATGAATTTTAGAAAGTGTTTGGTTAAATAAAATCCGTTTGATATAGAGCTACTAGTAACATTGTTAATTTTAAGGAAAGATCAGCTCAGCGACTTCTGTATTTGCATATTAGAATTATTCTATTCCCCCCCCTCCCTCCTCCTCCTCCTCCTCCCATCTCATAGAGCTTACGAATGTGTTATAGCAACCGTCTAAATTCAATCAGAAAGAGACTTAGGATCGAAGATCTTTGCATCACACGTAAATAGAATTAGTTACTGATTTTTGTTTCATTTCATCGATTTGAGTTTGTAGAGTTGTATTTAATTCTTGTAAATTAAATATTTCGTCTTTACCAGCATCCTGAAGAATAACGAATATAAAAGTATAAACGAAAAAATGAAATTTCATACGAACAATTTTCAATGCTAATGCATCAATACGTTTTTGTAAATCTTCAATTTGTTGATTTTTCGCAGTAAGTGCTGTATTATTTTCAATTGATATTAATTCAATCATTTGTTGATATTTATTCTAAATAGAATAAATAGTTAAAGAATTAATTTGAAATCTACTCAACTATTTCTTCTGCTAATTCGATGATCTTTGAATTTGCATTTGTATTTATTGATTGTAATTGATTGATTTCATTTGTAGCTGTGGCCTTTGAAAAAAAAATTTCCTAGTATAAAATAAGAAGATTTCTCTTACCAGTTTTGTAGTTAATTCCCAAATATGAGATGTTGTTTCAGCATTTTCTTGTGTTCGTTCATGGATTTGTTTGTTTAGTTCAATACGAGCTTGTTCGTGAAGTTGCTCAACTAATTTCAATTGTAATTGTACTAAAAATAAAAAGCAAATCGTCGAACAAGAAACTTCAAAACGTTTTTATTCAGTATACAATTTTTTAATTTAGTTTCAATAGTTGAATTAACATCATCAGCAAGTGATTTTACAGTACGTTCTTGATGTTCATACATTCGTTCGAGATCAACACGTACAAATTCACCTAAATTTAGAATATTAAACATAGAGAAAATCAAAGACTATCAGCTAAGATACTTTGGTATCGTATCATCAATTCAAAGTTCAAGATACTTACATTGTGAAACAGCTTTTTCTAATTTTGCTACATTTTTCTTCAGTATTTGATGAAGTTCTTCAAGTTTAGTTACTCTAGAAATCATAAATAAAACAGATATTGTCTATCGCGTGAAGAAGTTTGAATCATGACACACTTTTTTTCTAGTGATACTTCATTTTGTTTCAGTGAATTAATTGTCATTGTTTGTTGTTCAATTTGTACCTAAAGATTTGCTAAATAAATGAAATTTTCATTGGAAGTACTTTGACATACAACTGAATCATTGAGTGATTGTGCTTGTCGTTGGTTAATTAGTTGAAGTTTTTGTAATTCTGCATTCTAAATTAGTTCATATTAAATAGAGAACAAGATAAAAAAATTGATACTAACTTTTTCATTCATTGCAGAATCATACATTTGACGCCAACGTTTAAGTCCACTGAGTTCTTCATTCAATCGATTTGTTGTATATGAAGTCATTGCAAGAAGAGTCGGTGTTGATGCACCGGACATCCGATCGACTGATGATGAAGACATTTTTGGTATTAATGAAAATTTGAAAAAATTCGATAACCCGCCTAGAATTTTCAGTCCTCCATTAGGGTACGGAACATGACTTTCAATATCTGTTTTAATAAAAAAAAGTACACTAAATGATTTTTTTTCTTAAAAAGCACATTTTTTTTATCGAAAAATTGAAAAAAATAGGTACAGATGTCACTAGAATATCACATGATGATTCATTTCCTTATTGTTGTTCGTTGTCGTCCAGGCTGGTTGAAAAATCGACTAGTTTTTCTCTTGAGTATATTCTACTTGGTCTCAATCAATTTTTTGTTTTTAATACTATTACTAAAATGAATTCTAATTTAATTACTACTAGTAATGGTAGCCCAGCCTGTGATGATCATAAAATAGCCAATGAGCTTACAACAATTCAAATAATAATATTAAGCAGTTAATCATTATGTTTGTTTTGTTTCGTTTTTGCAGTTAGTTTAGTATCAGTTAATGGAAAGAACACAAGAAATGATATAAATGATTTAGTACAAGGTAGAATTTTTCTAGGTGGTGGGCTGTTTTATAATGAATTTTGTTTTCAAACTGTTAGGTTTAACCAGTCAGCTCGTAAAAATGGGAAAGCCAATTTATAATTCTATTGCTAAATAGATAACAATATGAATGAAATGAATCTATTGTTTCAGATATAACAAAAAAGAAAACAATGTCCACTACTACTACTCTTGAGCCAAAGAAAGAATCATTGGGTATAACTGCTGCTCTCATTCTCAGTCTTGTAGGATTGACGGTGAGTGACGAAAAATTAAATAGGTATTTTTCGAACCTCTTTTATTTTATGTTAATCAGCTTCTTCTTGTCATTGCTATTCTGATCAAACGAGAAATTCGTCGAGGAAATGTTAAATCTAAACGTGACGGACACTTTTGGTCTTGTAAATTTTTTCGAAAAGTAAGTTTTAAATCTCATGTTATCATTACCTCATTTATTTTCTTCTTCAGTATACTCAATCTAAGTTACCTACAGATGGAAAAATCTCAGCAAAAGTTCGACCTCAATGGCTTCTTGTTGGCCATCATGAATTACCAGAACGTTTTTATACAAAAGATGGTAAAAATATACATCCTCCTTTTCCCTCCTACCATTCATTTTTCTTTGTTTCCTATTTTAGAATGCCCACAATATATTGCTCGAATGTTTACAATTGATCTTTATACTGTTTTACGTAAATAAAGTGTTAAAAAAAAACATGCAATAATTCATTTCTCAGTTCTATATTTAGAACATACATGCCGAGAAACATTTTCTGATATAGATACAAATTCAGCATTTGAATCCTATTTAATTAATAATTATCCAACATTAAATGATACAATTCATTCATTCCGGCGTCTTAAAATTCGAGCAGAAGTCGATTTAGTTGTATGCATTTCTATTTTCATACATAAGATATACAGAATTTTATCGTTGATGTGTATTTCAGCCATTCACGATCGACGAAACAAAAAATGGAATTAGACTATTTAATCAATTATTACAGAAGTAAAATTTTTTTTCAATTTTTTTTTATTAATAAATCATTGATTTTATTAGATTATCTGAATATGTTAATAATCCTTATCTTCGTCAACGTCAAATAACTCTACCATTTGCTATTCAAAATGAAGAACAAGAAATAAAAATGAGTTCAAAATATATTCCATTATTACCAAAAGATTTATGCCAAATACCATTACGACCCAACGATAATGATTCGTTAGGAAATATGAATAAAAGATCACGTTCAAAAGGTCGTTTTCCTTTTCATTTACCATCATTTTTAAATAAACGTAGATTCTTTTCGACGAAATCATCATCGGGATCAGCACAAGCATCAAAAACTCGAAATGGTAATTTTCCTTTAACTGATAGTTTCAAATAGAAAACAATTTATTTCACAGAGTCTTTGGTGAATAACGAAAGTTCAGTTGAAGACAGTGATCATAACAATCCTTCAGTTGATAATACAACGACGAAAACAAGCCGCCAAAGATTCAAACGACCAACTGCTACAGATGTTGTGCCTTTAGTAGAATTTCATGATGCACTGTCACAGTCGGCAACATTCAGTTCAGACATGGAACCACATTCATAAGAATATTGATCTCCTGTCTTGTACAAATTTATCCATTTTTATATAAATCGGACAGAAATCTTCTTGTCTGAATGAATATCTTGATGATCAAATTGATTTTTATCGAACTTGAGTTAACGTTCATTTGAGAAATCGTTGGAATATTCTATTGATAGTAAAAATTGGAATTTGTTAGATCATTTCGGGATCTGAGAGTACGGTACTGTTCTTGCCTTCACACACATACACCCTCAATAGTGATCAGAACAATGACGAAATAGGTACTTGATGTTTAACTATTTAGTTAAACACATTCTATAATTTAAAGTATTTTCTTGTTTGAAAAAAAGAAACAAACATATAAAAACAGACTTTTCGTGATATCAATTAATTTGATAGAATCAAGCACCATGAGAAATAAATATATATTAGGCTCTTGTCTTACTTATATATGATAGAAAATATATAAATACAATTAAAGAAGAAGAAGAACAGAAGGGTTTTACAAACACACTCTTTAGATCAAGAAAATGATTTTCTTTTTTTTCTGTTTCAAATAATTGACTAGAATATATCAGATGTGAACTCATTATTGTTTTGTCTTGAAATAGAATGTACCAAGAAAGGAAAGTAACAATCGATAGAAGAAGAAAAAAAGAATCGCCAATTATTCTGATGACAGAACAAGCTCTGGATATTGATTCTTTGATCCGTAAATCATGTTGATGTTGGATCAGCTACATTTATATCGAATTCAGCAGCTACTTGATCTATGTTGAAAATCTATTGAGACGGTGTATTAACATGAGCAGTATCATTATCAGTTGTTTCATTGGTAGTTAATGTTTTTCTTTTGATCTTTTCTTTTGTTAAATCATGTCGTTTGGCATTACGTCGATTATGAACACCATTCTCTTTGTCCATCATATCTTCTAAAGTTCCATGATCAACTCTCATTGATATTGGCGCAATACTTATATCTCGTACAGCACGAAATTCTCCACAATTATTTAAATGTTCGTTTTCTAAACGAAAATAATTCCATATAAAACGACGAAAAACTTCAATTAAACCAAATATGAAACCAATTACATCGGCATATTCAGCGGATCGTGTACGAAAATGCATAAAGACATTTATAATCCATATATAACGAAAAGTAACATCCTGTATAATACCTGCATAATAATAAAATTTCGACGGATAAACAATTTGTTCACGAAGAAATTTATTTTCATTATCATTTGCATCGAAAAATCCCCAATCCATTTTTAAATCCCATATTAATTTATATGTCGCACCTATAAATGATGCAATAATCCAAACATATAGAAATGGATTTGCTGTTGGATCATTAAGAAAATGTATGGTTGTTGCACGACGTACAGAATTTGTACTTATAACAAGAAATCCAGTTGCATATTTTCCAGCATTAGCTAAATGAGGAAATTTTTGTTTTGTATCACGATATCGTCTTAAACATTGAGCAAAACGAAACCATGATGGTAAAATCATTAATATTGTTTGTAAAACTATTTGAAGCCAACCATTACAAAGTGCACTACGAGTTGGCGATAAAGAATAAACCGGCCACCATCCAACATCATAGATGTAAAAACAAAAAAAATATTCTATATCAAAAAATATTAATTCTAATGATGTCAATTGATCGCCTAGCCAAAAGTCAGCAAAACCAACACGATAAAACGGTGCACAAATTACTCGATATAATGTTTTTAAAAACCAGAAACGTGCATGATGATAAAGTGTCGGCGTTGGATTAAATAGCAAAAGAAGTATCAATGTAACAAAACCAAGTGGGTGAACAAATGGATGAAAATCATAATAAGACGAAAGAATAAATCCAGTAAAACTTAAAAACCAAAGAACAAATAAAAATGTACCGATTTCAAGAAATTGTTGATAAGTTAAATGATTTCGTGGATCGATTTCAAATATAAGTACATGATTAACACCAGATGCTGACCAACCATAAACATTTATACCAACTAGAACAATATGTAAAACAACAAGAAATGTTGAACGATATAAAAATAATGCTTGTCGCCAAGCTAATGGTTTCGTTGATTGACTATCGTGAAGATGTGTACTGAGTACAATAACGGTGGGAAGTAGTAAACAAAGCATTCCTATAAAAAATACGTAGTCTGGGTTTTATTTGTTCCTAGAGAAATTCTTACCAACAAAAATTCCAACACGAAATGTAACGGCTGGTGATTGCTTCTCTTCGAGTGGTGGTACACGTAAACGTTTCATTGCACGAGCTCGATCACCCGATTCGAATGTATCAGTATACACCATTTCAACATCGCTAATTAATTGATCAACACGTTGCGATATATGGTATGGTGCAGAATCAATATGTAATTTTCTAAAGATCAATAGCAAATAATTATAATCCCCCCCCCCCCCCGCGTTTGTTTTATCATGAATTCTTACCGCCATTCTTCACCGCGAGTTGTTTGAAATAATTTATCATGTTTTTTCAATATTTTACGAAAACCCGTAAAATTAAGTGTTTGATAATTTTGTAATAGAACAAGCATTAAATAAAATTCACTGAAAGCTAATTTTAAATCAGTTCGTTTTCGATATTGAACACGTTGTGAATGTTTTTCACGAGTTTTTTCAAGTAAACCTTCAGGTAGTACCCGTGTCAATGATACCGTTAAATGATCGTCTTCGCTATGACCAGAACGACGTTTTAATTTTGTTGATGTGCCACCATCTGTATTAGTAGCACCAATATTTGGATCATTGGAACGGGCACTACCCGAAGATGTTACTATTGAACGATGAAGTGTAGACCGATGTGCTTGTTCCATTTGCATAACTTCATATTTCAATGTTTCCCATCTTCTGGATGCTCTAAAGAAAATATTTTTAATTTTTTACATACTAGGTCTAGGACTTAACATCGGTTTTAATGGTAGACATTTAACGTCAAATAAGAATTCATTTTTATACATTTGTCTTCTAACAAAATATTTAGTTGGTATAAGTTTTGGCCCCTACATGACTCTTTCCAAACAATATGATTTTGTTCACGCGCATTGAGTAAACTAGTTTTTATTATTTCGTACAATATCAACAAGAATGATAAAAGAGTAAAACGTCTTCTTATACAATGAATAATCAAATAAGAGAATAAAAAATGTACTCATCACAAATAGACGACCATTAATATATTAATTGCAATGTCAACAGTATGAAAAAAGCACTTAACACATAGTACATCTTCTGATGACGTTCAAAAAAGAATAGTTAAACATAGAATATTGCCTATTTTTCTTTCACTGTTCACGTTATGTTGAGGACCAACATATTTGAATTCATATTAGATAACAAATGCACTCAGTCTATGCACGGCAATAACTGTATTTGTACAAAACACTTTTAACTTACTCAGCAAGTTTTTCTGCGAAAAATGTATTGATTTTTGTTGCTTCCTTTTCACAATACTGAATAATAAAGAAAAAAACAACGACAACAGGAATTAATGAAATGTTCATTGAATTATCTTACTTGAAAGAAATGTTCATCGACACGTAGAAAAAATTGTTCACGCAACAACTTATCATTTTCATCGACGAATGGCTGTGCTTTCACAATAGCTTGAGCAAGTAACTCTTTCATTTCATCATATCGAATATATTGTGAATTCCATTCTGGTGTTACATGTGCTGATAAATGTTCGGCAAATTTCATTTTTTGTTCTTTAGTAAAAAATACTTAATTGAACACAATTGCATAGGCGAGATAATGATTACTACAATATAATATTTAAAAAATCAGATCGTCGAATAAACACGTTCTGTCATCACCAGTTAGGAAGGTCTATTTGCCCCGAGAGCAAAACATACTCTGAAGGTTTATTTAATCGGTTACTTTTTTTATTCATTCTTTCAAAGAAATAAGTATCAAACTTACCCGATTTGTAATTTTAGTCACTTGTACTCTCTATCTCTAAAAACATGCGTATACAATCGAATAGAGCAACGAAAAGAAAAAAAATGCGAACGTGTAACAAGAGAGAAAAATGTCGAATAGGAAAGTGAGAAGAAAGAGACATTTGCGTGCACGTGCATATGTTAACCTTCGCTTAAATATTTTTATTTCTTTAATTTACGATTGATAATTGAAAATATTTATTAATTAAAATGTTTTCTAACCAATGCGCTTGCAACTGAAACAGTGATGAATTAAATGAATCAATGAAGCAGAAAAAGATTTTTAATGAAACGAATATGAAAACAAGTATGATTTTAACCATGTATACCTTTTTGTCGAACGATAAATGTCAATTGTTTTATCTTGAAGATTTATATCTGAAAATCAAGAAAAAAAATTGTGTTGAATGAACCGGTCGATTATACTAGCAAAAGGACAGAGAATATGAAAGATAAAATGTCGTTGATAGAAGTTATAATAGAATAATCAATGCATAGCAATTAACTACAAATTGACATTTTATAAATCATACGTATATTATTAGGGAAAAAACATTTTCTTTGTAATAATGCTTTCTATCAGTATAATTATTCTTACAAATTTGAAGGTAGATAATCTAAAGAATCTTCTTCAGTACGTAGAAGTAATAGAGCAAACTTAAGATGAATAATTCTCTTTAGAAATTTTACTAAATTGTAACTGTCATTCTTTTGAAAAATGGTATAGCAAACAGATGTTCAAAGAAATGTATACGTGATCACTTAAGTATTGTTTTTACAAAATTTCAGTTGAAGAAATTGTTTTCTTTTCTTGACGAAGAAACGTAGGTAGAAAAATATACTATGTCGATATTATGAGGATAGAAAGCGAGAAATGGTCGTTTAATCATTACTATTGAACTCAATTATGTTTAATAATATATCGTGACTGAATTATTAATTGTTTATATTTCTATTTTGTTCATCTCTGCGTTTTAGTCAATTGTTATTTGCACTTGCAAGTCCATTACTATTGAAAAGTCCCTCATTCTTTGAATTCCCATACATATATATGATCGTATTAGAGATAGAACTTGATCTATGCGCTGCAATCAGGCCATTTCATTCGATGACAATGTTCTATGTCCAAAAAGAGAATGTTTTTGTTTTTTTCTTGATATCCAGCTACTTGATTAAATCGATAATTGTTTCGCTTAGTGATGTCATTCCTGTATGCATGACCTTCCTATGTTCTATTTACATTTAATTATCTTTATCATATCAGAATAATAAGAAAGGATACACAATCTACGATCGATAATCAAATGAAAGTTCTACACATATGATGTCAATCTATTTTAGAATTCATTGTACAAAACGTTTTTTCAACCATGAAGTACTAGCCTATCGTTCAAACCATCATTCTCTAACGATTGTTCACAATCAGATTAAGAGGATCTGGTTTTAGTTCGAACTAGTTTTCTTCATCAAAATATGAACAACTCATACGTCTTTCTATCGGGTTAGAAGTCAATAATAGGAAATAAAACAAGTGATCAACTGCGCCCGTTCGATATGTGTTTGTTATTTTACAAAAAACAAATTCATAGAAAATAGAGCTCAACATGGGAGCCCCAATGAAAGGGGCGCGGCTTCTTGTGTCCACAAGTTGTGTTGTTTGAGTATTTTATTCACGTTGAAATAAACAAATACTAATACAAATTAGCTTACATCTATAACAATACTTAATCAAGGAGATTTACTCATTTATGAGCATTGCAATGGACAATACATTACAAATTGACTCTTTATAATGACTTAAAATTCACACATGGAATTTGAAATTAAATTAAACTTTTTTTAAGTATTCAAATTTTAACTTTTTCAAAATAAAATCGTATTCGGTTGTACTAATCAAACTAATTCATCTCTTTTTAACTTGTTCTTATCATCTAAATAATTTTGCAAGAAAAGTTTTTCTTTTCTTTTATTTTTGTACATATAATCAATACAAAAAAAAACAGAAAATTCCATTGGTTAACAAAGCTCCACTAATATTTCTGGTCAGATCCTTCTTCATTGTATTATGTGTCTATATGTAGTGGAGCAATGGCGGAGCCAGGGAGGGACTGAACCATCCTCCTAGCGAAATTTTGAAGGATGCACTTTTTTATATATAAAGTTGTATTAGTCTTTGCAGTTAAATATTTTAATGCTTAAATTATTGTGTGAAGTTCGTAGTTGTCTCGGAAGAAAATAAAATACTGTAAATGTAATTTTCAATCACGTTCTATCTATATATATCCTTCCAAAACCTAACTGTGATTGCAACATTTTTTTATATACAATTTTGTTCATTACCGCTCAATCAGAGCATCAATGTAAAAATGCCGTAACATTAGATATTGTGATTTCGTAGTCATAATATCCATCGAATTCTTTTTGCAGTATTACCCCTAGCGTATCGACTTCGATATCCTAGGAGAAATACACCGAAACCACTCAAATTCCAATGAGATGTTGAATTCGAACTTGAATATAAATGAAGCTTAAACTGTACAATATCACTTCGAAAAAAATTCAGCCACACATGTGGCTACGGCAAAAAAGAAAGCATATAAGTGTATGTGAATTGTACTTTATATAATTCAAATTTACACATGCATATAAGTAAGCCAAAACTACATAGCATCAATTAAGATTCCTAGAAGCATGTCACGGACTACTGAGAATGCAAAACACTGGCGTTCCGGGACGTGTACCCGAGCTACTAGATGCTATATGGCGACTCCTGCAACTATGCGTCGTCTTATTACAAACTTTACATAAACAACTTATCTGAGAGGCTAACGCATACTTCAGAGAGACTCAGGGATGATTCAGCCTAACTGAGGTATGCTGCGAGAGAGTATGGGTAAAAGTTTGGATTTAAGCGACCCACCCACACCCACATCCTTGACGCTTGAAACAATCAATGATATCAAATTTAGTCTAATGTAAAAATTACGTCAGTGATATTTTAAATTAACTAGATCAAAATCCTATTTGTTTTCTCTAGTTGATTTAATTTCGTTCATTTACTTGAAAAATTGATTCAACCAAGGGAGAAACAGCGATTTCTGATTTTTGGTGATTTTATCTGATTTGGAATGAGTTTTAAAAAAATAAAACTTTCCCGACATGAGTGCAAATCGTTTGCAATCATTAAAAAACACGCTCAAAGTCGATTGATTTACGATGAATTTTAACTGATTTAGAGATGATTTTAATCAGCTGTTTTCTCGTTGGATTCAACTATTCCGTTATCTAATATGTTTGAATCTTATGTATGATATTGTTCAGTAATTGTTAATACTTGATACTTTGTAGTAACATTGACTGATTGAATCAATCAATATCTGTGTTCTTCCGTAACAGACGGTAATATTGCCATAACACTTCTCATTTTTTATTTGTGAATAACATATGAAGAAAATTATTACGAAAAACGGTCATTCGAAATTTCATTTTTCTTGAAATATTCTCTTGCATTTGAAAATTAAATTTATGTAAGAAAAAGTGTACACATAGGCAATATTTACCGTTAATTTTATATATTTCTCTAGCAAGTTTTTTAATGGAAGAAAATAATAATCAACTGCACAAATTATGTGCTTGTTATGACTTTTATTTAATAACAAATCCTAGAGAATGTACTACATGAAAAAGAAGACAGGAACAACATGAACACACAAAAAAAATGTAAGAATGATTTAGTTCCACATGAAACATCGTTCTTCGATGAATATACAAATACAGGTTCAGCAACACAAGATCTGAACGCTACATCAATATCATATTTATTTAAATGAGCACAACTTCTATATATTTTCTTTAAATATTGGTGGTAGATAACGATTTAAAAATTTAAATAAATCCATCAATTGATCATCGTTCATTGTTATTTGTACGAGACCAAGACATGAATGGCGAGCATGTTTCATTAGATGATGAACACGATTCGTATCTTGATTAATCATAGAAAATATACGAACATATAATTCTTCGAAGTTGCCAGACCCTATTCAAAATAACGAAAACTATTATTATTAAAAGAAAAAGAAAAGCAACTAATACATTACCCATATGAGAACAATAATGTTTTCTCAGGAATTCTTTGCAGAGAAAGCTACGTCGTTCGGACACTGTTCTAGTTGCTTGATCTTCCAATTTTGTTTGTATAACTTTGTTATTGTTAGCCGTTTGCTGTGAATCTGAACGTGTTGTGTTTGAATGAAGATGAAAATGTGCTTCCGAAGAAGCAGATGAATTCATACTTTCAGAGTCATTTGAATCATATGACTTCATACTTTCAGAATCATTCGAATCAGATAAGAGAGAAGGTGGATCGTCATTCTGCTCATCAACGATTTCGTATGATGAAATTGACGTATCTAAAGAACCAGATAATAGAAAATGTAAAATAAGCACATCGGACAACACGTGAAACTTCAAAGCATACTTTTTTTCTCGAGCCCTGATTCATCATATTTGTAATTCACATTGTCTCTTGCTTCGATGTTAACATCTTCATGACTCTTATTTGATTTATTAATTTCTTTTACGACTTCTAAAAAAAATATAATTTTTATTAATATTCATTGAAAAAGTGAATTACCATTTTGACTACGATGCGTTCCAATAGGTTGTTTACAGCTTGCACATTGTCCACCATCATAAAGTAAATAATTTCCAAGAATGATTTCGATCGTAACTTTACATTTCATATCCTGAAAACAAACAGGTATTCTGAATACAGTAAGATTCAAAATGAACATTTTCACTTACTGTTATTGGCATTATTAGTTTTGGTGTTAATTATACCGAACTGAAGAAGAATCGTATCAAATTTTTATATTATAGCAGAAATGAATATGTGTATATAAATATGAGTGATATGAACAGTTGTTGACTAAGAGTCAATCTGAGAATTCCGTCTGATTTATATTAGATTTTTCAAAACAATAGGAACAATGCAACAATAAGAACGAGATAACAATAACTACTTAGGAGAACCAATCGTTGCATCTTTGAATCTTCATCAAGAAAGAAAATATAACAATAAAAAAAGTGCAAATATATTTCGCCATCTAACGTTTTAATCACAGTAAGAAGGGCGGCTTGCATTAAATCTTTTCAGTATTCTCCTGTTGATTTCATCTAATACACTTAAATGAAAAATAATTCAATTAGTTTCGAAAAAGTAGTATAATAAATTTCAGTGACAGAATGTTATATAAATCGAAAGAAATAATTAAAATAATTCGATCTCCTATTTTGGTCGAATACAAAATAGGAGAAAATAGATCGTGTTTTTCGAGATATAAGCATATAAGCAACATGGTTGCGTAGAGACCCAGGTCAGCGATTCCGGAGGACGGATACTGTAGGAACCGGCCGGAAAGATGCGGAAAAATCACCGTATCTGGCCGGAAAGCACGGGAAAGCGCTGGAAACTGGAAGCAGTATTCCAGTTGGAAGTTACCGGANTTTTCTGTGTTTTACATCTGGAAGTTGATCGGAATCTACAGGAAGAAAATCCGGTAACTTCCAACTGGAATACTGCTTCCACTTTCCAGCGCTTTCCTGTGCTTTCCGGCCGTTTCCCACCGTACGTCCACGACCTGGGGACGAATGCATCATACACCATCAATATTAGAATTGGACTCCTTACATGTTTGGTATTCAGAATGTCATATCTGATTGTCGTGTGTTTTAATGATTTGTAGTTCGTTTGGAAAAAGATCATTTTTTAAATAAAGAAGCGAATACGGTGGACTTGAAGTAGAAAAGTACTTCAAAGTATCACCGAAGTAGTCCGAAATAAGAACAAGTAGCATAGCAACTCTGATGTAACTTCAAGTAAATTTGAAGTCAAAACATTCTTTGAAGTACACACCTGAAAGTACCTCAAAGTAAAGTCAAGTTCAAACGTCTGCCGTTTCCCCCTTGTAAATAATTTATAATAGACATAATTGGCTTCGAACTATTTGAGTTGACCATGAGTCGAAGTAAGAAAATCAATAGAATTACGGAGTACGACAGGTATGCAATCAGCAATTAGATCATTAGTTAGTTCAGTCATATTTTCAGGTTCTTTGAATAGTGTTTCAAGTAAATATAATTTATCGATCAAATGAGTACGAAGTAGCCGTACTGCATTGAATATGATCTGACATTAGTCACTTTATCTTCATTAGAGAACTTTGAAATATTTGTAATAGAACTTTTGACGAACAAAATAGTCGTCTTTTGAGGATTCATTCAAGTAGATAGCAGTCACGAGAATAACGAATGATATCATATAAGGCGATGTAAGTTTCATCTCGTCTACTAACAGTTTCAAAATGATAATGATTCGAAAATAGAGTTTCTAACTGTTTTCGAAGAATATCACAACGAATAGTAAGATCATGATATTAGTCATGATGGTTATACCTTTTAATAATTTGATTATAAAAATGTTGAACGTCTATCAAGCAAAAAAATTGACAATCATCTTCAAGAACGCTGCTTATAACCAACGTTTTAAAAAATATGATACAATTTTTTTCTCTGGCTAATGGCTTATTCTCATTTACTACCACTCGACGAGCTCATAAACCTTGTAGATGAAATTAACCGATGGACTTGAAATATGATTAGTTTTTGGCAGTTGGTGGGGTTAGTTCCAGTAACTTTAAACGAGTCTCGTGGCAAAGGTCACACCAACCGGAACAGCATTGTAGATTGAAGGATGGCTCCGCGATTTTCTACTGGAAATTTTTCTTTGAGACGTATCTGTCGACAATTTGTGGTCCCGGACATATTGTCGACACAGGCGAAAGTGCTTGGACCAAGTGTCAATATAACAAAGGGTGAATATAAAACTCTTTCATAGTTAAAATATCTCTCTCTCCTCTCTTTTATAGTCGTTTTGTGAATGCTCATAGGTATTTGGTGGAATAGATCGTACTACTAGAGAATGCTTTGCTGTTCCTATGGAAAAGCGGACTGTCAATACTCTCCTACCAATCAGCCATGAGTTTATTTTACCAGGTACGACCATCCTCGGTGATCAATGGACTGTTTACAATAACATCTCGGGGCAGACCGAAATGGTTATCAGCATCAAACTGTTAATCATTTGTTACATTTTATTGATCCTGGAGCACATGTGCATGTGTATCAAAAGAAAGAAAACAGCAAATGGTCAATACAACAGTCTTCTTTCCATTTATTTGACATAATTCATGTGGCGAAAAAAGTTTGGTGATAGACCCCTAGAAAACCTTATTCGATGTATTCGTGACCTTTATTTTGCCGTTTGAGTTTTTTTAAAATAAAACAAAACTTGCTGTAAGCTAATATTTTCTCTCTATTCGTAATAGAGAGACATCTTTTGCATTTATCGCATGTTTATAGAGAGAATGTGTGCACCAATCAAAAATCTCCTTCGCTACTGATGATCACTGTAATGGAGTGTATGCGCATCGTCAGAAGTACAAAATAAACAAAAATTCATTTTTGGAAATCAACTTTGAAAATTGTTTTCGTCGTGTCAACATATTGTTCAATCGAATAAGGTGTGTACAATAGTGGAGAAAAATAGAGTCTTTAACAAAGACTCTTTGTCAATTATTATTTCATTGTTCTTTCACAATATTTCTATCGCACATGACACATAACTTTTCGATTATTCACATAGACACATTGTATCACGGAGCGATGGCCAGCAATGATAAGAATTTAAGTTTGGATGATGTTTGGGCAAAAGTATTAGTGGGTATTGAACGTATTTATCAATTTCAACAGATGTCACCTACAGAATATATGGTGCTTTACAGGTAGATAGTAATCGATTTTTGATTTGTTTTTGTTATACAATGTTTTTTCTTGTTTTATAGTCATGTTTATAATTTTTGTACAAATACTAATGCACAAGGATCTGCATCGAGAACAGTATCGAAATCTACGGGAAAGCCTGGTAGTAATAATCGAGTTAATGTAAATGAAGGAGCAAACATTGTTGGTGGTGCATTATATGAAGAATTAAAAAAACATTTAAAAGTTTATTTGGAAAAAATCTGCGGAGTAAGATCATAAGCATTTTTAGTTTGATAGATAACTATTTATATGTGGTTCTGTTGATTTGAAAATATTGACATTCTTACATGTAAAAGTAATAGAGAAAGTATTACGATTAATTACACCAGATTCTGATGAACCCTTTAAATATAGGTCATCAATTCACATGTGCTATTGTATTCTATGTTCATACAAGAGTATCATCGAATCAAAACAGAGCTTTGATGTTACAGAAAGATCTCATAAGAAAAGTTTCAATCAATAAAATAGAAGGTGGGATGTCAAATTACTTTTTGCTTAAAAATGTAGGATTCATAGTTGATTGTTTTAAATGACACATGATCTTAAATTGATTGAAAGAAAAATACCAATATCGATTTCATTCAATGCAAAACATGAAATGCATTGCTTTTTTTTGTTTTTCTTTAGAGTTCTCTACTTCCTAAACTATAAAATTTTTTATGACCAAATGTTTTTTTTTAATGATTTCAAGTAAAGAGACATTGTATAAAAGACGTAAGATTCTAAGGTTTTCTAAATTATAAAATTTGATGGAATGGAAATGAAACAGTGATAGAAAGAAAATGCCAAAAATTTGTTTGGTTTTCAATACAATGAATGATTCAGTTTATTAGTCATATGAAGGAAGTTTCACATGTTCTCGAATCATCATTTTCAAGCTGAAGAATTATCCATTTTGTATAGTATCAACAAAAATATTGCCAGGATATCATTTTAAATCAAACCACATCACTTCTTGTTTTATTTTATGATTTGAAGTTAATAGCAACTTGATTATCCTTCAGTACAAGCTGCTATCGTGAGATAATTTTCCTACAGCTATGACAAGCTGAAGCTCTGGGGCGAGGGCGTAAGTATAGGTCACAATGCAGTCAGTATACAAGATTATGATCTATCCAAGGTTATTCTATGTCTGATCACACCGAACTTCGAATAGATCATCTTGTGATGTATATGACATTAAGTTTTATTGTAAAATTATTCAATAATGAAAAACGAAAATTGATTATTGAACAGATCAAATTTTCAATCAGATGAGAGTAGAATAAAGTTGTCATCTGTTCTTTACACCGCTTTTTTTAGTTTGGCATGTAAGTCACTTCCCATAAATATAGTATGATTCATCGGTTCCTGTCACTCGCATACACGTATATTGTTAACCAATAAGAAAACTGTGCTAACGCATAAGCTATAAAGAAAAAACGAAATAACTAATAAAGGATATCATTTATTTCTATTGGAACCTCTACGTTTCTATATCGAATCCTAGCAACTAGATTATTGTTCTATGTATTCTTTTTTTATCACTTTAGAAAGGGCTCGATCTACAAGGCGAAAGCGTACTGCGTTTCTATACCGCAAACTGGGAACAATATCGATTTTCAAGTAAAGTAACAAATGGTTTTTGCCATTATCTAAATCGACATTGGGTACGACGAGAATATGATTCAGGACGAAAAGATATTTATGAAATTTTTACGGTAAATTAAATCAAATACTTTCTTATTTTCAAATTATTTATAAAAATCAACATTAATTTAGATGGCAATGGAAATATGGCAGTTGGTATTTTTTGATCCATTGAATAGACAAGTAACATTAGCATGTCTTCAATTGATCAAAGCTGAACGTCAAAATGAAGTCATCAATACCCGACTGATTAGTGGAGTTATACAAAGCTATGGTAAAGATTGATAGGAAAAAAAACTATCTTTTATTTTTCAAATCCATTTTAAATATGTCTAGTTGAACTTGGTTTCGCCGAGAACTCATCTCTACAAAGTTCAAATCAACAAATAACATCGCCGACATTGAAGATCTACAAAGATTTCTTTGAAGCACCATTTCTTCAAGATACAGAACAATTTTATCGTCTTGAAGCAGCTAGTTTTCTCGTGCATAATTCTGTTACTGAATATCTAAAAAAGGTTTCATCATTTTTCGAAAATCACTAACATACGTAACAGTATTCTCTAATAGGTAGCTCAACGTCTTGATGAAGAAGTTCATCGTGTACAATCCTATTTACATCCATCAACATTGGCAGCATTGATTAAAAAAGTTGAAGAAGTACTTATTCGTGATCAACTTGAAGTAATTTATACTGAAGCAAAGGCACTATTGCATAATGAAAAACATTCAGGTATGTCGATCGACACATTTCGATTTTATCCTTTCAAATAACTTCACATGTTCGACTGAAGTTTTATTATTTATCTAAAAATCTTTATTTCTTTTATAGATTTGGCACTTCTATACAAATTGGTGAGCCGAGTACCAAATGCAACTCTTGAATTGAAGAAGATTGTTGAAGATCACATCCGCCAAATGGGTATTGATGCCATTGAACGTGCCAGTGTCAGTGCGCTTAATGTAAAATTAATGTTTTATTCTATACTATTGATAACATATATACATCTCTCTCTTATCAGGATCCTAAACTTTATGTTGAGACTATTCTTGACATTCATACAAAATTCTTTAAACTTGTACAAGAAGCTTTTAGTAGTGAACAAGGTTTTACGGCTGCTCTTGATAAAGTAAATCACAGTTTCCAATCTTTTATTTCTGATTATACTCTGTTGTCTCATTTCTAAAGGCCTGTGGTAAATTCATTAATAATAATGCAGTAACAACAGCAGCTGGTAATACAACAAAGTCACCTGAACTATTAGCTCGATATTGTGATGCACTTCTACGGAAAGGGTTTGTGTCAAACTGATATTTACTTTACTTAAAATCTCATGTATTTTATTTTTTAGAAGTAAAGCTGTAGAAGAGACAGATCTCGAAGAAAAATTTAATCAAATAATGGTAGCAATTATTTTTGTCTTACTGAAATATTTTTATTCTAGCTCTTTAATTCATTGTTTTTGTTTAGGTTGTTTTTAATTATGTTGAAGACAAAGATGTCTTTCAAAAATTCTATGCCAAATTGTTAGCGAAACGTTTAGTCGGTCAATTAAGTGCATCGGATGATTACGAAGAATCTATGATTACGAAACTAAAAGTAAATAGAATATATTTTTAATGGGAAAAGAAAAAACGTCATGTTTAATATTTATATTAGCAAGCATGCGGTTTCGAATATACAAGGAAGTTACAACGAATGTTTCAAGATATTGGCGTTAGTAAAGACCTCATTGATCAATATCGAACATATTGTGAAAAAAATAAGCTTGATGATATTGGTATATATTTTTTCGAAGTTTTTAATTGAAATCTAATATGATTTTTCTTGCTTGAAGTTGATTTTTCTGTCATGGTTCTCAGTTCAAATTCGTGGCCATTTTCGGCGCCACCTAATTTTGTTCTCTCACCTGAAGTAATATTTATTTTCTTCATTCGACTTTGACGATATCTATGAAACTTTATTTATTAGCTTAAACGAACATTTGACTGTTTCACTAATTTTTATACTCAACAACATAATGGTCGTAAATTGACATGGCTTCATCAACATTCAAAAGGCGATATACAAACCTTGTATACGAAACCGAAATATATTTTACATGTGATTATTAATTTATTCTGTCGAAATAATTTTCTTAATCTTTCCTTAACATCTATTAGGTATCAACATATCAGATGGTAGTTTTACTATTATTCAATAAATCTGCTAGTTGGACAGTTGAACGAATGCAAGATGAAACTCAAATTAAAATTGATTTATTCTTGCAAGTTCTTTGCGGTTTATTGAAAAGTAAATTGATCATTTGCCCGGAAATCAATGATGATGAAATCGACGAAGAACTGAAAGAGACAGATATCAAAATGCATCATAATATTCTGGTAGCTGAAGATTTCAAGAGGTTAGTATACTTTCATCGTTTGGATAGAAATGGGAACGAATTGGCAAGTGTTTGACGATAAGAAAATTTATTGAAAAAATAATTTTTTAGAATAGAAAAAAGAATGGATAAAATGATAGAACATTTTTGACTTGCCATGAGATCAGATGTTGACCGTCAAACGGTGACAATAAAACGGATAGATATGTGGCAGTAGAATTTAGAATCTAGTTGAGATTAGAATTGCTGATTGTTCTATAAATGTTGTGAGAAAGGGATTCATAGAAATAAAATTTAGTTAGTGAGTAATATGAGATAATTTGATTGAGTATGTAGATTCAAAAAAAAAGTTTTTGCTCCCAAAATTAATTCTGTCTATTTTTCCTGATTGAAGAGAGAAAAACGACAAAGGTTCTGAATATATGTTTACGCTTTAATGCTCGGGACAGTGATTTTTTTTCTTTCTATACGAGAAGAAAAGAAAGAGATTTTTGCTAACGTTTTTTCGAAGTACGGGTCTCGAGCAGCTGGGATGGGAATGGAATGAGTTTTTAATTCGAATGATATGGAAGGAAAATAAATGTTCCTTTTTAAATTTCTAATGAAATTAATAAAGAAGTTTCTTATATAAGTTGTCCACTTCATGTGCTATTATCAACAATCGTTCTTCGTTAAAAAAATAAATAGGTTAATATAAAAGAAACTTCATAGTTTATGGCTGATCATTGTCTGTTTCATAGTGATGGAGATCGATTATTAAAACTCAAATTAATAAAGAAATGATAATAAAAAATTAGAATTTAATAGATTCTACTAAATGTTTTAGAATGTAAAACTAGGATAAATAAATATTTATTTGATGATGTAACATAAATATCATAATCAACGAAATATTTTATTTCCCTTTAATATTGCAGTATCAGTTGAACAAGATACATTAATTACTATATGATTCATACAAGTGATATGAGAGTGCATTGAGATAAATGAAATTTTTTTGTTATCGTCACCAATTTGAAAACGAAATTTAAATTATGATGAATTAGAAAATACTTTGCTAAATTTGACTCATAGACACAGTTTCCAGATCGTTTCTATAACTTTATTTGCATTTTGGTTTTCGAAATCAGTTTTTCTTTTCTTTTCTTCGTTCTCTTTCTTGTCTATTTTCTCTATCTTGACTTAAATTAATGGAGTAAACAGTAAAAATCAAAAGCAAGATCTGAAGAGATAAAAAGTAATGTACTAATTGGTGAGAGATTGACTTCGGAAAACTGCAGCAAACATCAAATAAACTGTTGTGGTTTCCAAATTTTAAGCAAAACCTCTGATAAGTGGTACATATGAGATAGCACTTTGGAGCTTGGCTCATGTTCTACTTCTTCATGTGTAATTTCTGAAATTTCTATTCGTAAAAACCAGAATCATCCTTCATATTTTGATACCTGCCAATATAGATGCAGTAAGCATGGCTACATGTGAATAACTAGCTGTATTTTATCTGAAAATAGGTCTTTTGCTTTAACTATCTTGTGTAATCATAGAAAATGTTCCATACCAGCTATTGTTTATTTTGTATGTAGGTTATTGTTGACTACGATTAACTAAATAGCTAGCTATTCACGAATATCTAGAAATGTTGAAATTCTATCTATAACAACAAATTTATATTCGATAGACCAATTAAATTTTCAACTGTTCTTAACAGACAACATTTTAGAAAATCTCTTGATTTTGTATTTTTGTTTTAGTAAAAAAATAAAAATTAATTTAAATGTTCCGTTAAAATCAGTCGAACAAAAAGATATTGAAGGTTTACATAGAACTATTGATGAAGACAGAAAAATGGTTATTCAAGCTGCCATTGTTCGAACAATGAAAGCACGACAAACATTAAAACATGCTCTACTTATGCAAGAAGTTATTCAACAATTAAGTTCACGCTTCAAACCCAAAATACCTGTGATTAAAGTGAGTTCTATTTTTGATTCTTTGTCGAGTACAGTAAAAAGAATGTTTTTTTTTCTTTCTAGAAATGCATTGATATTTTAATAGAAAAAGAATATCTTGAGCGTCAATCAAATGAAAAAGATGTACTACGCTACTTGGCTTAAGATATTTAATCAAGTGATGGATGCGAAAAAAGCGTCGAAAAATTTAACTTTGATCTATTTTTTTCTTGGAAAATCGAATAAAAATGTTTTTTTATAATACCATCACATACTTAACTGTAAAACGATGAAATTGAAAAGAAAATCAAAACCTGGTGTTCCTTTAGATTGAAATGAAAATTTTCGACGTCTTTTTCATTCTTCACCTATGACAATAAAAACTTCGGATTTTCTTTCCAAATCTTTCCTTTCTATTCATATCTATGGTTCTTAGTAAATTCTCTTTCATTAATTAAGTTTAAATAACAGACAGATACATTTAAGACATCAAAACTTCTTATTGATGTAATAATCATGGAAACAACATTGTTAGTATTCTTCTCCTGTGTACTCTTTCTTTTATTGAACCGTCCATCTTTATTTCTTCTGAACAACCCAGTTAAATTTATCTTATAATCAGCTCAAATGTTTATGTTGTGCGTTTCCTATTCAAGATGATGCTATCTCTCTCTCTTTCTTTTTTTTTATTTCCCTATATATTTTTTCCTGTGGGTTGTAACATTTTTCTTTCTCTTTTTATTTTTGCTTCGGTTTCTGCTTTGCTGATATGAAATAACCTAGAGATACTTATAAAAAGCATGAAGTTTCATTCGCAAGAAAGTTCCAGATCTTCATCGAGAAATCAATCTCTATCGTGCAATAATTCGAAAGTATATGTGATCTTGTTTCATAAGTAACTGTCTTTCATATTGATGAAAGACTAAAGTAAACATACAAGCAGTTGAAGGCTCTATTGAAAATAGAAAAAAAATGGAATTGAATGTTCAACGAAAAAAAGACAATTAATTCAATATAGGTAATCTATGAGAACATTGAATAATATACAGCGTAGTCTATCTTAAATGAATAAATATTGAACGGTTGAAATGAATGAATGAATGAAGTCAAGTGTTTATGGAAAATAGTTTTGAACTGCAGTGAATGACGCTGCCAGATAAAAATTTCGTATGATTGAATGTTTTTTTTTGATGATCAAGAAATTCTTAGCTGATACTGTTTGTAAGTAACTACTGAAAGTCGCTCTACTATCATGGTATTGATGACTTTTTAAATACTTGTTTTTGTTAACTAAATCAGATGTTCCATATTTGCATTACTCTGGTCTTGTACTCTTCCTAAAAGAAAAAATGGGCGCTTTAAAAGGAAATTACCTTCTATCTTTTCATTTTCGACGAGTCCATTAGCTTGCTCATAAAAATCATCCAATCGCTTTTCAATC